ACAAGAAACCCCCTTTTGGGGGAAAAGAAACAATTAAGGTTGAATCTTCTTTCCATCCCTTCTCTGATGTAGGTGAATACCAGCTTCTCCCATATCACAATCCAATAGTGTTGGACATAGTCTGTATATCACAGCCTTTCCTGTTGCTACACTTTGCATCAGCTTTGGCAGCAAATATTGCATAGAAAGGCTAAAGCACCCAAGTAATCATTTGCTTAGTCCCACTGTATTTCTTATCCAACATTTTAAGTGAGCACATTGTTAACCCACTTCCAGTAATGAATACAAAGGAGCATATGGGGTAGCTGTTGGGCTTACAGCCCAGTCGAGTTCATAACAATAAGATGCAATTTGTGCTAGGAACATATCTGAAGCACATCATGACAAGATCTTGTAGACTGAACCATGGAACAAACTTGGTTATTCTTTGCCCAAGAACTCACCTTTTTTCTCAGCTGCCTTTGTTTCCTTTCACTTCTAAGGCAAGTCTAACAATTAACCTCATCACCCTCCTTAAGATTCCCTTGAAGCAGATATGAAGGCCAAATATCCTAATTATTGGCAGGAAGAATGGGCTCTTTTCCGATAATCTCTTCACAGATAAAAATATGTCATCACTTTAGGGAGACTGCCTAATACTTTTATGATTACATTAAGTAGCAAATTAGCCTAGACATTAAGCTGAACTAGAGAACAGAGTCTTCCTCACTGAGCATTGAACTTATGAGCTCTTTCATTCCAGTTGGTTTAGGCCTACTCTACCTGTGCTATCTAATAAGGTGAAGAAACCTTGAGATGATAGAGTGGATTATACCATTTTAAACTGGAGGTTGGGGGTGTCATATTTTACATGGGTTGAATGAAAAGTAATGCCTCCACCTTCATAACTCCTCAACAGATGGCAGTACTGGTATGCGGCAGGTACTAGCTTGTTCAGGAGACTCTCCTCTACAGTTCCATTTTGGCAGGAAGCCTTCGCACTGATCAGTTGTGTTGTTAACATGCAAAGTATGGAACCCTGTGCAGACGGTCAGTCAATGCAACTTAAGCAATGTGCAATCACTGAATTCTTGACAGCAAAAGGTGTCACCCCAAAGGAGATTCATCAGAGAATGCAAGCTGTTTACAGTGATTGTGTTGATGTGAGTACTGTGCGTCGTTGGATGAGTAAGTTTAAAGAAGTTCAGGTGGGAACATCTGACTTGCGGGAAAAGGGAAATATTTTCCTGCAGCATGACAATGCCAGACCACACACTTCACATGCCACCACAGCAGAACTTCAGAGACTGGATCTCACCAGGGTATGGCATCCTCTATACAGTCAAGATTTAGCACCATCTGACTTCCATCTGTTCCCAATAATGAAAGAAGATCTGTGGGGACATCATTATGCTTCTGATGAAGACATTGAGAGAACTGTGAGATACTGGTTGCAGAAACAGAGTGTCAATTTCTTCCGTGACGGTTTCAGAAAACTTGTTCATCATTGGCAGAAATGTATCAAACTGTCTGGGGATTACATGGAAATGCGCATAGTGTTAGTTAAAGAGCACATTCTAAGGATTATTTCTGCATTTGATTTATTAAAATATTCCCATCCAAACCCAAGTAACTAAGGTGGAAGCATTACTTTTCATTCAACCCCCGTATTACATGCAAGTAGAAAATTCACAATCACATCAGGAAGAAAATATCTTTTCTATTTCCTGTAGTGATTTCAAAATGTTTCATTATGTAGAATTTTCAAACACAGGAAATACTTGCTAATCCTGAAATGGATCGTCACACTATCCCACCTGAAAACTTGTTCTCTCTCTTCCTTTTCTTTTTTGGAGATATTTATTGAGATTTGTAACATCCGAAGGAGGTTGTTGTTATTCATTCGTTCAGTCATTTCCGACTCTTCGTGACCTCATGGACCAGCCCACGCCGGAGCTCCCTGTTGGGAGTCACCACCCCCAGCTCCTTCAAGGTCAATCCAGTCACTTCAAGGATGCCATCCATTCATCTTGCCCTTGGTCTGAAGGAGGTAAATCATTTTAAAACATTAAGAGCCGTGTAAAACAATATAAAACAAATAAATATATAATTATTTCAACAATTTAAAATCATTTAAATAGGGTTAAGAAATGATATATTTATGTACATTCAAGGAAAGATCTGTACACTATGAAAGCTTTGCTAAATAGTAGTTACCAAAGTGAAAGCTGTAGAGGACCTTTGTAGCTTTGATGGTTGTATAAAAGAGGGAATTTCAGCAGGTGTTGCACGTTTCTTGGCTGTGTGTCAAGTAGCTCCTAATGGAATTCCTCTTCTGCTCAGCCATTAAAAATCCAAGAGCCCTTCCTGGCTTTTAATCTGGCAATTTTAAGTATCACATTTTAGTGTGGTGCCAAAATGGAATTAAAATTTGTGACCATCAGACCTCCAAGACGAGAGCATTCTACAAATTGAGCACCATGGCAGGACTTCTTCCCCATCAGTGTATTATCACGGTTGAGATACACAGGAATTTCTGCCTAACAGGTTTCAGTGCTCAGAAAGCCATATACTAAGAAAGATGCTGCTTTAGATAGCAAGACTGTGTGTCATTTAAAGCTTTAAATAGCAGCAGCACTCTGAATTCAGACTACAAGCATATTGGTATCCAATGCTGTTCCTATAAAATTGATGTCAATTATGGGTACCTCTCACTAGCCTCAAAATACACTGAAATTGGCATGGATAATCTCCATCCTCCTCCAAGAATACTTGAAATTTTCCAACCACCAAACACTTGAGCAGCATGTCTCATAAGAGCAATTGGAGTGTGTTTCTCACAATATATCTGAGCCCAAGGAAAATGCACTACAGCCTCTTTTAAAACACTGAGTACCTTCATCTAACATAATAATGCATTTAACACTGCTTGAACCCAACTCTACTACATTTTATCAACCAATGAAATGGACACCTGGGACAGATTGTATCAATAACTCTTTTGTAATGTACTCACTATTCCATAATGTAACGAAGGCCTTGAAGAATTCACCAGTCACATCAACCAGAAAACCACCAGAGCACTGAGGAATGAGTTGAATTACATTTTTCTCCATAGATGAACCATCTAAATTGATCCTCATCATAGACTATCACTCATGGCTGATTATGATTGTCTTCCAAGTGTAGCGTCTTGGTGGAGGGTCCACAAATGACTGTAGAGACCTATTCTGGATCCACATGGTCTTTCACAGTGATGACATACATTTCCAGATAGAAGCTGGACCCAGCAAGGGCTGCTGGAAGTGCTTTTCTCTTGGTTCGTTTCTCCCTTTCTCCTTCTATTCGTGCCGCCTCAAAATACATAGCACTGTTGATAACAGCAAGCCTCCTGTTAGAATTCTCAAGGGCCAACACTTCCCGGTTCTTTGTGTTTACACCTTATTTTTAAGGTTAGCTTTTAGCACATCTTTAAAGTACATTCCTTTTTCCATCCTTGAGCTGAGAATAAAATAACTGTTTTGGGAGGTGGTGATCCTGCAGTCAGACAATGTGACCAGTCCAGCGAAGTTGTTGCAGAGAATTATCATTTCAGTGCTGGTGGTCTTTGCTTCTTCCAGAACGCTGATGTCCGTCCACCTGTTTTCCCAAGATATTGCAAAATTTTTCTGAGGCAATATTGATGGAATCTTTCCAAAAGTTGGAAGTGACATTTGTAGACAGTGTATGTTTTGCAGATGTACAACAGAGTTGGGAGAACAATAGGTTTATGCATCTTGGTATCCCTATAGAAGTCCCTATCTTCAAGTACTCTCTGTTTCATTCAAAACTGCTTCACTCACAGAGCTCAAATGATGTTGTATGTTGGTGTCAGTATTGACTTTTATGGAGAGGTGGCTGCCTAGGTTGTGGAAATGGTCAACATTTTCTAGCATTGCACCATTAAGCTGTATTTCTGGCATTGCGGAGAAATTTGTTGGTGGAAATTTGCTGGTTTTCTCAATGTTCAGTGAGAGGCCAATGTTTTTGTATTCTTCTGCAAAGGTATTCAAAATGACTTGTAGGTATTCTTCTGAATGTACACCAACTACATTATCATCAGATTTTTGGAGTTCATAACAGAAGTTGTTGTGACTTTACTTTTGAGTTTCAGCCTGCTGAGGTTAAAGAGCTTGAAATCTGTCTGATAGGTAATTTCCACTCTGGTGGAAAGCTTCCCATCAACAAGGTGCAGTATCATTGCCATGAAGATGGAAAATAAGGTTGGGGCAATAATACATTCCTGTTTGACACTTGATTCCACTTTAAATGGATCACTTTGGGAGCAAGACTATCCAAGACTGTTGCCTTCATGAGCCATAGGATGGTACCCCAACCCTACAGAAGGTACTATCTACCATTAGACATATAGACTAAAACACACCATCCTCAATGAACCCAACAGCAAATATCAACCAAGCAGAAATGGGGAGGTTTCTTAGATTATTATTATTTGATGACTGAAAAACAATTTGAAAATTGTGAGGGTGGGGGAGAGCTGGAAGAATTCTTGAGCATTCCTAGGACATAAAAGTAACTTACGGCTGCATGCAGGCTATGGATCACCTTTTCTCCAACCTAAATATTAAATGGGAGTTTGTGAATGATGCAGTCCTATCTTGTAGGTTCTTTCCTATGACACCGTTTTTAAAATAATATTTTATTACTATTTAGTTTCAACTACAGAAGATTATATGTATAATATACAAAAAAGGAGAATCTACACATAAAATACATTAGACCTTTCTGCTTAAACCTTCCCCTAACCCACATCCACACACTACTGCAGCAATAATTAATTAAACACATATGGGGTAAATGTGTTTTCCAAATTGCCTGGTTCCAATTATAATTCTAAAAGGTTAATTCTTCATTTTCTAAATTAATTTTAGATAAAAATAGCAATAGGTCCAGACAATAAAATTATGTATGTTAAGAATTTGATTTTCTAACTAAAATTAGACTTCATATTTTTCCTGCAGGCCAATCACATCATTCAGAAAGTCTGCCTTGGAGAGAATAATGTGGTTGAAGAGGAAATTAAAGCAAACAAGAGCATCTATGAATGGGCAGGAGGAGGTGGTGGAGGTGGAGGAGCAACCTATATATTTAAGGTATACATGTGTTAGAGCTGTACCCTTCCACAATAAGGTACAAGCTTTCTTTATTCTGGTGCTTTTGCCAATTACAAAGTGTGTGAATTGGGCTCACTGGATTCAGCATTGTAAGCTAAAGTCTGTGGTCTATATGTTGTTCCACAATCTGCTTCATTACACTGTTGCATACTTTCCATTGAACTAGTCTTGAGCTAACAAGTTGACAAATCCTAGACAATTATTCCTATCACTGTTTAGAAAAGATATCATATTCTTTCCCATAAAAACTAGTAGATTGAGAGTTTTCCAGCTTTTCTACATGTATACCCTTATCAAATATTGATCCTGTTTTAAATAATGCAATGGTAATTTAGACCGTCGAGCTGTCCTAGGGCTTTGTATAGTTCAACCAATGTGTAGGTGATTGATTTGTTATTTACACCCCTGATATAGCCAAAAGTTGAAGTCATTTCTTAATTCTACCTGTTTAGATGGAGAATGGAAAGCCAGTTCCTTTGATCATTGCAGCAGGGGGAGGTGGTAGGGCCTATAGGGCCAAAACATATACATTCAACTTTGAAAGACTGGAGAATGATACTTCTGTACCAGGGCTCAATGGGAGACCAGGAGCTGCAGGTAAGGAATGTCTATGAAATTTATGCCTAGTTTCACAGCTTGGAAGTGTTATAATTTGGGATTGCAACTCCCAGAACCTCCCTTCTAATACATCGATATTCCTCCAGCAGAATCCCTCAGGCCAAAAGGGCAATTTTTTCATCCTCAAGTTAAAAGTTTTTGTCATACAAAGATGTTATATCCAGTCATCCAGACATTCCATTTGTGTGTGCGTGTGTGTATGTGTGTGTGTGTGTGCGTACACAGATATACATATATACATACAATAGTTGAAAATGTGCTTAAGATGTAAAAAAAAAAGCATGACCTTTGGACCAATTCAGCAGATTTTTTCTCTTTTTTTTTTACTCCACTAAAGATTTAAACAACAATAAAAAATATTAGATTGGGAATTCTACCCTATAATTGCTAACTTTGAGTGATTTCACATTAATCTCAAAGAAGCCACAAATGTGAAACCTCTTAACTCAGATTAGCAACACTTGCAGAATATAACCTTTTTTGCTTTCAGCTAGTGGGTTTTTAAATTCTATTAGCAGAAATAAATCATGAATACTACCTCTAAGAGTTCCATGGCTATGCCAACCCTATGAAATTCATGGGGTCGCCATAAGTCAAGAGGTGGCTTGAAGGCACATACATATTTACTAAGGATTCAGAAAATGGGAGCTTTTCCATATTGCTACATAGTCAGACCAGAAGTATATGACCCAATGTGGCCACATTAATGCAAGATTGTAAAAATGCTTATGCAAACACATACTATAAAAGTAGAAAAATCAATATTTTTTTCATTCTCTGTCATGACTGTACATATCAAAAGCACAGTCATAGCAAAATGTTAATGAATTCATCTATTTAGAAATCAAAATTATAATTTAGTAGAAACTGCAACACTCTCTACGTGGGGTTGCCTTTGAAGACTGCTCGGAAGCTTCAAATGGTCCAGCGCTCGGCAGCCAGGTTGGTAACAGGAGCGGCACTCAGGGAGCATACTACTCCTCTGTTGCGCCAGCTCCACTGGCTACCAGTTTGCTACCGGGCACAATTCAAAGTGCTGGCTTTAGCCTATAAAGCCCTAAACGGTTCTGGCCCTACTTAACTCTCCGAACACATCTCCTCCTATGAACCGACTAGGACACTAAGATCATCTGGGGAGGCCCTGTTCTCGGTCCCGCCTGCATCACAGGCACATTTGGCGGGGACGAGAGACAGGGCCTTCTCAGTGGTGGCCCCTCAGCTGTGGAATGCCCTGCCTGCAGATATCAGATTGCCCCCCTCCCTGCTGGCATTTCGGAGGAAAGTGAAGATCTGGCTGTTCGAAAAAGCATTTGATTAAACAGTGTTATTGAACATAGGAATACGGAATAATGGATGACGAGACTGGATTCTGATTTTACTGTTGAGGCGCTAATGATTGTTATACTGATGTTAATGATTTATGTGATAATTGTTTTTAATTGCCCTATACTTGTTTTGTGATATTTTGTACTGATGTTGTTCACCGCTTTGAGTCGCCTGAGGGCTGAGAAAAGCGGTATAGAAATAAAGTAAATAAATAAAGTAAATAAATAAACATAATGCAGCTTGTTTTCTAGTTTTACATAAACTGAAGTATAATATTTTATTACCATTCCAAGCAATGGATGGTGAATAGTTCCAAGCTGCAGTCAATGGTGCCAAACCAATTTTGAGGGTCAGTTTCAGTAACTTGAAAAAATTCTCTAACCTCTGAATTACATTTCACAAATCATTCACTTCTCCACCAATATAAAATCTTCTGTTGCCACTCGTTCCCAATGTCCCTCTTAACTATAATTATGATGGTTATTTCAAGTACCAACTATAGTTTGTAACGATGCCGCTGCTGTCATGTTCTGATCAATGTTTCCTCTGTTTTCATTACTGGCTACAGTTTTCCAAATAGAAATGTGTCTATGCCTTTATAGTCACACATGCATGAACACCCAGCCTCTTCTTTTTGGGGGACTGGGGGTAGGGAGGATGTTCTACCATATCCCTTACTTGGATACCTTAATTGCCTCCACAGATATCAAGGAACAAAATAAGATTCCATTTTGTTTTAGAATCTTATTTTGAACTCCTTACCCACCAGTTTGCCTCCTTAGCTCCAGAACAAATACCCTGAATAGCACTGGGTATTTTCCTACTTAAGATGAAAAGATTTTTTAAAAAAAATGGAAATAATAATGTAAATCAATGGCTAGCACTAATTCATTCTTTATTTCTGTAGAATAAACACATTTTCTAGATGACTGGCTGAACACTACACTCTCTCAGGTCTCATCATAGTATATCTGAAAACAGGAGAATGATTGTTAAGCCTGTTGAGATATTAGCCAAATCAGTAAAAATTTCAAACAGTAGAGAAGCTTTCCCCCTTAGTATTTCACAGAACCTTTCAAGACAAATCCTGAGCTAACGTAGATCTTAGAAAAATTTAAATGTGGGTAATTTGCACAAAATTTGCCTTTGGCGGCTCTGCGCAGAAAATACCTTTTTCTGAATAGAAACTGCTGCAATTGGGGCACTTAACACAAAATTTGCACATGGTTGTGCTGCACAGAAAACGTTTTTCTGTACAGAAATTTTTATATGTTATAGGGTTATTGTTTAAACGTTGAAATATTATGGTAGCGGCTTCATTGGCACCATGAGGTCAAATTGTCTGCAGTACAAATGGTATTATAAGACATGAAAAGGGTGACTATACAATTTCATCCTAAAAATTCAGTTCAAAGGGGAATAAAATAGAACATGAAGGAAAAAACAACACAACTCCGTTTCTTTTAAAATATCTCTGCCACTGAAGTGTTTCATTGTTATTCTGCATATATATATGGCATTTACTTTGCATGTGCCTGTTTTTCCCATTCTTTCTTGTGTTTCCCCAGTGCAACAGAATCTTACACAAGTTGCTTTTCCTTTTGTTAAACTGCAGGTGGTGGAGGTGGCTGGAATGATAACACTTCCTTCCTCTGGTCGGGAAAGTCTTTGCTGGAAGGCGCTACCGGAGGAAAATCCTGCCCCCAGGCCATGAAGAAGTGGGGGTGGGAGACAAGAGGGGGTTTCGGAGGGGGTGGCGGGGGGTGCTCCTCAGGTGGAGGAGGCGGAGGATATATAGGTAAAGTGGCTTTGTGTTCAAGGTGTCCCTTCCCCTCCCTTAGTTTTAATGCTCAGATATATGCTGAAACAATACTGACTTACCTATATGTATCTATATTTTTAATGTTATGCAATGCAATGTGTTTGTGCAAGGGGTCAAAGAACCTGCATCACCTGTCCATAATTACACCAGTCTGGTTGTCCATTGCCAGAATGGTTTAGATTTGTTTGGGTTTTTGTTTTCAAAATCCTGACTATGTAAATTTTTACCTGCCCTGCTCCTCCCACCTCAAATAGACTCAACTTCTAAAATGGTAGATGATTCTAGCCAAAGAATCCAAAACTGGAGTGTAAGTGCAATGAATTTCTACCATTCATAAGAAGCATCAGTATTTTCCAGGTATGATTAGACACCAAATTGCAATTTACAATAACACCCATTGTTTTTTCTCTGTGGCTTTAATCTATAAACAAATTATGCCACCATCTCCTTTTTATAGCAATAGAAATTCACAAGGAACTATATCCAAGAGATGCATTATTCGGGTTTTCTGTTACAAATATTGGATGGCTTCTGTAGAATTCTTGACCCTCTGTATATGTATATATGTTGTTATTTAGCTCTAGGTAACATTATGTGAGGATTTTCACATAGATTTTTAATAGATTTTAAAAAGAAAGCTATATGGAATTTTATCAAAAGCTATAGACACAACAGTCTTGCTCCCTGTATCCTGTAAACGAAAGGCAAATTTTCTTCTAGTGTGATTTTGTTTATGTAGAGGTTCCTGTGGCACTAATTTATGACATTAAATCTTTGCAATTGTACTGCAACTTTGCCAAATTACTGCAATACATATGTGTTCAAATGCTAGTCATTTCGGATTGCACAGTTCATGTAGTAAACTGTTAGGCAAAATCAACCCCAATTCACCAGATCTTCACTATAAGAAATTATTGTAGGAAGGCATGCCATAAAAAGGCAAGATTCTGCTGAAAAATTAGAATCCTTATTGTATTTTCTTGAAATTTCTCTTTCTTAACACGGGGTGGAGAGAGAAATAAGTGGACTCATTTTCTGTGCCTTACAACCTCAGGGCGCATTTGGCAGGAAGATTGTTGTGCCATAAATATACCTCGGCTTTAGTGGCAATAACCTCCAGAAGTCAAGTGTGTAATTCAGTCTTCACAGACAATATTAGGCTCTTTGGTAAATTGTTGGAAGTTGCCAAAGAAGCTAATGAAAGTAGCAGTGTTAGAGACCACTTACAATACATCTTCAGACACTCAAAACTGGTCACGTTCAAGTCATAGTCATCTTTAAGAGGTGAAAATACAGTCTTCCCTACTTGTTTCAATCTTTTTGACTATCCTACATCTTATCTTCTCTGAGTGGTCTTTTACATCTTACGTTACAAGCTATCTTTTTGACTGTAATGTGGGACAGGTGTGATGAAGTCATTATGAGATAGTATTTTTCATGATTGTTGACTGGTTATTTGCTGTGAAGAATCTCAGAGCCCTATTCAAGCACTCAAAATAAATGTATGTAAACATGTACAGAGGAATACACTAGCCCCCATTCTCTTGGTTTTAATCACTGTGGCCTCCCTCACATAGAAGATGCTTTTCTTTTTCTTTTCTTTTTTTTTTTTTGAAGAGGTGAATATCCTGTAGCCATGAAAGTTTTCCCCCTGGTTTTGGATATTTGGAAACCTCTTCAAAATCATGTGGAGAACCTCTAGAAATCCAGAAATCTCTCAGGAAGTCAATACTCCAAGTGTACAGGATGACAAAACAGTTAAGGAAGGACTAGATTAACATGCTCCTCTTCCTTGTATGTTTCCAACACACTGATTTCTTCTGGCTCAATGGGATGGTTGGATATGTCACATCCTGAGGAATGTTAAATGTTGTTTGAATCAGGATGCAGCAAACCCTATTCTCAACATATGGCAGATGATGCAGAAGAAGCCTCATAAATTACCTTGAGATGACTTCAACACACCAGTTGCCACTCCAAAATAGTAATTTGAAACTACCAAAATTTATGAACCCAGAGAAAGCAAGTGATAGATAATTACAAAACCCCATTTAACTGCATGCATATTATGTGCATTGTTTTTGAGAAACCAAATGCTTGTTATGTGATTACATCTGCAGATGTCCTTTTTCTATCATCTATATATAATCAAGAGATATAAAACTGAAATATCACTTTGGATAGATAGTTTGATTGACTGATTGACAGAGAAAGGAATAAGAATGAGTAATAAGAAAGGAGTATTATTGTACGATACGGACCTGGAATCTGTATGACATCACTTACTCAAAACAGTCATATAAACCCACATTCCTCCTTTCCAGTTGAGTTGAAAATGACTAAAAAGATAAAAGAGAAACGCTTTCAGATGATTGCTGCTTCGGTGTGTCAGCTTAACTGTTACGTACCCTGTCATTTTTGGTATTTCAATGAAACAACTATTTGGAGATTTATTTTATACCATTTCTCCAGACTTATAATCTTTGTGCTCAGTGCATCTGCCTTGTACTGGGCTGAAACATTTATTGCTTCATTAGCACAACAAAAGTCATATAAAACCAAAATCCTGAAAGTTAAAAGCCTGGAGGTGCATTAAAATGCGACCCATTATGGCATTTCCTGGATGTTTTGCTAGATGAATGCCCTTTTCTCTGTCAGATGCTCTTTATTTTGTAGTGTTGATTGTTGGTATTATGTTTTTACCTATCATGGTGACAAATGTCAGAAGAGCAGCCACGTTAGTATTGTGTAAAAAAAAAAGATTTAAAAATACCTAAAAAGTTTTGTTACACCTCAAAGATGAAAACCTGTATCGTGGCATAAAATTTGGAGGTCAGACAGCTTTCCCTCATCTTTAGACAATGATGATGATGATGATGATGATGATGATGATGATTTGCCAGAATGCTAGTACAGGTATCTGGTTAAGGGGTTGCAGGACCCCTTTGTTGGTTTTATGTCTAATTTTAAAACTTAGCAGTGCAATTTTTTCTAAGAAATTTCCCCTTCTCTATAGGTGGCAATGCAGCAGAAGACAATGATCCAGAGATGGATGGAGAGGATGGTGTTTCTTTTCTAAATATCCAGTATGGTACATTGTTTACCCCTGCATTAAAAGGTACCATTATCAATCAAAGATTGTTATTTTTAATGGTGTGCTTATAGAAGAATGCATGAGAAGTCAAAACTTCTTTTTACTCCAAGTAGTCCCTCAAGTAATTTATTACCATCAATGTTGTTTCCCATCTTTAAAAAATTAAGCTAGTTTTGTTATTTGAGCTGTAATGTAGCGTAGTGGTTTGAATGTTGGAGTACAACTCCAAAGACCTTGGTTTGATTGCCCACTCAGCCATTGAAACTCCTTGGGTGAGTGGACCACTCTCAAACCTAGAAAAACCCATTGTTGATTTACTTTAGAGTTGCTGTAAGTTGTAAACTACTTGAAGGCGTAGAATAACAATAGCAGCAGCAAGTTTTGTGACTTGTTATTTTGGTCATAACTTTTACATTGCTTGTTAGGTAATTTCTTTAAAAACAGCAAAAAGGTTAATATTAAATGGCCCCAACACATTTATCACTTTGTGGAGTTGTTATAGGATGGGTGAGATTGCTTCCAGGTGTCTAAGATGGCAGCTGCTTTCTCACAGCTAGGTTTTCCACTTCGTGCTCCCTCTGCCGGAGACGGCAGCTAATCAGTTTGAACTGATTGGTTGATTCCAAGAAGATCAGAGTGAAAATAGACCCATCACACAAGTTGGCTGCAGCCTCATATATCCCAAGTTGCTGGCCAATCCCAGCAGTCATCTCCTGAATGGCACCCCATCCACCCACTCTTTTTCTCTTGTCATGACACATTAGGTTGGCATAGGTCCTGGCTCCAGGTTGTGGAGTTCTATGTCCAACAGGCAATGGATTTTTACCATTGGAATCATATGAGGACCTTGGTGGGGGATGGGCACAGCAGATCTATCATGTGGCTGTCTGCAATCCACATCTGCAAGCCTGGTGGAAGAGGGGAATAGATGGCCCATTGGGATGTTCCACCCATCTGAACTTTTCCCTGCAGGTCACTTATAGTAATCTGGCATTAGGCCAGTTAGAATGGGTTCAGTGATCAACAGACGGGTTGGTCAGTGCCTGGATGCAAACCCACATATGGTGCCAACTGCTTCTGCAGCTTGAACCAAACCTAGAGTTGTGTCCATACCTCTCCACAAAATACTATCTTATACTTTATATTTAAATTATTTAGTTCTCAAGTCATGTAAGCTTTGTTCAGCAGTCATATCATGGTATTGATGTATACACAGTGTTGAGCATTGAAGTTAATGCTGTCCTTTGCCTTAGATATCACTATTTCATTTCACCTTGTATTGTTACCATTAAACATCTGTTACCTTGCACAATCTGTGTTTGGCGCACTTGGACTCACTCCCCACTTGCCCATGCAATAGGAAAATGTCCAAAAACATACAAAATTTCATTTTAAGGTTATAAACATTTGAAATAACTAAAGCACTTGAACATTTTTGTCCCAGACAGTATGTCTTATTCAGTTCAAGAATGCATAAGAGGAGTTATGGATCCTGTGCCATAGTGCATGTGGATGTGCCTGAGACATATATTCAGTTGTAAGTTAATGTATGTATTCATTCTTACATTACCATTCAGCCACCTCTATGAGATAAAGAAATACAGTTTTAGCCAACAGGATTCTTAATGTAAAGGCAACTTGTACATGCCACCAAAAACATGTTCCAGGTGGTCCCCCAATGGAAATCCTTTGCTATAAGTGTTAACTTGGTCCTCATAAAACATGCATGGCTACCTTCCTAATTAGACTACTTCAGATCTCCCATGGAAATATTTCACTGATGTAACATTTCCAGTCATGTGGAAATCTTAGTCTGAGAAACATTTTTTTGCCTCTTCCCTAGTGACTGAGGGGCATGGGGAAGTCAACATCAAGTTATATGTGAACTGCAGCCACTGTGCCCATGATTTATGCTATAGGGATGCGAAGACGCAGGAAATTGTTTGCACTTGTCTCTATGGATATGTCTTGGCTGACAATGGTATCTCTTGCTCAGGTAAGAAGTCAGTGGTCCTTTCCCAAATTAATCATGTGGATAATGGGAACTGGTGTTTTGTTGTGGCACAGTCCCTTGCTTTCTGTTCCTGACCTCTGTGTGTTGAATGAAGTGGGAGCCAGTTGTACTTGCGGAGTAGGAGTGAGCAAGAGGCTTATCCCATCCACTCAGATGCCTATGTGATTTGCACCCCTCCCAGTATATCAAAATACCACAGTTTTATTTAGAATCTCGCTTAAAATGATGACTAAGGTGACATTATACCAAAAAAAGAATATTGGAAGGTGGGAGGTGTGAAGATTTTGAAGATTTATTTGGTATTTTTGCACATTTGGGAATTCTTTTTCTGTGGATTTCAAACAAAAGATGCTTTATAATTGCACTATTTAAAAGAATTAGGGGACCTAGGGGTTCTGGTAAGGGGTTTAAGAGGCTACAGTAGTAGAGTCCAAGAGTCACATATTCACATAACTGTGTGAGTTAGCCCTACTTTCCTTCACTCCCACAATTAACTTGTCAAGTTTTCCACTGAGACATCTGTCTTTGTTGTACAAGGTTCCTAATTGGTGGCTAGGCTGTATATCAGCAAGCCAACAGGTATGGATTAACCATGGTGCTAAATGGAATCAAGTTCTGATTCCCAAGCTAACAGGTTTCTGCTGGGTTGTAAAAGTCTTCAGTATGAATGTGCCCAAATGCTCTTTCAAAACTAGATGAAACTAAGACATCTCCTCCAAAACACCTAGGCACACACTTTCATTTATCTCATTTCTTTTACCTGGTGGATTCAGTTTCCTTTTATGAATATTGTTCTCCTGTTTTGTAATCCTGCCTTTCATCTCCTCCCTGCCTTTTCATTCCACCAGTTGTCATTATGCAATGTGGAAAGGAGGGAAAAGTTCTGTTGCAGTCAGTTCTCATGGTCTTTTGACCTCCAATAGCCCACTGTTCCACTTTCTCAATTAATATCATAGAAATAGATGGTTTTTTTGATTAGGAAATTAACACCAGCATTCAGTGGAGATGAGAGGAAAGTCATAAAAACTGGGAGAGTGGCAATGTTAAGTTGGCAGGGCTAGAAAACAAAGCAGCAGACAGTTTCAGAGTAAATGTAGGTATTTGAGCAATGGAAGAGGTGTGAAATATTTTAAAGAAAAGAAAGAATTCCCTTTGTATCAGAAACAATTAATTTGCCCATGAAAAGGCTAAACTGTAAGAAGGGAGCTGTGTTAAAGAAAGATTAATTAATCGCTTATTAAAGCATGCTGAAGAATAGCACAGCACATCAAATGAATGTCTGCTGTTCATGGCAACCGACTATTCTGGGAATTGTAGTCCAAACTCTGTGCCAAGATGTGTGTAAAATGAGCCAGCCTATTCTATTTTATAGTTATACGCAATCCATGATTCTAAATGGTTCTAAAGTACTTGCAAAACTAAAGTTCTGATGGTGAAAATTAATGGGTGCTGGTACTTTGCTTCTACAGTGTTGCTAAAGTTGTGGTGGTGAAAATTTCAGAATTCTAACAAACTCAAAATTTATTATTTCATTATTGGGGATTTTTATGACAGAACCAATTAGGAACTGCCATTTATTGCAAAATTTTGAAAGTTTTGATAGAGTTTTGAAATTCACCACCAGAACTTTATCAACACTGTAGAAGCAAAGCACCAACACCCCCTACTTTTCACCACCAGAACTTTAGTTTTGTAAGTACTTTAGCACCATTTAGAACCATTGCCCATGCCTGCTATTTTACTAGTCAAGCTCCCCCAGAATTCACCATTGTGTCCTCTTATTCCAAGACAAGGAAGCATGGTTTCTGTGGAAGATTATGTGCACTGCCTTCAGAAAATAAATAAACCAGAACTTTTCCATGATGAATTAAAGCATAATAAAACACCAGAATAATAGAAACTAAGGGAGCATAGAGCTAAAATCAGACCAAGAAATATTTGACTAGGAAATGTTGCCAGTGAGATGTAAGAGGTGCTAGGCTACTTTCCATAGAGATAGCTTCCCAAAGACAAGCCACAACAACTGAGAAAGCCCTGTCTCCTATTACCACCTGACTATTCTGAGAGGACAAGGGCACTTGGAAAGGTATCTCAAAGATGACTGCATTATTCAGGCAGGTTCATGTGGTAAGAATACAGTGGGAGGGGGATGCAGAAGTATGGGTATGCACTAAATCTCTCTCACAATTATCCAGTCTTTGTCCTTTCAATTTCACCTTATACATCTTACCATCTCAGCACAATAGTATTCTTCATTTGCATGCAAACAGGGAAGATGTCCCCCTTTTCTTATTCTCTGATGATGAAGTGACCGTGCATATAAAGTTCTCAAAGTGTAAATTGTGCACACTGTGTGCATTGTTTTGATCTTGCATAGCCTACATTGCTTATTCATTGTGTTCTACCAGCAATATAATTCTGTGCCAAATCTATTCTCAAAGGGAGCAATGTGTGGTTTTCTTTCCATTGTCTTCAAAAATTGCCCAGTTTTCAAAGAGTATTTGCAGTTCAGGCATGATTCTTTGCAAATTTGTAAGTGGGTCCTGAAAGTAAGCAGCATTTCCTATGCAGAAAATGCTATAGTTAGAACTTGTATGTGTATTTGCTTTCTAAGTTGCCTGTCAACGTATGATGACTCCATGAGTTTCATAGAGATTTCTTAGGCAAGGCATAATCAGAGGTGGTTTGGCCAATTCTTTCCTCTAAAATATATCCTATTGCACTTAATGTGCAAAAAAATGTTGTTTTCTTTTTTGTATACAAATCAAAAACATACAAATTCTGCTCCAACTGCCAGGATTCTAATCAGTCCAGGATTCTTCCACCTAAAGTATCCTGAAACCTGAAAAACACATTATAGAACATTTTTTCAATAATTTTTGACATTATTTCTATCACTACGTTTAATTCAACCTAATAGCATTAGCCTCACAATTTCAAAATTATAATTTTGTGTGTGTGTGTGTGTGTTTATTTATTTGTAGGTATCAACTTGAACAAATATCTTCTACAACATTTCAGAAATGTCATGTGTGATAGCTCCTATTTTGTTAAAAGTACATTTAAAGTATATGATGGGCATGGAGAATAACAAATGTCTTTTCTTTCTATGCAGCTGAAATGGTGCAGCCAACGAAGAACCCTCCTCTCTCCTTGGTGTTGTCTGTAGTGACTTCTGCTCTTGTTGCATCTCTCATTCTGGCCTTCTCAGGGATCATGATAGGTGAGGTCCCTGTTTATCTAAAATTTGCAGAAATCATCCATAGTCAGTCACTGTATGTAGTGCATCTTCCTCCGTTAACCATCTAAATCAGGCATTGACAAACTTGGGCCCACTAAGTGTTTTGGACTTCAACTCCCACAATTCCTAACAGTCTCAGACCTTTTCCTTTTCCCCCTCAGCCGCTTAAGCAGCTGAGGAGGAAAAGGAGGGGGCCTGAGGCTGTTAGAATTGTGGAAGTTGAAGTCCAACTCACTTGGAGGGCCCAAGTTTGCCCATGCCTGATCTAAATGATATGACATTTAAATGCTTTTACATGTTTGTCACTAAGCCTTAATGCAGAATTTGAGTCAAGTAAACTTTTATATGGCTTGCAAGATGCAAAATTCAGTGTTAATTCTCTTTAAGGAAGAGCAGTTGAAAACAACGGGACTGCTGTAAATTGCAGCTAGCATTTGTCATAAATTTCAGTGGGTTTGATCCACCCAGGTCTGCCACTGGATTTACTTTGGGTATTCCACTGTCACAGGTAGCCAATAAACCAAATAATCAGATTGATTAATGGTGTAATTTACAACAGTGGATGCTTTGTTTTGCAGACTGTAGAATTATATAATAATAATAATAATAATAATAATAATAATACACTTTGTTTATATTCTTCTCTATCTCCCAGACTCAGAACGGATTACTATACACATATATAGGCAAACATTCAATGCCTTTTTATACAGTAACAACAATGGCACACAGTACAGACAAAGGCAAAGGTTTCCCTTTCCATCTTCGGCATCTGGAGGTGATGCTCAACTTTGGCCATGGGGAGGTGCTCTTGTTCCATTTTTCCATGCTGAGGAGCTTGTTGTCCATTGACCCTCCTAGTCATGTTTGCTGGCATGGCTGCATGAGTGCCTTTTACCTTCCCACCGAGGTTGTACCTATTGATCTACTCACATTGCATGTTTTCAGACTGCTAGGTTGGCAGAAGCTAAAGCTAACAGCAGGAGCTCGCCCTGACTAGTGGCTTCAAACTACTAACTTTCCAGTCAACCGTTTTCTGCAGCTAGTATTTTAGCCCACTGTGCTACCGCGGCCCCTTTATGCTCATATCAGCACACATGCAATATTCTTTTGACTGGTTCCTTATCAGTTTTGCAGTAGAGCAAATAGGCTCTTTGATTATTTTTTTTTCCCCCTTGCAGGATCTCTGTTCAAATTCCACTCCAGCTAGAAAATAACTTGAATAGTTTTTTTAACAAATTACCACCTCTAAACCAAAATGAAGGATCTTTGGAAAAAGATGATGATGGTGACAAGGATAGTAATAATCATGCTTTATTCTCTAAAACAGTGGTTCTCAACCTGTAGGTCCCCAAATATTTTGGTTTCAACTCCCAGAAATCCTAACACCTGGTAAACTGGCTGGGATTTTTGGGAGTTGTAAGCCAAAACTCCTGAGGACCCACAAGTTGAGAACCACTGTCAAGACCCAGGCGGACCAACGAGGCGAAACAGCAGCTTAAGGGTTAACAAAAGGTGTTTAATGGCAAATTAACAAGTCAAATGACTCTTATCAGCAGAGCGTGTAAACAAAAGAGCCTGCGGCTTGCAGGAATGTAAACAAGGCAGCAACCCAGGCAGTCTGGGCAGAAAAAAAGAAACTGAAGTAAAACAGACAAACAGTTCGTGGTAAGAATGGAATACAGGCAGTTCAAAAATCACAAAGTAAAAAGCAGTATGAGGAACGGTCCGAAGTCAACGCAGGAGACAGGCAGAATCGCAGAATAGTCAAGACGGTCCAAGGTCAAGGCAGGAGACAAGACTCACAGTTCCAAGGCAGGCAAAGTAGTCAGCACAGTCACGGAAACATGATTCTGGATGCAAGGACTCAAGGCAAGAGTTAACAGCAGAATACACAGGTACACAACACTTTGAACTCTGCAACATGATTGACCCAAGGCTACTCCTTAAATCCCATCAGAATCACTAGATTCGCCTCCAGGTGCATCCAGTTCCACAGGTGAACTGCGTTCCCTCCAATGTTGTCAGTCTGCACTCCGGGCTGCATCCTGAGAAGCAGTATCCGAAACCCATGGGTCTGTGAACCCTTGGAACTCATCACTGGAGGTTGGAGCATTAATCACATCCTGAACCTCCTGGACCCTAGTCCAGTCAAGCTCTTCATCATCACTTTCAGACCCGTAGCTATCTGCTATCTCTTTAAGACGCTTGGAAATGGATTCCTCATTGCTATCTGAACTGCGTGCTACTCGCTTTACACCACGGTAATCCTCCATCTCCATCTCTTCATGAGTAAACCCCTGAAACCCTTCCCCATCACTAGATTCTAGGAACATGTCCCTAATGCGCTTCAGCTGCTGCTGAGCGTCTTCCTCTTCCAAGCCTCGTTTCCTCCTACTAGCACTAGTAGATACATGAGGCACATGCTGAGTTATAACAACCACTGCTCTAAAACAAAACTCAAAGCAGGCCTATCATGTTGGACCTACTATATATACCATAATATTACACATATAATATTGATAATAATATTATAATGCAATACAATATAATACTAATAATACAATATAATTATATATTTTATATTACATGTAATATTACTAATAATATTACAAAATAGTGGTATAGTACAATATAGTAATATAATACTAATGTGCTGTGCTAATAATATAATATATTGTATACATATAATATTATAATGTAATACAATATAATTGTAATAATAATGCAATGTAATAATTATATATATTTATATTACATGTAATATTACTAATAATATTACTGTACAGTGATATAGTACAAAATAGTAATATATAATACTAATATTTGGTTACCTTCCCACCAAGGTTGTACTAATGTGCTGTGCTAATAATATAATATATTGTATGTACATATAATTTGTAAACCATTCTGAGTCTCTTTTGGGGTGAGAAAGGCAGGATATAAATGTCATCAATAAATAAATACTGTGGCCATCACCTCCAACCAATACAGTTGATGCAAAAGGAATGTGGAAACTTAAGTCCAAAACCATTAAATAGTTCAAGATTCTTCCACCTGGATCTAAACACTAATTTCTTTTTTGTTCCTGGTTGAACTTGATTTCCTTTCTTGTCATTTTGTGTCAACCAATATTTTATTCATTTTAGACATTAAACAGACAGAGACAAACTGTGTGTGTGTGTGTGTGTGTTTGGTTGGATGCTTCTCCCCCTTGATTACTCCTGTTCCACGCTTTCATCTCAAGACCTTGAATATATCTTTTAGTCAATTATCAAGAGCAAGAGTCACATTTTAACAGAAATGTAAGAAAATAAGGACATAATTTCAAATCAAAAGGGTTGATTCCATCAGCACTTCTCATCCTATTCCTGCCCTTTGCACACAGCAAAATAACTTTATCTCTCAGAACAGACACCCTGCCTTATACAGCCAAATCTACAGCAGAACTACAGGCAGTATGGTGTTAATCCGCCCAGAGTCAAGAAAGTGCTTGGGGAACTTTTATGCCCAGCTCCAATTACTTTTTCAAAGTAACGTTTTGCATGTCCAATTAATTCTGATCTGTGCTTTCCCCCCAGGCATGTAAGAGCTCCCACAGGAACTTTGAAAGGTTACAACAAGGACTAGATGGATCTCTTTCAAATTGTCAAAGATTCAGCTGCCCCCTTTTAAAAGGGCAAAACATTCCAAGGGCAAAAGCACAGATAAAAGAAGCATAGAAAACTGGCTTTAAAAAAAAAAGACTTTTTCAACTATTGTGTTACACTGCATTTGGTATGAAGTGGCTCTGGGTCTATACAGGAGCATATATTTTCTTATTGTAGAAACAAACTGCAGCCACAAAGAGGCATCATTTTAGATTTGTGGGGTGAGGATGTGTCATTCATCCCCACCCCCAAAAATTATAGTCACAGAATTGTAGACTTGGAAGGGATCCTAATAATTTCTGCTCCAACCATCTGCCAATGGAAGATTCATCTGAACTTGATATATTATTTGGAAAAAAACTAGCACTTTTGCATTGCTTTTTTTTTTAACCAATTATTCATCATCATTATTCATCAGACACAAAGTAACTGCTATTAATATGTTACTTTTATTTCAAAGACATAGGTGTTAGTCTGAAATCAACATATAGCACTTTTGGGACCAACCAAGAAAACAAAGTTAGAAGCGTGAACTTTCGTAAACTAAGTCTGCAGGTCTACATTGTCATCGTCCAAAATGCAGGTCTACATTGTCATTGTCCAGATGCAGGTCTACATTGTCATTGTCCAAATAGACCTAACTGGAGAATTTGGCCCCGACGTCTGAGGCAGCAAAAGGTCTACGAAAGCTCAAGCTATCAACTTCATTCTCTGTTGGTCTCTGAGGTGCTGCAAGTCCCCTATTCATATTTACTTTTAAGCTATCTTTTCAAAACTTGAAAAATACCCCCCCCCCAAAAAAAAAGCCAGAATTGCAACACTTCACCCAAAGGAATACAAGAAAGTAACAGCTAAGTATTATTTCTTATTGAAAAATTTGTAACCTATGTTAAGGCTAAAACACAAAATTGACTTCCCTTGCCTCCTTCTTGTCTCCTCAAGTGACAAGTAAAGCCATCACTTGTGACATGTTACATGCAAATTTAGAGAATTCTTCATCCTGGTATATGATATTTCAAAGGTTATATGCAATACATCATTTTAAACATCATTTTAATAGGTTTCTCATATTAACCTGATAATTGTGTACATGTGTACACAATTCCAATGGCTACATCCTATGCACCAGAACACCATGGAAAGTTTCAAATGTTGAGAAGCTCTGAAAGTCAATTGTCCATTGTCATGGTCCAGAACTGGAGTCAGTGTTGGGCCTCATTGGGGATTTTGATGAATGAAGGTGTTATGTGCTGACTTGCACATCTTAATGATAATCTTGAGAACCAATCCTATGCGGTGTTGTACATGGTATTTTGTCATAACTAGGGCTACAATGCAGAACCAAGGGTAAGACAACCTAAGTCTTTATCAAATCAGGACAGCAGCCAACTTGCACATTAGCAGATGCTACATTGAACAGAGATGTTCTGAAAGCTTTTTCTGAAGTCAGTGAGTGCATTACCAGCATGAGGGAAAGTTACTTTCTCAGAATACCACTTCCAGAGTCCCCCAGCCAGCATGACCAGTGGATTTATTGGCTAAGGTATTCTGGGTACTATTGTCAAAACCAACAACTCATTCCATCTTTTATTTCACATTCACTCTGCCCTTGTACTTTCTAGTAGTTAGCCAGAGCCATACAACCCACTCTGGACCTCAACCCATCTTAAAACAGTTGGAAATATTTCTCAGACTCTTTTGAACTGAAATACTACACAGCTTTATCCTGATTTCTATCTGAAAGTAGTAAAAGAGAAATAGTCAGAGTCCCCACAGAAAAAAAATGTTATCCATTACAACATATAATGCATGATTGGTGGGAAGCCCACATCCCTACCTAACTTCCTGTGCTCTGTTTCTAGTGTACCGCCGGAAACACCAGGAACTGCAAGCCATGCAGATGGAGTTACAGAGCCCTGAGTATAAACTGAGCAAGTTGCGCACCTCCACCATTATGACCGACTACAACCCAAATTATTGCTTTGCAGGGAAGACCACTTCCATTAGTGACCTTAAAGAGGTGCCCCGGAAAAATATTTCTCTAATAAGGTAAACTACCCTATCTGAACTCTTTTGGCTCAGATACATTATGTGTATAAGAATGAGCAAAATCACCCATGTTGAATCCATTCTAGATTTTAGTTTGAACTTTGAAGGGGCTAACCAAGGTGGTGAACTGATTTTGAGGCTACGGTTCAACATTTTGTGGACCCTCCCTTAACCCCTCTCCAGTTATTAGAGTTTGGGCTAAATCCAGAATGAGTTTACCACTTCATTGACACAGAAGCCATTAACCTCCACCACACATATACCTTCAATATGAGATCAGCTCATTTTCATTCCCAACTACTGATGCTGTAATAATTGCTTGTTGATATGCACCTTCAAGTTGAACCTGGCTTGTGACAACTCTATCCTGAATTTTCTTGGCAGGATTTATTCAAAGAAGCTTTCCATTCCATTCTTCTTAAACAGAGAGAATGTGATTTGCCCAAGGCCACCCATTAGGTTTCCATGGTGGAGAGGGGATTCAATCCTGGTCTCCCAGACTCTTAGTTCAGCACTGAAACAACTACATCACCCAGACTCTGATCCTAACAACAGTCTTCTGTATTTATACATTAATCATAGTGGGTAATCTCCTCTCCTAGCCCCTGGTTCTTCAGTCTGACTGGTTGGCAAAAATGTTCAACATCTGTTTCCTATGGAGGATCCAGAATACCCTCATTGGTAAAATGTAAGCAATTCCTCAGGCACTGGACATAATTTGCCAAGTCTGTTGCATTGTGCTGACATCTGGTGCAGTGACCTTTAGGAGATCCATTCAGCAGCAAAGACCGTGGACTCCTGACAATTAAGAATGACCTGATCGTATCTGTTGCACCAGACGCCAGGATGACAAGCAAAGCCACACTGTGGCCTCTGGTCATATTAAGGAACTGGGTTTCAGATGCAAGCACTAAAGGCAAACAAAGTTGGCTTGAGAAACTTAATGTCAACACTTCTATATATTTCTAGTTATAGCTAGCTCCAAGGCAGGAGTGAAAGTATTTATTTCTCCTTTTCCTTGTGCTCACCTCATATTCATAAAGTTTTTGCCCACCTACAAAGTGTCAACTGCCCCATTTTGTTTTCTACACACTCACTCATTTGTACAGTGTTTAGGTTTTTTAAAAGAAACATGCAAATTTCACTGAAAGAGTGTTCTCCAATCAGCAGGAGAAAAAAACAACACTGTTAATCAAAGCTGCATGAGAGTATGTGCCTTCATGTTACATTTTGACTTGTGGTGGCCCCATGCATTTAACAGGGTTTTCTCAGAAAAGGAATCCTCCAAGGCAGTTTTCCCAGTTCCTTCTTCTGAAAAATAGCCTACAACACTGGCAGTCACCCATTCAAGTTCTAACCAGGACTGGCACTACTAACTAAAATCCAATATGATGTGGTTCCCTTAGGATAATTAAAACCTGAGGGAAGAAGATACATGATATATTGTGTCCTTCTCTTTGGAAGAAGCTGTCACCCTGCATAGATAACCCATGTTTCATCTAGTCTACTTTATTAATAAAGTGAAGTAGACTAGAGCATGTATAGGGCATACTGGTATCTCCTTGCCTTTCTAGCTATCTGCACTAGCATCAGTCAGAGTGAAGCAACTACTTTGTGGAGCAGATTTTGGATAAAGAACAGCAATTGCTCTCTTGGGTGTTTCTTGAAGTTCCTACCTCATGTGGATGATGCACCTTGATTTTCTTGGGTCATGCATGTGTGCTCGGCATCTAATGTTACCAGTCTGTACACCGCCCTGAGTCACCTTCAGGCTGAAAAGGACGGGATAAAAGTGTAGTAAATAAATAAGTTTGGGGGGAGGGTGCCATTTGCTACTCTTGAGTCCTTATGTTGGGAGAAAGGCAGGATAAAGGTATAGTAAATAAATACTCTCCCCTAGGAAGAACAATGCCTTGAACTAGAACTGGTTTTTTGACTCCTTCTACCACCCACCTTCTCTTACTGATCCTCTTTCAGACTCCACCTCACTGCTACTGCTAGTTTTATTACTTAGCCCCATATTTATTGTTGCACAAAGAGTCAACTTTTTTTTGCAGTCCATCCAGAGACAGTATATTAATAGTTTATTTAATTCTTTATTTATTTACTTCATTTATACCCCGCCTGGTTTCATTTACCGATGCTTCAAAAAAAAAATCCCCCTCCCCCTGAAATATTTCTGTGGGCTTCTCTAAGTGGTCCATTGCTATTCTTTGCTATTCTTCCAGCCCATATATCGTCAAAATATTTATTTATTTATTTAAAACATTGATATTTATATTTGCAATTTTCCCATGGTTTTAATATTGATATGGGGAACAGCAATAAACCACCTTGAGTCTCTTCCACGGTGAGCAAGGTTGGGTAGAAATGTCGTAAATAAATAAATAAATAAAATCCCCCTCCCCCCCTCCACACACACACATGCATATAGTAGTCATGCTGTAGTTGGAAGTAGTCTGGCAGCAAGAATGTTACTACTGAAAGAGGACTCTTTGCGGCACTGTGTAACAAACTATGATTCTTTATGGACATGTCCAATGGAAAAGCCCTAAGAAACAGGCTCTTGACAATTTGATAATTCTACCACACTGTGCATTGATTTTTTTAAAAAAAAACATTCTCATTATAAAGCTCCGTTGGATAAGCATGGCATTCCTCCCTTAACCCTCCTCCAGTTAAACAATCAATCATTCACTTACTTGTCAAAAACTCTTTGCACCTTTGAAGTGCAGAAAATTCCATCTCTTGTTTACTTTTTATATTAATTTCTAGATCAACAGCTGGCCATTTATTATGATAAAATTTGTTCTATTGATGTGGCATTTTCCCTTCGTAGGTTTGCCATAATTGTTTTTATTTGGTTTGTGTTCATTGTTTATTTCCCAACTGCTTCTTAAGGTGTTGAAGCATCTTTTCAGCCCTTTCCTGTCTGCACAAATTCACCCAGCCAATTGAGACTCCCTACAAGTATGAGGTTTTGTAAGACAGATCCCTTGCCCCTCTCCTTCTTTCACTCACTCCCATTTTGAAAGATGCCCCCAAATGTTTCAGAGCTGTCAGCTCAGCACACTCTATATTTGCTATGTTGTATTTCTGGATACACAAAAGCCTGGTGGGATTTGGCAACGCCTGCACGTACAGCATTTCTACATTTTTATTAATCATAGGGTGGAATGAGTAGTGACACAAAACTTGTGTAATGAGCCCACAAGAGAAAATCTATCTTAACAGGGTGCATGATTTATTTATTTCCCCGTTTTCTGTATTCTTTTAAATAATTAATCTTGAAACCCACTTTAGAAAAAATTGTACCGCACCTCCGGTAATAATGGTTAGTCATGGCACAGAATTGCTATGAATGTGTTGTGCGATGCAAAATTTGGTTATTCCCATTTTACAGATCCAACATACTAAGGTCATGGGCTAAGGGCTAGGGCTGATTGTTAGCTCCAGTTATATAAGTATTGAATTATTCATTTTCCTTTGATTCAGTGGGTCCACTCTTATTGGAACTCATAACTGGATGCAGTCCAGAAGATCTGCAATCAATAGTTACAAAGTCATTTGACACAGATGACCTTTGTCAAGAGAAAGAGAACGTCAGGAAGTGAATCTGGAGAATGAATCTGAAGGGATAATATCACTACTATATAGTTAAGATATAGTTCTACTATTGAAATAATTTATTATTATAGAGAAGACAAGAAAGTTTTTATGCATGCTTTTGTCTGTCCAAGAAGTTCTGCACAAAACTGCACTTCTCTTAAAGGACCAACCTGGTAGTTTCATGATTTTCATACATTCAGTGTAGGAAGTAATTAAGGCAACCTCCATTTTGTATAAAATGATCAATGTAATATATGTGCGGTACATTAAATCCTTTGTTTTTTCTGATTTCTTCAGAGGTTTAGGCCATGGAGCCTTTGGGGAGGTGTATGAAGGTCAAGTGGTTGGGATCCCAAGTGACCCCAGTCCCTTGCAAGTGGCTGTAAAAGTAAGTTTTTAAAACTGTACAAATAATATCATGGAAAATGTTTAGTGGGTTTGCTTTGTCAAATGTCTCTGTTCCCTTTTCCTTAAGCTCTCTGGAAGTATTGCTACTTATTGTTATCAGAAAAAAACCCCAAAATATTCATTATCACTCCAGTGATAAATTTTAAAATGATAAATTTTAATGCCCAGAACCATCTTTAAAGGCTTCAGTTAACTGAACACTCTCCCTAACAGGGATTTCCTGTAGAGGGCATTTCAGTAACCACTTACATCTTTCTCATTCTGCATTGATACCCAATCCAAAGTTTTCATCATAATGACGCCATTAGCAGATTTTAGCAAATGATTCCTTTCTTCTCATGGATATAGGGGAAAAAACCTCCTGCTGACATTTATTTGTAACGCTTTGAAAATTCAGATTGCACACCCCCTCAAAAAAGTATTGGTGTCTTGATTTTAGGCCTGTTCCTGAGGTTATTTGGGATGCTGATTCAGAAAACAGTATCTAATACTTACTTAGGCGATCCCTCGTAGCCTGAAGATAATGGTCCTCCAAGTGTAGTGTCTTGGCAGTGGGTCCATAGGCATCTGTGGAACCCTATTCTTGATCAGCATTTTCTCAGGCAGTGAGGACATCGGTTTCCCGGTGGAAGGCCGTCCCGGTCAGGGTTGGCTTGATGCACCTTCTTCTTGGCACATTCTTCCCTTTTGCCCTCCATTTGTGCCTCTTCAAATTCTGCAGCACTGCTGGTCACAGCTGACCTCCAATTAGCGTGCTCAAGGGCCAGGGCTTCCCAGTTCTCAGTCTCTATGCCAGTTTTTAAGGCTGGCTTTAAGCCCGTCTTTAAATCTCTTCCTGTGCACTAACATTACGTTTCCCATTCTTGAGTTGGGAGTATAGTAACTGCTTTGGGAGATGGTGATTGGACATTTGGACAATGTGGCCAGACCAGTGGAGTTGATGGTGTAGGAGCTTCACTTCAGTGCTGGTGGTGTTTGCCTCTTTTAGCATGCTGACATTTGTCTGCCTGTCTTCCCAAGAGATTTGCAGGATTTTTTGGAGGCAACGTGGATGGAATTGTTCCAGGAATTGAGTATGATGTCTGCAGGCAGTCCATGTTTCGCAGGTGTACAGCAGGGTTGGGAGGACAATAGCTTTATAAATAAGCACCTTGGTCTCCCTATGGATGTCCTCAAACACAATCTGCTTCATTCAGAAACATTGATACTGAAATGCAACACCACCTGAGCTCTGCAATCGCAGAGCTCAGGCGGTGTTGTATTTCAGTATCAATGTTGGCTTTTGAGGAGAGGTGACTGCCAATGTAGCGGAAATGGTCAACATTTTCTAATGTTACATCATTAAGCTGTATTTCTGGCATTGCAGAGGGATTGACTGGCGACTGCAGGAAGAACAGTTTGGTTTTCTCAGTGTTCAATGAGAGGCCGAGCTTCTCATATCCTTCTGCAAAGTTGTTTAAATTGGCTTGTAGGCCTTCTTCTGAATGTGCACAGGTGACTTGTCATTGGCATATTAGAGTTCTTTAATAGATGTTGTTGTGACTTTGATGTTGGCTTTCAGTATGCTGAAATATATTATTGGATAAACCAGATCAGCTCTAGTTTCATAGATATTATTATCATGATTCTTTATGGATGAGCAGATGGCAACTGGTATATGGCATATGTTTTGTATCTCAAATACTAGAGCTGATAGGGGGAAACTGATGCCATATCTTGAATCAGTGGGTTGAATATACCCAGAAACACCAAAGCACCAAAATGTATGTTGGTCAATATTTTCTCTCTCCATTTACAGCTCTCACAAAAATTGGGTCCTCAGATGTTGTGTGATGACAACTTCCATCATCCCCACCCATCAGTGTTAATGGGGATTGTAGTCCAATGCCATCTAGGGATGAATGTTCACAAGAGGGTGGCCTGTAAAAAAGGTGGAAGCTCAAAGGGTGGAGAGTGTAACTGATGCGTGCTGACCCATGGAAGTTTGCTCACATGTCTTCTGCTGCTTCTTCCTTGTCTAGACTTTGCCAGAGGTTTGTTCTGAGCAAGATGAACTGGATTTCCTCATGGAAGCTCTTATAATCAGGTATGTTACTTCAAGCAGCTCATGGCCTTTTTGCCCCAGCAACAAAATCAGAAGCCGGGGATAAGGCTGAGTGCTGTGAACCCATTTTGAAAATATTTTACTTGTACTCAAACCAATTCCAGTATATTATTATCCTGCAATCTCTAAAATTGCAAGGTTTAAAACAATAAGGTGAGTCATATTTTTTTCATGCCAGAATAACGTGGAGGGAGGAGAGACAGAGAAGACAGGGAAAGACTTATAGCCGAGTTCTTCTAGTTTGTTGTAAAGTCTCTTTAGCTGTACACAGCCATAAAGAACACCATTTTCCCCAAAGTGAATGTTGACATTCAGTAATGGCAATAACCCTGGAGCAGCTACTGAAATATAACAAGCCCACTGTGACCTCTTTCCACTTTTGCTCAAAAACCCAGGAAAACATAGAAGGGGTGAGAGAGTGACTTAAAGTTTCCTGAATGGTTGAAAACCATGGGTACCTTTCTACACACTGTCACAACCATTGCTGGGCCCACAAATGGCTGATGCTATTTTAAATATTGCTTCATATATCTGGATACTTTTTTTCATGTCAGGAACAACTTGAGAAACTGCAAGTCACTTCTGGTATGGAGAATTGGCCATCTGCAAGGATGTTGCCGAGGGGACGTCCGGATGTTTTACCATCCTGTAGGAGGCTTCTCTCATGCCCCCGCATGGGAAGCTGGAGCTGACAGATGAGAGCTCACACCGCTCTCCGAATTCGCACTGCCGACCTTTTGGTCAGCAGTCTTGCCGGCACAAGAGTTTAACTCATTTTGCCACCTGGGCACTGTCGTTATGGTACATGAAAAAACCATGACTGTTGAGACTGTTTTAAAAGTCTTGTAGTTTTCTGTGGCAACTAAACCACAACACATGTAATGAACTCTTAAGAAAGGGGCACACCAAGGATGTTGCCCCTCCCCCCCTTTGATAGGTATTCTGCCTCCTCAAATGATTTTTTCTTTCACTCTCCAAATTTCTAGCATTAAAGAAAATGAGCTACTGGAGAAAAAAAAACATTCCTGTCTAGAATTCTTCTATTTGCTGTGTTCGTATCCCCCTGGCAACTTTGCCCGTTCCTTTATTCTGCTTCTGCTTCTGCTTCTGTTGCTCTTCCTCCTCCTTCTGGGGGGAGGGGGAGGGCACCAAAACTACATTTTAAAATGCTCAACAAAAATGTATATACCTAAATATCATAATCATCTGAAGGTTTAAGTTACTATAAGACTAGAGATCTGGGACTGCAAGAAAATTTGATTGAGGCAGAGCTATAATTGGTGAGATGCCCTCATAAGCTTCACCCTTGCCTCCAGATGTTGCCATACTAGCCCTCCCTTCACTCAGTGGTTATGCTGGCTGGGCTGATGGGAATTAGCAACTTCCGGAGGGACACACATTCCCCAACCCTGCCCCAACAGCAATTACTCACTGACTGGTGCAATAGATAGATAACCCAGACCAAAATGACAAGATCTGTTGGACAACTGTGTATGTTTTGAATTAACATGTGCCACTTCTTTCCCTTTCAGCAAATTCAACCATCAGAATATTGTGCGTTGCATTGGGGTGAGCTTGCAGGCACTGCCACGCTTTATTCTGCTGGAGCTTATGGCTGGAGGAGACTTGAAATCTTTCCTAAGGGAGACACGACCAAGACCAGTAAGGGGACAAAAAAACATTTTGTGTGGTGCAGCATTGATCAATCTTTCCTTTTTTTTAAGGGAACTTTTTAGAACTTTAACAAAGCCTTTTAACACTAAGCTAATTTCAAAGATTGGAAAGTTATTTGTCTAAAGTAATTTGTTCTTTCACTGTGTTTATAAAGTAACCCATTCCTGATATTCCTTACGGTGATTGAAAAAAGTTGAGTCATGATATTGTTATTGATTGTGATTTGTTTTTTTAATTGTTTTATAATTGCTTTTGATATATGTTTTATTTTATTGTTGTTGTCGGCATCAAATTGTGCCTTTTGTAAGCCGCCCTGAGTCCCCCCTCGGGGGTTGAGAAGGGCAGGGTAGAAATGCGTGAAATACATAAATAATAGATAAATAGATAACAAAGTGCTGAGATGGAAGATTTTCCATGCAGACAGAATGAAGTTCACATGGTCTGCAATCAGGATTTTTTTTTACAAGACTTTCTGTTTCATATTCTTACAGTCTCATTGGTTAAGTTTGGATTAAGAAAAGATCTTGCACTATTGTTGTTAGTCTTTTTGTACTTATAATTGTCTGCAAAGACAAAATATGATCTCTTGAATTGGTCTGTTTCTGATATCTCAAAATATGCAAGCCTCAGAGAGAGTCATAAGAGTCTCAAGCATAAAAGAATATAAACATATATCCAACATCTGAGTCTTGATTATCCATGCACCAAAGGATTTACCCCCCCCCCTTTTTTTTTTTTTCCTCTGCCATTTGAACTGCCTGAAAACCTTCTCCAGCAGGTCTTGGGGATGAAAAGGTGGCTTCATTGACTTGATGGCTAGAGCTTAGGGGTTGCTCAAATTCTAAGGATAATGAAACTTCTTGGAAAATGAGACTGAATTTCATTTTAAAATGGAATTACATTGAAGACACCAAGATGTCTCAGTGTTTGCTCTGAGTTGGTGATAGCAGCGGTGTGTACACAGTTCATTCCTTTTAAAATGTGATTTTAAATTACTATAGTCTCTTCTCATTATACTGATCAATACCTACTTCAAGTCAAAGTTAACTTTGTATAATTATGGATCTGCTCACTGCATATCATGAAAAATACCATTAGTAAGTAGTGACTATCTTGTTGATACAGATAGAATAATGAAGTCTGATAGGACCACTCTTTTGACAAGGTGAAGGAAGGTGGAGAATGTGAATAGACACAGTGACACATGAGATAGTTCCACCAGAAATAATGAAACAAAGAGCATAATAGAGAGCTTGTCAGGGAGAAAACTTTGTGATAGAGGAAAATATAAGAAGAGCCAGACCAAATGAAACAGGATCAGTAGTGCAGAGATTTCTTTTTCATTAATTTCACTTTCAAAAGAGGCAATAAGAAATTTTAGCAATTTTATTATTTCTTGCAAGAAAAGCATAAAAACCTATGTGGTTTTCAAATACTATTTACAGTTCAAGTTTCTATGCATTAAAATTGTGTGTAATATTTGTACAGAAAACAGGAATTTATACATATACACTGCATTTGGCACAAATTATTGCCAATCCAGGTGTCACCCATTCTGTATTTATGTATTTTGTATTTCCTGCTGAACTGTAGTACTTTACATTCATTTTGTTTGCTTTAGCCAGATTCCTCAATCTGTTAGCGTCATCCTGAATCCTGATTTTGTCTTCAGAGGTATTCATTACTTCCTCACTCCTACCCCAGTTTGCTTTCCTCTGCAAACTTGATTAGTATCCCCTATATGTGTGCATCTCAGTCATTTCCAATAATGGTGAACGGCATCACAGCCAGGACAGAACTGTGCACTGTCCTATTTATCATTTTTTTCCACCAAGATGACAAGAATCAATTAGGGAGCATCTGGATGCAGTCCATCAGCCACCTACAAATCAATTTAAGAAAAGCATCATCTAGTCCACATTTTGTCATTTTCTTGACAAGAATATCATGATCAAAAGCTTTGCAAAAATAAAGATACATTACATTGACAACATTCTCCTGATCTGCCAGACTGGTATTCCAGGTGAGGCCTGACCAAGCAGAATAGAGTGGAGCTATGAATTCCCTCAATTTAAAAGCTATACAGGCAGTCCCTGAGTTACAAACATCCAACTTACAAATGACTCATAGTTAGGAACAGGGATGAGACATCAGGAAGTGAGAGAAATCTACCCATAGGAAGGGAAATTCACTCCTGAAAGAATTGTCTTGGGTAAAGGTATCTCCACTGAAGCTTTATCACCAATCTTTGTTTCCACAACAAGACAATTTGTAATCCAATAATCGCAGGGATAGAAAGTTAGTTGAAATCTTACTACTTTTGGTGCAGACTAACTTTATTTTTTGTATCCCACCACTGTCTCCCTGAAGGAACTTGGGGCAGCTTACATGGGGACAAGCCCAGACAACATAGTTTAAAATATAACACAGTAAAATTATGAAACAAAATAATAAAACAACATAAAACAGCCATCAAATGAACAACCACTAGCCTGACTGAGCTTGGGCGGGCGGGGCTGGTGCAATTAGTTGCAAGGACAGGGCTGATGGATAAAGTGCAGGAGGCAGGTGATAAATTAGGACTAGAAGGGCAATATGAATTAGAATACTATAACTATAGGGCAGGGAAGAGTGGCAAGTGCACACACAAGGCATTGTGTTATGGCTGGGGGGGGGGGGCAAAGTTATCTAGTGAACCGATTAATCAAAGGCACAGTGGAACCTCCACATTTTTAGGTCTTTACAAAAAATGGACAAGGTGAGCACCAGTCTAATCTCCCAAGGGATAGAGTTTCAGAGTTGGGGGCCCACTACCAAGAAGGCCCTCTTTCTCTTCCCCACCAACCACGCTTGTAATAGAAGTGGGAGCAAGAGGAGGGCCTCCCCAGAAAATCTTAAAGCTCGTGCAGGTTTGTACAGGAAGATGCAAAGAGAAGCAGGTCCCAAAACATTTAGGACTTTTTAGGTGATAATCTGTACCTTGAATTGGGACCGGATACTTATCAGCAACCAGTGAAGCTATTTAAATAGGGTAGTTGACCACTCCCTGTAATTCGCTCTAGTCTAGAATCACAGCTTAGAATTTTTAGTTACCATATCACACTGTTGACTAATGCACAGCTTGTGGTCTACTAAGACTCCTAAATTCCTTTCATATGAGCTGTTTTCAGGCCAAGTGACACCCATCATATATTTCTGGTGTTCATATTTTTTTAGTTTTAGCCCAGCTTTCTAATTTGTTTAAGTCATTTTGAGTTCTGATCTCTTCCTCTGTGGTGTTAGCTACCCCTTCTAATTTGATGTCATCTTCCAGTTTGATAGGCATACCCTCTGCTCCATCATCCAAGTCTTTTATAAAAATGTTGAATAGCTCTGGGCCCAGATGAGCCCTTCTAAATACACTATAAAGAAATACATAATCCCAAGGCAAGGTAGAAAAGAGCAAATACACAAAAAGATATGCAGGAGAATAACTAAGACCTCCAAGCATGACCTCTCCATCATAAGGCACAGTAAATGATTTATTTCAGGCAGCTGATTTTAAGTGTGTCATGAAAGGGAAGCATTTCTATTGTTGTTATTGAATGCATTATGATTGTATTTTTACTGGCAGGAATAAAGAGAGGTGCATTGTGAGCTGGTCAGGCTCAGGTGCCAGAACAATTTCCCTGCCCTAGGGTCCTATACAACCTGCCTTCATAAGTCAGGGGTGCCATGCGCTATTCTGTCTCTAGCCTGGGAAAGGATTTATTTTTCTTGCCATACCCATCGGGTTTTACTCACAGGTGTGTGAGGATTAGAGATAGGGAAGACATGCGTTTTTACACATCCCTTGCTTTGCCAACTTTGTCTAAGAATATGAATCAACACTCACTATTTAATTTTTCTCAGACTGAATAGGATTTCCTCCAAGTCTTCTTTGTTGCTTTCATGAGACAAACTCTCTATGGGAAGGGTCATTATTTCAGCAATAAGCCCGTGTTACTTGATAGAGAAGGAAGACGCAGTGACACCAGGCTGTGCAGGTCCTTAAGGACTGAAATGTGCACACAAATCCAGACCATAAGCTCCTAAGGAGTTAAAAGCCTTCTCTGTTCAAGGGGTTTTTCACACATAGAAAAGTAATCAGGAGAGGTTTGGGGAAGATAAGCAGTAATTTCCCTCCTTTGTGTCCTGCAGCTTGTTGCTCAAAGCAGTGATTATGCTGAACAATAGAGTCGCTTCATTTTGTTGTCACCTTTTCGGAGGTTTGACCTAACAAGGAGGTATGTTGCTTTCCAGTTTCCTGTTCATCTCTTTCTCTCAGCTGCAGCCAGACAATTTCTGGATGGCTGCATCATCCTTTCATGGAACCCAAGGGCGGAGGTGGGTGGGAATCAGACCATCAAGGAGCTGTAACGTGAATTTCCTTGGCATTTCAAGGCTACTCCCGTGTTCCACATCTCTGTACAAAATGGGTCCAAATGCTTCATGTCTCAAACAAATTACCCTGTTAAATGGCCCTGAACTCAGAAGAGCCTTTAGTGGAGATGAAATAAAAAGCAATAGAGTTGTTGCCTTTCCTTTCAACTAAGGTAAAAAGTGTTTAACATAAGATTTAGTAGCAGCTCAGTCTGCATTACGAGGGAGAGGACTCTAATGGCTCTGCCGCACTAAGATTTAACAAAGTCTATTGTTGCTTTGTCTGATGTTACTTTCTTAGAAAGAGGAGGATGAGAAGGAAGTAGAGGACGATGACAAAGGCATCTGTGGCAGAAGAGTTGGGTCATGTTTGTCCTAATATTTGTTTTTCTCAAGTATAAATAGTTGAGCAAAGCTGTGACTTACTCTAACTGTAGGAGTCATCTCTCAGGCATTTTGTGCAAACTGTCCAAGGGGAAAGGTGAGGAGCTATCCAGTGTATTGAACCTTGCCCCCAATTAAGTTCATTCCATAGATGGTTCTTTTAAAGATTGAGACCTGAAGTAGAGTCACAGCCCAACTCACACTGGAGCCACCAGTGGCCACTGAAGAAATTGATCATCCAAGGCAATACCTTAGTGCCTTCTTTTAAGATGTACCTATCCAAGGTGCCTCTGCTGCTGCTGCTGCTTCCACAGTAAGTTTGGATTAAATTCCTGGGAGCTCATTTTAACTGATTTTGGTATCTCTTTCCCAGAACATTCAGAAGGAGAAGTGGGTGAGATCCACTCTTGCCCATTTCTTCCATTGTCATGCTCACTTCTGGTGTATTGCATTTCGATTGTATTTTGGACATGTGTTTTTGAGCATATTCAAAAAGAACTGGCCACTCTTAACTGTGTCATTATTCTCTGCCAGAAATTTGTACTTCTGAAGTGCTTAAAGAAGAAACAAGATTTTTGATAGAAGGTTCAAAGTGTAGCAGTGCTCCATGCCAACTTGCTCCTGAAAGCAGAAACTAAGCCCCATGGGACCACTTGCAATACCCATTAAACAGCTATTGAAGGAACAGGAGAAAGGGTATATGACTAGGCAGCTGCAATTGCATCTCACACCTCAGTTTTTTGAGGGCAGAAAAATGATAGTTCCTCCCTCCTTCAGCATCCCCTCGCCCATAGCATCATTTTTGCAAGGCCTGAGTGCTGCCTGGGCACAAGAAGCTTTGATGTAGAATACTTTGCCACAGGTTTTGTATGTGATACCAGATTTTGTTATTTCCATTTTATGGATCCAACCTGTGAAAGGTATTGAATCCTATTCTAGGATCCAACTAGAACAAAGACACTTTTTTGTTTTCTCATGTCAGGAGCGACTTGAGAAACTGCAAGTCACTTCTGGTGTGAGAGAATTGGCCGTCTGCAAGGACATTACCCAGGGGAAACCTGGATGTTTTACCATCCTGTGGGAGGCTTCTCTCATGTCCCTGCATGAGAAGTTGGAGCTGACAGTCAGGAGCTCAACCTGCTCCCCAGATTCAAACTGCCGACCTTTCAATCAGCAGTCCTGCAGGCACAAGGGTTTAACCTATTGTTGGAAATCAATATTTCACCAGTTGTAAGTTCTGTTATTCAATGGGTTCAGTTTAGTTGGGACAAAGATTTGAATCTGGACCATAATGCCCCCTGATCCCAAAGCATTCACCATGGAATTGTGCTTTTTTTAAAAAAAGATGCCTTCATCTTTCCTCCCTACTGGTCAAATGCTCAGCATTCCTTGTTTTGTTTGTTTGTTTCCCTGAATGCAGTATAACAACATGTCTTTTTAGTCTTCCTAGTTGCAAGGTAACAAAATTCAAGATAGCAAAATTCACACTTGTACAAAACCACTCATTCCCTCTGAAAAATGTATGGTCATTTTTCACTAGAATTTATCTAAAACCACAATTCCTGATCTGGTTTTTTTTGGCTAGTGTACCAGGCTAGCAACTCAGAGCCAAGTCCAAAGAGCTTTGGCTCCCTGCATTGGAAGATGGCACCCTAACCCTAACCCTATGCTACCCAAAGCTAATATACATATATTTTTGGCTGGAGTTATACTTAAAAATGTGCCTATTTCGACTTACGTACAAATTCAACTTAAAAACAACCCTCCAGAACCTATCTTGTTCGTAACTTAGGGACTGCATATATATTTCCTTCTGCTATAGAAGAATCCAGATATCTGTTTTCCCTTTCAGGTTGCCCTTCTACTTCTCCAAATTGATGTGTCCAGTTCTTTGCACCATTTCCCATCTTCCCCTGGCAAAATAGCCAAAAGTGAGGAATTATTTGCCTTTTCATTTAAAAATTGAGGGATCCTCACTGGGGAAGATACTATTGCTTCCAAACAATAACTTGAGCAGTGGTGGGGAAGAAGAGTATTTGAGAATTGTGTCTCCTCTATAATTTGCATTTCCTCTCTTAGAAAGAAAAAAATCATATTAAATTATCCCCGTTAGGCTGATCCTTTTAAAGTCCTCAGTCTGCACACAACTAAAAATATTTGTTAGCAACAAAGTAAAGGCAAAGTTTAGTGTCACATAGAAAACAAAGAGTAATCATTATGTTGCAGCAGGGAAAGAGCTTCAAAATGTTCCTTTTGCTGGACTCTACCTTGGTCAGACCACACCTGGAATACTGTGTCCAATTCTGGGTCCTGCAATTAAAGGGAGATGTTGACAAGCTGGAATTTGCCCAGAGGAGGGCGACTAGAATTATCAAGGGTTTGGAGAACAAGCCCTATGAGGAGCTACTTGAAGAGCTGGGCATGTTTAGCCTGCAGAAGAGAAGGTTGAGAGGAGACATAATGGCCATGTATAAATATGTGAGGGAAAGTCATAGGGATTAGGAAGCAAGCTTGTTTTCTGTTGCTCTGGAGACTAGGATGTGGAACAATGGCTTCAAACTGCAGGAAAGGAGATTCCACCTGAACATGAGGAAGAACTTCTTGTGAGAGCTGTTCAGCAGTGGTACTCTCTGCTCCAGAGTGTGGTGGAGGCTCTTTCTTTGGAGGCTTTTAAACAGAGGCTGGATGGCCATCACTCAAGGGTGCTTTGAATGCAATTTTCCTGCTTCTTGGCAGAATGGGGGTTGGACTGGATGGCCCATGAGGTCTCTTCCAACTCAATGATTCTATGATTTTATGACTGCAACTACAAAACCCTCAAGGCAACATGACTATAATGTCTCGGAGATTTTGGAAGTTCTAGTTCAAATGGTAATTTCTTTTAGCTCTGGAAAAGAGGAGGGATGACATAGATACCTATTGAAAATAATACTTAGGTATTCTGTGATTTTCTTTTTGAGCCTTTCTAGTTTCTGATGCCTGCTCAAGTGAGCAAAAACAGTGGTCCTTTTTAAAACACATGTCCATGCCAGGATTTGCAAAAGATTTGAAACCTTTCATTCCAGCAAAATGTGTCGCGAGATGGGTTTCCTGGCACTCTGCAGCAAGCCATGCTCACTTAGACGCCTCTTTGAAGTTTTATGCTTTGCATTGGTTTTTGTCTGTCTTTTTAGAGCCATCCCTCCTCCCTGGTCATGCTGGACCTGCTACACGTGGCTCGCGACATTGCTTGTGGCTGTCAGTATTTGGAAGAAAACCATTTCATTCACAGGTAAGTAGCAGAAGCCATTTACTGGGAAGGGAGCACTTTTCAGCAGCGTGTGTGACTTTCTTATGAAAGGCGAAGATGGTTGTGCTCTACTGCCCCCTCGAGGTTTAGTGCATCAGCCATCTAAAAATAACACTATGTAACAAAATTGCAAAAAAAAAAAACTGTTCCTGTTTGAAAGTGTTATTCCTGTTTAATTGTGCGGTACTTACTTTGAAAGTCGTTGTTATACTCCAGAAAGTTTGCGGCTGGCTCAAACTATGTTGCATTGGTTGAGACTCGATGAGAGTTGAAAAACGATAGCAAAATGTGCTGCAAAATGTCCCACAATAACGTTTTTGCAGTTTAATGAACTTTTTCCATGGTTTTATGATAGAACCAATTAGGCAATGACATTTATAACTCAGGAACAATAATTGTGTAATATAGTGTAATAGGAAGCAAGGCAAGATAAAGGTAAAGGTTTTACCCTGACATTAAGTCCAGTCATGTCCGACTCTGGGGGTTGGTGCTCATCTCCATTTCTAAGCCAAAGAGCCAGCGTTGTCCGTAGACACCTCCAAGGTCATGTGGCCAGCATGACTTCATGGAACGCTATTACCTTCCCAACGTAGCAGTACCTATGGATCTACTCATATTTGTATGTTTTCGAACTGCTAGGTTGGCAGAAGCTAGGCTAACAGTGGGAGCTCATGCAGCTTCCCGGATTGGGAAGCAAATCATGCACTATATTTGCTGGGCAGCAACACATTGACCACTTTCCTGCGTGTTCCTTGCTATTTCATATAAGATGTTAAGACGTAGTTTGAAAAATGAAAATATATTAACATGTAGGCTCAAGTGAACATGTGGGTGTTGCTTGCATTACCGTTCAATCAGGAAAGCTAGTTAACTGCAAGGATTTGTTTTTGTTGAATTTTTTTTGCCACTTGCTTTTATGATAGTTGCCAGATAAAGCTATTCTTTCCCCCTTTAGCTTTTGGTTGTGCGTTTTTAATCCAGTCATTGTGGTTTGTGCATTTTCCTATGGGAATTATTTGTGGAGTTTTAATCTTATACTGCTGAGTTTTCCACCTTGGCTTTTGTGTTTGTAAAACCAAGAGGGAGGGTGCTGCTCAGTAGTCAGTTACATGCGCTCTTTGTTTTCCAATGCATCATGTAATTGCTCCTTCAAAGGCCTTGTTTCACAGATGTCTTTTCATTTCTTAATACTTGTTCAAAGAACAATTTTCTTTCTCTTCTTCTATCTTAGAGACATTGCTGCTCGAAATTGCCTACTTACTTGTAAAGGCCCTGGAAGAATAGCTAAAATTGGAGATTTTGGAATGGCTCGAGACATATATAGGTAAGGCAATATAGCTCATTATTAGCATCATTAGGTAGGAACGTATCACTTGAAGATGCTATATTGATTTATCTGTCTTAGCTCTATTTCGCACTTTTATTTTTGCTATAGTTAAAAGACTTATAATATTTCCAAATACCATCTTCCAGTGTTAACATTTCCCAGTTTCCTCAGATCCAATTTTTCCCTCATTGCCTGAGTCCGTTGTCTTGTATTCAGTTGTTTGTATCCTCTGGGCTGCCCTGCCTTTGCTTCACCTTTTCTACACCAAATGGCACAGCCCTATTTTGACGTTTCAGTATCCTCCTCCATGGTGTTGACCTGGTCCCCTTCAGTTTCTATGTCATTAGTAAATCTTTCTCAATTGACAGCATATAAAAGAAGGGTCAGGAGAATGTAATTACACAACTTGGACTTTATCCAGGATATTGGGATGAACTATTTGGCAGTAGCAGAGAGTGCAAAGACAGACTTTAATGGCAGGCATCACATCCATAATGCAATACTACTGTCCCCACAGTGCCCTCTAATGTCAGGCTGGAGAATGACTGTTACATGACAATATAGTAAATTGCTCTGAGTTGTTTATAGGGTTGTCAAATTTTTAAAACAGCGGTCAAGTTCCCATGTAAAATTGGCCGGGGACACATAAGACAGACCTACCTTAGGCTTCCTTGTCTCATGAAATGAGGACCTTTACAAGATCTCCAGGTCAGATTTCATATCTCATGGGAAGCCCAAACCCCAGGAAAATCTCATGACTGCTGCTGACCATCTTACAACCAGGAGTCTTTGTGATTGTGAGCACATTATAATGTGCTTTTCTTTGGTGGCAGAAGCTAGAAAGGAGCGGTTACCAGCCAGTGCTTTTCCAGAAATGGAATCCTACAGCATTTGATATATGATATGAGGCCCTTTTGCTTCAGGTACTGAAGGTGGGGAGAGCAGGCCCGTAGCCAGGATTTCGTTTCGGGGGGGGGGGCTAAAAAATTTTCAGGGGGGGTTTCGGGGGGCTGAGTTTCGGGGGGGGGGGCTGAGTCTGAGTGAAAGAGGGGCTAGCCTAGCAAACCTTTTGTATCATTACCCCAATACCCCCATGCATATGGGATATATTGAGTATGGTGATCAGATCATGATATGAATAAATAACAGTTTAAATAATGCACCAGTAAGGCCTTTTCTCAAACCACCATGAGAATTTCGGGGGGGGGGGGGGGGCTGAAGCCCCTCAAGCCCCCCCCCCCGGCTACATGCCTGGTGGGGAGTAGTCTGTTGAGACCACTGCAAACACTTACCCTCACTTCATCAAGAAATATAGGACTTGGGGCATCTATTCTGACCTTGATATGGAAGCAGAATTTGACCCTCCAAATGCAAGATGTCTCATGTAAAGGATACCGAATAATCTTAGCTGTTCCTGTTATTATGCAAAGTATTGTGGGAGGTGGCATGGTCACAAATTGGCATTAAATCCAGTGAACCCATGGCTATGGGAACTGTCACAACGAACATCTGTCTTCCCCAATAGGCCATTCACCATTAGTCCAGAGAGAATTTTTGATACAGAACCAATTGTATTCTTAGTGACACAAAAGGACAGAACTTGGAATTGTTTCTTAACTAACTACGCTGTCGACACTTTTTGAGAACGTGGCACTTGAGAGTTCTTAACAATTAAAAAAGCATAATGCTTACCTTTTAAAAAAACATGTCAGAAACGACTTCAGAAACTGCAAGTCACTTCTGGTGAGAGAGAATTAGCCATCTGCAGGGATGTTGCCCAGGGGATGCCCAGATGTTTTATCATCCTGTGGGAGGCTTCTCTTATGTCCTTGCAAGGGAAGCTGCAGCTGACAGACAGGAGCTCACCTCATCTCGTGGATTTGAACTGACGACCTTCAGGTCAGCAGTCTAGCCAGCACAAGGATTTAATCCATTGTGCCACCATGGTTCCTTAATGTTTACCTAAGGACAGAGGTTCTTTACAATTACTATTGTTCTTTTTACGGGGAAACCAAGTCACCAGAATGAGCCTAGTCCATCTACATGGTTATTCCATTTTGGGTTCTGACAGGCATTTCACCTGTGATTTCTGCCCAAAGCAAACAAACTGTATACTGCAGTATTCATAGGGTTGCAGGGGCTCATAGCACTGGAGAACTGAGATCTATCTGCCGAGTTAGGATTTTGGCAACCTTACCTGGCTCATCATTGCCCCTCAAATGTCTCTGTTTCTTTAGAGATTAGCTGAAGTATTTCCTGTAGCCAATGGAGGAAAGTATTTTGAGCTACCATTTTTACTATGGACCATATTTTGGGGTGAAACTGGTGGATTGGTCTCCAATGAGCATTTATTCCAGTAGTATTATTTGCATTTGTTGGCCATACTTGGGAAGATGGGTTATGAGGTCACCATAGCAAGCATCTGTACCACACCACTGGTCTTATTAAAAACCATTCCAAGTGGCAAATGGTTCATTAAATAACTTAGGCTTACTCTTATGATACTTAAGATGATACTTACACAGTACACAACAATGAAAGGATTGGTCTCCACGAGTGAGACTTACTGCATATTTTGTTTCTGTGTTTTTCTATAAGTTAGAAAATGTTTTCACCATGATTCTGCCATAGTGTTTTGTAGAGGAAGAAAGAAGTGATCATCCCCACTGTTCTACCACTGCCACGCTTAGAGCCACAGACATGAACAAATGAATAATACTACATTGGAAAGAAAGCCCAAATGTCCTTTTGTTAACTCTTCCTTCCTTCCTAAACAGGGCAAGCTACTACAGAAAAGGAGGGTGTGCAATGCTCCCCGTCAAGTGGATGCCACCTGAGGCCTTTATGGAAGGAATATTTACATCCAAAACGGACACCTGGTAGGCCTTTGATTTCCCATCCAGGATACCACCAACATCCTGCCAAATGTTTTTAACATTATTTCTGAAGGTCAAACTAGACAATGGTCTACTTCCTATTCCTGATTAGTGAGGACCCACTACAATGACCATGGCTTGACTCATTTGATTTGTCTTTCACCAAATGATTCAATGAATCTACTGTATTTCAAATTGACAGACGGGATTGCAGGCTACACATTTAGTTACTTTTAAATAGAGGTATTTCCCCAAGAGTTAAAACATATGTGAATTTCCTCACCTATATATTTTGCATTTACTTTGCCTTGTTTTTGGATTGACCTTTGGGAGATTTAAACTGGCTTAATTCCCATGACTGGTTGCTGAGGCACATATTTCTGATAAAATCCCATTGTGGAAGGGAAAGCTGGTTAATTGTAGGAAATGCTCATTCTCCTAAAGATCTGTGTTGACCCTGAAAGACACAGGTCTCAATCCAAAATGTTCTATAGCACTGAAAGACCTGAAATAGTGTGGTTCAGTGCTGTGTCATTTAGGCCCCTTCTACACTGCCATATATAATCTGCATTATCTGCATTGAACTGGATTATATGGCAATGTAGACTCATTCAGTTCAAAGCAGATAATATGGATTATCTGCATTTATAATCTGGATTATAGTGTCATGACCTACTTTCCTGATGTTGTGGGGAAACATGAAAGTAGGTTATGCATTGGCCAGTATCACACCTGAAGCAAGAGAGAGCTGACCAGGATGGCGGGTTCCTATGGAAATGGGGTGGGCACGGTGAAAGGGAGGGCCAGGGTGAGGGATATGAGGAGGTGAGCAGGAAAGCAACTTTCAGATTGAACATTGCTTGTAACTATACTGTGTGCTTTGAGAAATAAAAGCCTTCCAGTCTGTCTGTGTGATAATTTCTTCTCTAGAGAGCTGCAGAGCAGCAGGACATAAAGTTCCATCTGAAAGTTGTTTTCCCGCTCACCTCCTCATATCCCTCACCCTGGCCCTCCCCTTCACCATGTCCATCCCATTTCCATGGAGATCCTCCGCCCTGGTCAGTTCTTCCTTGCTTCAGGTGTGCTACCAGCCAAGGCATGACCTACTTTCATGGTTCCCCACAGCAACAGGAAAGGTCATGACATATAGAAGGGGTCTTAGTGGTATCTAAGCTAAAAATCATTTAGGAACAATCTTTGCCTTGGTTTTTTCCAGTTTCACCAGTAACATGTCACCAGGTAACTGTAACAACTAGGGCTGGGTAACAACTGAAAAATTTGTTTCTAAACTCGTTTCGTTTTTAGGGGGTCCATTGCGTTTCGTTTTTTAAAAGAATTCTGAATTTTTCTTTTAAAAAAAAAAATCATTATTTATTAAATTTCGTAAATTTCGAATTGATTCGTTAATGGCGGACGCGATTGCGCAATATACTAAAAAACCCTCCAAATGGGACGGGGGAACTTCTGAAGCTTCTCTCCCTCTGTTGTTGACTGTTGGTGTGATAATTTAATTTTTTTATCACTGATAAAACAAACAACAACTATAAAACTTGCACCAGACATGCGGAAATAATAACGAAACGATTTCGAAACGATTTCGAACCAATTACGAAACAATTACGAAATAAATTGAAAAATTCGTTTCGATTTTTAGTTGCTCCTGCATGGCTCAATATCGGATCGTAAGCTAATTTAAATACGAATCAATAACGAATTACGAAATTAACGAACGAAACCGCCCAGCCCTAGTAACAACCATGGTTTGGAAATAGGGCATGATATGAAGAACTCATTTTCTATAACCTTAAGCCTCTGATTACTTCAAGAAGAGACTTGAAGTAGTTGTAGTATAACAAGATGAACCCACCAACCATACAGTTAGGTAGTGTTTAGTAACACAGATACATCTGTATGAATTTTATATGAAATGCCCACTGTCTTCTTTTCTTGTTTGTATCTTGCTCTTTTGTGTGCAGGTCATTTGGAGTGCTGCTGTGGGAAATATTCTCTCTTGGATATATGCCTTATCCCAGCAAAAGTAACCAGGAGGTCCTAGAGTTCGTAACAAGTGGAGGAAGAATGGATCCACCAAAAAACTGCCCTGGCCCAGTGTATGAAATATTCAAGGACTATGCTCCATAAACAATACTTATGTTATGTGAACTTTCTGTGCTCTGAAAAGCTTTTTTTTTCAATTGCTCATATATTTCACCAAGCAGCTAAAGCAAATGAGACTTGCAATAAATGATACCCTGCAGTATCAAATCAGGGTTCCATTCAAAAATGTACTTTTCCCAGCTAACTTCAGTACATTTCATTTACTATCCCCATAATGTACCTGTCAGTAGTCTATGATCATTCCGCATGCTTAGACTTCATTGGAGTGACTTTACAATGCCCCCCCCCCACCCCTTAAATATTTTTTCCTAAATATTTTTTGAATTTCTGGAACTCTAATGTTTTCTACTTCTGAAAATGTCTGTGGTCCCTTGACATAGCTCCCTCTTTGAATATATGCTACTATTTTGACTATGAAAGAACTGTCCTTTGAAGATGCAGTTTTTCCCCATCCCAGAAGTTAGGACCATATAACCCTACAGATGTTGTTGTACCTCAGCACTAATGAGCCCTAGCTCACATTAGCAATGGTTAGGGTTGATGACAATTGCAGTCAAAGATCAGCATAGACACAAATTCTCCATGCCACGCATCTTCCTTCACCGTTAGCTGCAGCGGTCAGCCATTTTGGTGGGTGCCAGCCATTAGCTCATGTCACATTTAGAGTGCTCATCTGCTTGCAATAATTCAAGGGCCTTCTCCTTCTCTTGCAAATAGCCTAAGAGCTTCTCACTAAATTTAATCCATGTAATGATATATCATAATGATGCGTCCTAATGCTTCCAGGTAATAAATCATCAAACTTTCCACAATTTTCCTCATTTGGATGGACATTACTTGGGTCACAAGCTAATATACTACTTCCTCCAATTTAAGTACCTGGGCTTTAGCCCATTTCTAGCATAATTGAGTTGAACTGAATTCGGCCAAGCTTTAGTGTTACTTACATTGAAGTCATCAGATGTGTAACCACAAGATTGTTGTTCTGGGGAACTTTGGATTTTGTTCCTGATATTTAGCGAAAATACAAGCTTCAAATATCCTGTATTGTTGCATAGAATTGTAAGCCCTATTCTTTCATTCTAAGCCAAATAGTTTACCAAATTAAGCTGTTAAAAGATACTTAGAACAACTGAAAAGTGAATTCCATTTAATATTATCTTCAGCTGCAGAAGCACCCTGTCCTTGTGTGCTTAGAAAATATAAATTCCAATTATTTCTGTGGGGCCTACATATGTGCATAGTGTTACTGCTTTGAAATACATTCTAAAGCGGTGGTTCTCATCCTGTGATGTTTGGCCTTCAACTCCCAGAAATCCTAACAGCTGGCAAAGTGGCTGGGATTTCTGGGAATTGTAGGCCAAAACACCTGGGGACCCACAGGTTGAGAACCACTGCTCTAAAGGAAGTTATGACAAATATACATTTTGATTAGAACTGTAATAAAATCATTTAGTACAAAAACCATTTATTTAGACTTGTAGATGTAGTTAAATTGGTAGATCCTGCTACAGTAGTATTACTGAATCAATTGTTAGGCCATAAATCAAAATTTTTGTACATTCAGTTCATTCAATGGGTCTATAGTACTTGAAACAAACAGTAGAATTTTGGCCTAATTTATGGATATCATGAGATGCCAAAAGTAAAGAGAGAAAATGAAGCCTAAAGTCTCCCAAGAAATGACCAAAGTTAGAGTATTTAGTCTGGATAGATCACGGCAGAAGCTATTGGGGGGAAAAATAACACCAGATAAAGAAAAAGGCAATACGAATTGAGGAAGATCACCTTATAGATGTTCTTAATCAAGGAAGCCATGCCCATAAGTTTACAGACCTGAGCAGGGCTATTGAGAAACTGAGCTCTTGGAAGCCTCACATTCAAAGAATCGCCTTAATTCAAAATCAAATTGACAAAACGTAACTAACTTAGCCGTCCTGTAATCTTCAGTAGTAAACTATGCCCAAGATCTTACATTGATGACATTATTCTAAACATGTAACTGCATATTGTCCCCAAATCTGATGTCCCCAAAACATCTTAAGAGCTAGCAGGTTATGTTAAGCAAAGATCTGTGCTGGTGGTAACCAGGGTACAGCAGGATGGCATTTCCAGCCACCTCACATTGGCAATTTATGGTGCAATGAGGAGTCGGAACAGGAGTGCTCCTTTTGATTGTCACATCAGTAATCTCTGGTGGGAGAGGTCTGGAAGCACCATCCTACTGCTCCCTGATCACAGACAGAACAGACCTCTGTTGACTGACTGGATGCTGGCCAGTGTAGAAGCAGTGCACTTACTGTTAAGGTAGATTTAGGGAAGCATTTGTGACCATGGCTATTGTGTCACAATTATAAACATGAAGATCAAGCAGTTATGAATGTGCAACTCTAGCTTATGGATTCATAACTATTCAACAGAATGCCAGCCTGTGCATCTTTCTAAATCAGCCTGCAGTCCCATTTTCCTACTATTTACCATTTGGTCTCCTGCTCCTCTTATAGATATCGGATAATGACCCAGTGCTGGCAACACCAGCCTGAAGACAGGCCAAATTTTGCCATAATACTGGAGAGGATTGAATACTGCACCCAGGTACCTGAGTCTACTTGACTGTTATTTTATGTTATTAATTTGCATGGCATATTACTTTGTCTTTCCAGGCTTCCCTTCACAAGACCAAATGGCTATCAGAGCAACTGCTCTTACCTAATCCCTTGCCCTAACTAAGAAGGCTGTAATGAAAGTATATGGGTCAGGCATGTTTAAAATGGTTTGTGGCCATTCCAGAAATGAAGTGCCTGTTAAGCAGACAACATTTGTCTTTCTTTCTGAACTTGGCTCACTTCTAAAGCAGAAACGGAATAGATTAACTTCCAAATATCATTAGACTACAGCTTCTCTCATTCCTCAAGAATGGCCATGCATCTTAGGACTGGCAGGAGGTGCAGGCTAGCAACATCATAAGGTGAAGCCTGTGGGAGTGGTGCATAACAAGGATGATGCAAACCTAGTATTACCCGAGACATATAGGCAAACTATTTTGTTTGGGGGTGAGCAAGGAAAGGGACCATTGACAGAAATCTATCTATTCTCTTGCTGTCATTGTTTACTTGTTCCCACAAATGAGGAAAAGAAAAGAAACCCCACGTTGCAAGAATTGTCATAATTTGCCACTAATGCCCAAGATGGCAAAATAGCCTAGAAAGAGTTTCTCAACTTCCTCAAATTATTGTTTTCTCTATGCTCCTTATCAACATCAACTCCAAAGGGTTTAGAATGGTCAGGGAGTCAGGCAACTTGCTATCCATGGACTCTTGGTTGTCTTTCTGTCACTGTTGCTGCTGCTCATTTGCTTGGCTTTTTTTTTTCACCTGAGCCTAATCATAGGATCATAGAATTGGAAGTGACCACAAGGGCCATCCAGTCCCCTACCATGCTGGAAAAGCATAATTAAAGTACCCCCAAGAGATGACCATCTAGCCTCCGTTTAAAAGCCCATACTCCAAGGCAGAGAGTAGCTCATACAGTCAGGGAGTCCTTCCTAATATTCAGGTGGAATCTCCTGATCCTTATCCACAACACCATCTGGGAATAGAGTAGAAGACAGCAAGAGGGGCTCAGGAGGGTCATACATTGCCCACTCTGCCATAACATCTGTGAAGCTATGGTATGAATCAAACTCGGATATGGCAATATGGTTGATAATAATGTTTTACATGGATTTTAACTTAATGTTTTTATCTACTCTGTTATGTCATGTTGTATTGCGTTTTTGTATGTGTTGGCATCGAATTGTTGCCGTTGTAAGCCGCCCTGAGTTGGCTTACAACCCTTGGGGGTTGAGAAGGACAGGGTACAAATGTTTGAAATAATAATAATAATAATAATAATAATTATTATTATTATTATTATTATTATTATTATTATTATTATTATGTGTTCTGAATTGTCTGGCAGTCAGTTTGAGTAGGTGCTCATATATTCGTGTGTTGGAAATAAAGATTAGTCCAGCAGTGCATTTTAGCCTCAAAACTTGTGAAAGAAAGTACATAATAAAGAAATGTGTTTTGAGTTTTTCCTTGTTCTACCTTTTAGGATCCTGATGTTATCAATACTGTTCTGCCTGTGGAATATGGCCCGTGCATTGAAGAAGAAGAAAAAGTTCCAGTCCGTCCCGAAGACCCTGAGGCAGTTCCTCCTCTGCTAGTCCTGCCACAGCAAGAGAAAAGGGGTGCTCAACAGCTCTTGCCATCCCCTCTCTCCTTGGCCTTAGCCATCCCTCCTGGAAAGCCTCTTATGAAAGTGGCTGGCATTGAGCAGCCGCCGGTCCGTGGCAACCCACAGGCACCCCTGGAAGGAGGACATGTCAACATGGCATATGCTCAGTCCAACTCTGCGACTGAGCTCCATAAAGGTGGGGGGTCCAGAAACAAACCCACCAATCTCTGGAACCCAACATATGGCTCTTGGTTTTCAGAGAAGCCAGTTGTCAAAAACACTTCACAGGTGGAAAAAGAGGCAACTGAAAGGGAAGGTTCTGGGCATGAAGGGAACAGTACTTTGGGACCCAGCATTGTGACTGGAAGACTGCCAAGCTCCTCCCTTCTTCTAGAACCATCTTCACTGACAGCCAGTGTTAAAGAAGTGCCTCTGTTCAGGCTCCGCCATTTCCCGTGTGGGACTGTTAACTATGGATACCAACAGCAGGGCTTGCCTTTGGAAACCCCTGCTCCACCCTTGTGCCAACAGTTACGGGGGTCCTCACCGTAGAAACTTGGCCTGTCCAGGGCCTTGAAAGTCTCCAGTTCTCTTGACTTTCTTCCTTTGCGACTCGTGACTCATGAGCCTTGGAATGAACTTCAGTGTCATCAACACAGAAAGCATGAGAGAAAAGAAGATACTCCTCTGTTCTGTGTCAACATGCTCAGAAGTGGCACCCTTTGAAGCTATGTTTTCCCCCCAGCACTCGAGAAGCCTCCGTGCTTCAGAGCCCCTTCCTATATCTATACCTACACACAAAGGTCATCAGTCAATATTATCAGCAAGGCCCCATTCTCAGTTGCATAAAAAATCATCTGCATGATTGCTATATGCTATGTGCTTCCCCATGCGCTGCTTCCTCTCAGTTGTTTGTGTGCAGTTTCATGACTCACAGTTCAAGCGTTCGGAGATTTCCTCTACTGCCAGATGCAAAATATGGAAATCCTTGATGTCAGAGGTTTGAAGAGACGATGGGGAAAACAATCATACTCCTAGCAGGAGAGCGGGGACAGATAATGTTGACTCTGAAAGGGCACGTAGCCAGTGCACCTACTGTGGGGCCCTTCCACTGTATCGTTAGCAAGAAAACCAAATTAATTGCACTCCTTTCATGCCCCAAAGGGACACTGTAGGAAATAATGCAACATGGTAAAATTCTGTAGTGCTATCTTGGTGAAAATGTGAAATCCTTTCATATTATCTGTCATGGAGTGATGCCGACTTAAACTTTCATACATACATTTTGAAGGTGTTTATGCTAAAATTTAGAGCTGGGCCTGCAAATCTTTGGCTCTTCTGATATTTGGGGCTACAACCTGTTGCAACTCCTTACCATCAGCTATGTTGGTTAAGGCTTGAGAGAGTTCAAATTAGAAATGTTGGGGATGGGAAGGAGAACAACGTTCTTCATCTCCGTTTTCCAGCTTGTACAGCAAGGAAGCCATTGGTGTTGTGTGTACATGGATAGTGTCCAGGCAGTAAAGCAGGAATATCATTGTAAATTTCTTTGTTCTGCATCAGGATATTATTTATCAGTAGCAACTATGTATGTGACACTTTAGGACAGGGGTCCCCAAACTAAGGCCCACGGTCCAGATGCTGCCCTCCAAAGCCATTTACCGGGCCCCTGCCCTAAATTTTAGACTTAGGGTCACCCTACATCTGAAACATCTTGAAGACACAACAACTACAATCCTAACGACTATCTCGTTAGCCAAAAGCAGGCCCACACTTCCCATTGAAATAGTGGTAAGTTTGTCTTGGTTAAAATTATTTATTTTAACTATTGTATTGTTTCCATTTTTTCTGCACTACAAATAAGATATGTGCAGTGTGCAAAGGAATTCGTTCATTTTTTTTTCCAAACTATAGGCTGCCCCCCCCCCCACCCCCAGCCAAAGGGACTGTGAACTAGCCTCTGTTTAAAAAGTTTGAGTACCCTTGCTTTAGGGGATGAGTAAAAAAAGGTTTGTGAATCAGTATTTTGTGAAGGTTATTTTAAATCATCAGCCACTTGCCATCCCTCAAAGTCATAGCTCTGATGGAGTCAATACTCAGACTAAGGAATCTCAATTTGAGTATAGAAATGGGAAGACAGGAGCTCCCAGTGGCACAATGGGTTAAACCCTTGTGCCGACAGGACTGAAGGTCAGAGGTTTTCGAATCTGGGGAAATCACAGATGAGCTCCCTCTGTCAGCTCCAGCTCCCCATGTGGGGGCATGAGAGAAACCTCCCACAGGATGGTAAAACATCCGGGTGACCCCTGGGCAACGTCCTTGCAAACAACCAATTCTCTCGCACCAGAAGCAACTTGGCGGTTTCTCAAGTTGCTCCTGACATGAAAAAAAAAATGGAAACATTGCCTACTTTATTGTGTTGTCCAACTCCCCCAACATACCATAGATTCATATTTTGACATACTTCAAAATTTCTATGAAGCTACCATAAATGAAAAGCATTGCCAAAGTATTCTCCTGTGAAGTAGGAGCCAAGATTGATATCACGTGACCAACATAAGAAATGGTGGGAATAGTGCTGGTGATGCCTGCCTGTCATATAAGCATAGTTGGTACCTGTTTTAGGCAGGTCAGTTGACCTGTTATCCTTCTGAGTATCAGGAGAAATTTTCAACTTTGTCATTCACTCATTAAAAAATGAAGGTGATCCACTTCATATATCTTAGTGAAGTAAATGGGAAATGTACATTAGTTATACCAACAAGCCTCCAATTGTTCCAATGGAGATTGTGTAAGGGAATGAAGACTAGTACAAGGGCTTATAATACTCCATTAAATAAATGCAGCTGCACTTCTGTGTAGTTATACTGCATAAGACCCCATTGATTTGATTGGGATTTTATGCAAATAAAGAAGACTGACCTTCATGAATGATAGGCAAAATACCTCCACTTTCCATGGAAGGAGCAATAAATCAATGAGGAAATGAGCCTGAATTCTTAGCAATGAATTACAGCTGGAATTATCTAGTCATGGATTCCTAACTGAAATAGCTCCCATTATGGAACAAACAAGAACTTTGAAATGTAGCTGAAACAGCTCAGGTTTGGTCCTGATTTTTGCTTGCAGTCACTCACAGTCTTTTGCAGTCACTGACAGTTCTTTTGTTCATAAAGCAGTTCTGCCCCAGCTATGACTTAGAAAGTTTTATTTTTAAGATCCTTGTATATTGCAGAAGAGGCAATCTTGACACTCCCACTTGTTCACAGCAGGGGGCATGCTCTACCTGCATGAATTGCCCTTGAGGGCAATTATTCAACATAGGCAACAAAATTATCTTAGGTGCAAAACACAAATTAAACATTTCTCACATGCTAAGAACATAAAGGAGCATTCGTCTACATTCCTGCACAGTCCTTGCAAACCATTGCTGCATGGCTTTCCGTGTGCATAAATCCAAGGGCATATTGGAGGAACCTCATCCTGTCTGCGTTACCAGATTCTTTTGTTATAACCTTTGATGAATTTCGAGATCAAGGGAAGCTTCTAAAATCACCGAGCCTCCCACAGCCACCTCAATATAGTGAGGTGTAGATTGCACTTGCCGAAGTAAAGGAAGGCCCTGGTTTTATGCCAATACTTGTTTGTGACGCTTAGGCCCATTAACGTAAGCAGGACTTCAGCACTCCCATCAGCAGGGTTATTTATAGGGCTGGTTCAGAGTGTGGAAATGGAACAGTCAATCCTCTTAAATATCTAGCACAGGTGGGTGATAAAGGATTTGAGTCACACTGCAGCAGGATAACATCACACTAGTAGAATTGGAGCGGCATTTCATTGCAAGGCAGACACTCGACTGAAAGGCAGGCAATAATGCTGGCTACAACAGCATGAAAAATAAATGGGAACACTGGAGTTTCAGAGGAAGTTATTTTGCCCCCCTCACAACATATCACTGCCTAAGATACTTTTACTTAGGCAATCCCTCAGAGCCCAAGGATGATGGTCCTCCAAGTTCAGTGTCTTGGCTGGGAGTCTGTAGGTGACTGTGAAGCCCTATTCTTGATATGCATGTTCTCCCGCAGTGAGGACATCCGTTTCCAGGTGGAAGGCAGTCCCAGTCAGGGTTGATTTGATGTGCCTTCCTCTTGACATGTTTCTCCCTTTCGCCCTCCATTCATACCTCTTCAAATTCTGCAGCACTACTGGTCATAGCTGATCTCCAGTTAGGGCGCTCAAGGGCCAGGGCTTCCCAGTTCGCAGTGTCTTTGCCAGAGTTTTTAAGGTTGGCTTTAAGCCCATCTTTAAATCTCTTTTCCTGTCCACCAACATTGTTTCCAATTCTTGAGTTCGGAGTATAGTAACTGCTTTGGGAGACAGTGATCGGGCATTTGGACAACGTGGCCAGTCCAGCAGAGTTGATGGTGTATGAGCATCGCTTCAATGCTGGTGGTCTTTGCTTCTTCCAGCACGCTGACATTTGCCTAAGATAGAGGCCGTTTCATGGGAGGTGGCAAGGAATATGAGATCAGCTAAAGGAACATTTGTTTCCATCTCTGTTTTCTCACCAATGTGCCATTGTCTGTCAGAGACTCAGGGCTGATTATATGCTAGCATAACCTTTGGAGGCACATTAGAGAATACACCGGAGCGTGTCAAAATGGAACCTATCAGGCCTTTCAAGAATGACATGTGGAACATTAGACGCTGTTGCTGGAACATACAGAGCTAAAGCCCTTTAGTGGTTTCAATGCAACATTCACTTAGTGACTTATTTGCCTCCTGTTATTGATTGTGCAGTACACTTCATTCTGGCAAAAACAGAAAGAAGGATGGCAAGCCACAGCAGGGAAGAGAATTAATTAGCCATGAGAAAAGTGGAACAAAAGCAAGTTAGTTCCACGGGTGGGGGTGAGCCTGTTGACTGAAATGTTCTTCCTCTTGGTTGTGGGAGGTAAAACGTGAGAGTGATGTTAGAACTGTGAAGCCACTTCCCTACACATCTGACATCACTCTCGGATAATAGTTTTAACAGGCAACTGGTCAAGTACATTTACTGGTAGGCGTACCCAACAGATGCCACTTCCCCACTCCTCCTGTTTTCAATATAAATAAGCCCCACTCCATTTTCTATAGGACTTTTTGCAAAGTTTTGTACATATAGGAGTGCCACGCTACATAACATAGCACTGCAGACAGGCTATCCTTTCACCCTAATTTCTAGGATGTTTAATTGATAAAGCACTGACATGTTCATTTTGCAGTGCATGGCTCTGGCTATTAAGACTTTCCTTTGGGACATCTTTTCCTGAAAGCAAGGCCACTAGTTATGCCCAAACTTTGAAAAACTACCACCATTGTAATGTCTTCTCACAGCTATATCACCCAATTCATGAATGTCTAAACCACAAGATGTCTTTTTAGGGAAACAAAAACTCTGTGTACCCAATCCCAGCCTCTCCTTCTGTATCAAAGCTTTGCCATTAGGAATGTGCATCACATTTGTACAGGTGCTTAGGCAACATTGCTCATAAACCAAGGGCCTATGCATTTCAGGGATCCTTCTCAAGATAAAATACTAATATATGGTCATTGTATTTTGTATTGTATTTGTATTGTAATCAAGTGTAGTGAAGCTAAAGGCATGAAGACAAAATAAAATGACTGTAAAGGAAGATCCGATTTTGACTTTACTATATCTGCTCTAATTCACCAAACCAATTAGTTCTTTATTGTGTTGGAACATAATTGGATAAAAAACCTAGCCCAGCACACAGAGTGCAAGTAATGGTTGAGTATCTAGCTAACAAGAGCAGGAAAGTTCTACTTGAGAAATTATAATAGTCAACAATCTGTGAAATGAAAAATTCCTATTTAGTTTACAAAGACAAACTAAGTTCTGGTTGAACAAGAGCTACAGCAGTCGAGGCAACTTTATAGAGGTTAACACCTTGCAGAACCATTAGCTCAGATGAAAAGGTTCCGTTGCACTGAAAACATCGTTAAACATTCATTTAGGACTGGAATTTATAGCATTTACATGATGGCAAATTGTTTTTGCACCTGATGGACTATCCACCCCTGAATTAACTCAGTACTTGGTTATTGTGCCAAGGATGTAAACAATGCTGCTCCCGGATACCAATTCTGCAGATACTAAACAGAAGAGTCAAGTGTGCTCTGAGACAAGTAATGTTATCTCAGAGCTGGGATGGTTTGAGACTGTACATTGCACATTATCAGGTACACATATTCCCATTGTTACATTAATGAAACAGAGAACCTTAAATAGAACCAATTCATGTTGGAATTACCAATGATCTGTAGTATAATCAGTCAAGGGGAAATCCTGAAGTGAGGGAATCCAAACATAAATCACCAGTGAAATCCCATAGTTATCTCAGTGAACTCAGTGTGATTTTCATTTGCTTAGTAATGTACAAGAGCTCCCAGTGGCACAGAGGGTTAAACCACTAATCTGTTGAACTTGCTGATGTAAGGTTGGTGGTTTGAATCCAGGGAGCAGGTGAGCTCCCACTGTTAGCCCCAGCTTCTGCCAACCTAGCAGTTCGAAAACATGCAAATGTGAGATCAATAGGTATCACTCCAGTGGGAAGGTAACGGCACTCCATGCAGTCATGCTGGCCACATCACCTTGGAGGCATCTACAGACAACGGCAGCTTTTCAGCTTAGAAACGGAAATAAGCACCATCTCCCAGTCGGACATGACTAGACTTAATATCAAGGGGAAACCTTTACCTTAGTAATATGTAGGATTGCAGTTCTAATGCCTGGCTAAACTAAACACATTTGGCCTGAATAAAAGCTGGTCCTGCTACCAAGGCCATGAGGATAGTGACAGAGATTGAATCCTCAAGGATGTGTTCATGAAGATCCCAAAGCAAAGAACAATGAAAAGCAGTAATAGCATATGAATACAAAATATGCAAACAGGAGAAAAACAATTTGAGTTTGTCTCAATCTCTACAGGAATTCAACTTTTTTGTTTCTCAAAAAATAATAAATGAAAATCTCACCTGCAATGTTTAGGTCTCCCACTATACTAATGAAGTTGGAAATGGCAGGAAAGAGAAGACAATGGAACTGTTGAATCTTTCCCTTTTTGATGTGTTTTTTTCCAGCTGGGAAGTCTACTTGAGAAAAAGGCAGGTCTTACCACTTGTTGCTTGTCTGCTTGAAAAGGAATTATTTAATGACAAACCAGTTCACTTCAGCTGAATCTCCTTAGGAACAGGTGCTGCCTCATCTAGGCCCTCTGGAAAACACCTGCACACATTTCTCTAGTCTGGAAAAATAAGCGTGGATATTTTGTGCTTTATCTCTTTTAAAATGTGGTAATTGGTGAGTAAAACTGGTAACTAGGTGGCCACTTCACCTCCACTGGAATGTCTCCACCTGGCATCCCAATTGTTCCAAAAGGAAATATCTGCCCCTATTTTATATCTGTTTCAATTTATATTTGCGAATCCTGGAGGACATGGATACCCACCTATATCCATCTATCTTTCATGACTGCTTTTCCACCAGCTCCGTTCAGATAAAAGCCAAGATCCTGCAGCATGTTAGTGCAAACTGCTGCCACTTGCAGACAAAGCTTGTAAACCATGGAAGGGTTTTAATAGTGTCACCTGAACCTGCCAGCAGCCAATTACTCTGACTTGTCAGCCTCTCCAAAATGAACCACTAATTCTTTCCCTAGCTTGCTGGGAGAGAAATAAACCTTGGACTCTATCTACCTTGTTGGGAAAGAAGAAAGCCAATGTGTCGTCTGCTATTATGTTCAGGTAGTGATGATAAAGAAATCATGGAAAAAAAACTGTAATGTTCAGTCACTGCTGGTTGCAAGTGGGACTGACTAGGCAGCACATGCTTACAAAGCTCATACTCAATCAGGCAGGGATCAAAGAGTTCCCTGGTTTATCATTACATCTAAATGTAGAGATTGTTTAGCAACTGCATTCACACATACTAAGAAATGTCTGTCCATTCATGTTAACTAGCTTGACTCTGGAAGTTTCATTACCCAGAGAAACAGAAGAAGATGAAAGGAAGAAACAAGCTGGAAAATATATTATGAGTGCATAAACGTATTTATGTTCAAGACTGACAAGTTTACAGAGTACATCAATATCGTATACACATAAAAATGTATTTAAAACATCTGTTTTAGTATATTACCGTTACTGCTCTTGATCCTAAATACATAATCAAGTTTGCATTAAAAGTGACTCAAAAAGGATACCCTGTGATATTTCAATTTTCTTAAAAGCAATGATCACCAGTAAAGTTAGTCAAAAGCAGTCTTATCACAAGATAAAAAATTCAACACTAAGGAATCAGATGCTTGACATTGTAAGATTCAGTGCATCAAGGTACATCTGCGCATCAGTAGTTTTCAGATGGCTTGTAATGAAAGACAAACTTACAATCACCATTTACAGCTGTCACCCATAGTTAAACACACCATTAGCTAGAAGAGAATTTTGTCGCTTTTTCATGTTTAATGTATGCAAGAAAAATTGTCCCATTACTTCTTTAAATATACAGCTTTATCTAAATATACAGGTTTCATCTAAAAGTGAGACTACTGTTCTTTTAATTTGTTCTGCCGCTAAGTGCAATTTGAAAATATACCTCCACTTTGAAGGATCACGCCAATTTGTTAGTTCTGTGGATTGTAAAGTAGCAGAACACATGTAAGAGTAAAAATATACCAAATGTATTATATCTTTCATGACTTGAAGCTTTAAATTCATATCACTGCTATTTATGGAACATGTTAAAATGAAGCCAGCAGGTGTATTAAATGCTGTTTTTAATGCAACATGCACACGCACACACACCCATAAATCATGCTCTAGTAACACTGTAGTAATTGTAGAAAAATAGCAAGGCTGTAAGTAGCTTCTTCTAAAGTTGTGACTACAGTAATAAAGATTTCTTATTGCACACTGTATAGGAGCATCATAGAACTAAATGACTGGGATACAAGCACCGAAGCATGGGACCATTTTAATTTTTAACCCATGCTGGCAAGTGGTCAATTGCCACATGGCTGAACTCCCACCTTACTCTGTGGCTGGCTTGGCACATGGCTCACTACAGAGGCATAGGACAGTCTTGCGCACCTTGAGGAGGAACGAATATTGACAAATGCAGCACTGCTACAACCTTTCATAAGTTTCTGGAAACATTTCCTTCCATAAGGCAGCTGTGATTGGGCCATGTTGGGCCAAAGTGGGAATGCTGGCAAGGCTTCTGTTGCTACAAGCTAAAGAGGAGAGGCAATCCTCTTCCTCTTTCCATGCCAGGAGGGTACATGTGTCCCCAAAGCAGAGGAGGAGATACACAGGCATATGCAGTCTTCAAAGGTAATCTCCCTGACCATAACATGACCTAGTAGCCAACCGTTACAGCTGCTGATCAGGCACGTTGCAGAGACCTTTTGACAACTTGAGACTCAACTAGCAAAACCATTTACCCCAAATATCAGGACAAATCTCCACAGAGAAATAAAAGTGCATAGTATTTGTTCCAATGGTTTTTCTTGAAAGTGCTTCTGGCATGCTGCTTTTAAAAATTAAAAATAAACACCTCCACACACACAGAGAGGGAGATATATACATGCATACCATTTAAAAAGTGCTTCTAATATAACCCTGAAAAATGTTTGTGCTCTATTATTAGCTTTCTGCACTGCACCCTCACCCTTTATTTAGGCTGCTCATATATACAGCATAAAAATAATGCATTCTTCTCACCAGACCTTCAGCAACTAGTTATTTGTGCTTTGGGGGAGCCTTTGGTCTGACTAACAAGCTAGCAGTTTCTCGGCTCTTCACCTCTAAATAATGTCACTTTCCTCCCTCCTTATTGCTATTTTTCTCCCTACAGAAGGCAAAGACAATTTAACAAGTTGACAAATCCGACTGCTTTGTTTAACAGCGTCTGTGATCTCAAGTCATATTACAGCTTAATTAGAATCTGGGCTGGGAAGCTCATTTGTGAAGTGGCAAAGCATGTCAAAATGGAGCCAGGTAGAAAAAGAGTCTGTGATTAAAATAACATGGTAGCTCATCTCCAAGATACTATTTCAGATGAGATGCACTCACACAAGGGCTTGCTCTGTAGGTGAAGCTATTACAATTTCATTCCTCCAGAGTCATTAACACACCTCCAATCTGGCTAGTGTTGTGAACATGTGAGAGAAGTGCAGCTTTAGGACTTTGGATAAGACAGAGTGCCATGCAGGTAGATGGCAGGGTTCCCTGTGTGGTTTATTTTGGACACCCTTCATCTTAGGCCAGAGCATTTTTCCTTCAACAGATGTCATCCACAAGTTTCATCCCATTAATCCCACGATAGGTTACTCTGCTTGGCCGCACAAGGACCCCATGGTTTGGCTTGCAAGAGAAATACCGCTTGTCACCCACAGAGCCATCGTTCTTGCCCTTGGCACTCCTCAGTTCCAGGCCAAGCCATATCCCTGGGGCAAAGTCGGTCGGCCCAATGTAGCGAATTGTGCCCATTTCACTAGAGCTGGTCAAAAGCACCTGAGAGCCCTCACGCAGCTTCACAGGGCCCTCGGTGTTGGTTGTAGTAGTGTTGCTCCAACTGCGACGCAGCACTGGATTTTTTGATCTGGGTAAGAAGAAGGAAGCAATACCCCATTTTAACTATAAAAAACCCCACAAATAAGATCATAATTACTTAGCCACACCGAGAAAGGAGAAGATTAATTCAGAAGATTAAGGAATGATTCTATAACGCTTTACAAAGGCAATTTCCAGATGGGCCTCTGCAGACCATCCTTGAATTTAACACCTCACTTACTTTAAGACCAGGGGTGGTGGTCTTAAATGCAACAAAGTTAGGGAGGTTAGAGCCAGGGTATGCTACTAAAGGTTTCCTTCCAAAGCAGAGCAGAAGCCCATACCTTTCAGTTCCTTTCCCAATGTATTACGCTATGTAACACACTTTTTGTTCCTGGGTTATAGATGTCATTTCCTAATTGGTTTTATCATAAAAACATGAAAAAGGTTTATTAAACTGCAAAAACTTGATTTTTGCGGTACAACTTGCAGCACAGTTTGCTATACTTTTTCAATGAATATCTCATCAATCTCAACCAATTCAACAGTTTGTGACAGCCACAAAAATGAAGTTTCTGGAATATAACAACTACTTTCAAAGTAAGTACCCCACAATTAAACAGGAGTAACACTTTCAAACAAGGAACAAAACAGTTACACAATGACTATTGTTATTATTATCACTAAAGCATCTCGTTTTTAGGTTTGTTTTTTTAGCATGACTGTTAAATACTAAGATTTAAAGCACATGTGTCAAAACTGTAACTCTCCAGATATTTGAGCCTCCAAGTCCCAGAAGCCCTAGCCAGCTTGTCCAATGGTAAGAAATTCTGGAAGCTGAAGTCCAAAACACCTTGAGGGCTATAGGTTTGACACTACTGATGTTAAGTCTTTTCTATTTTGCTCCTAAAGAAAATGCAAAACATGGAGGGAGGGAGGGAGGGAGGGAGGGAGGGAGGGGGGAGGGGGGAAGAGGCATTGCTTTATCAAGATGGGGTTCTGGCCCAGAGCTGTTTCTTTGCCATTCTGATTTTAGTGATTTCTGTTATAACATATAACAGCTTATTCCTATCAGCTATTGCCCAGTGTAGCCATGGAATTACAGAAAAGCAAAAGTTACCACAAGCCTCACTTCTTACTGTAATCATTCAGGATGAACGGGGAAGTACACACCTATATCAAAGGGTCTCCTTAATCATGAAGATGTATGGCTCCATAGACAAAAGGTGGGGCTTACTGCAGCAGGTGGGCAAGTCTAAAAATTCTGTTTAAAAGGGGGAAGATGCCACTTACTTGGCAAAGGAATTTCTCCTGGTTATCTCTTTTTGGGAAGATGCAGAGGTTGTACTGAAGCTTCGTCTAAAACCTGAAAATGGAGACAATTTTTGAACTGCACTAATACATGATAAATATATAACACTAAAATTTCTATTATTCCTAACTAACTCGGATTATTATATTATTATAATATTATAAAGATGGTGATGATAAACATTTATTTTTAACCCACCCTCTCTGCCCGAAGGGACTCAGGGTGGCTTTATAGTTAGCAGGCCAATAATTTATAAATTATTTATAGGGAATATTAATAATAATAACAACAACAACAACAACAACAACAACAACGGTTTATTTTTTAACCTGCCCTCTCTCACCGAAGGATCTCAGACCCTATAAAGTCATAGTGCCATGAATCATAATGTATGATTCTTATCTATGACAAATGTTTTGTCAGTCCACTTGGATTGGCTCCCAAGGGCACCTATCACCACTGGAACTACAGATGTTTTCTTTTCCCAGAGGCACTAAGTCTCAGTTTGTTTGTTTCAATATTTCATAACATTTTCTAACTCCCCTTGTCTATGATTTTGCTATTGGCCATGATTGCCACATCCATGATCCAAACTTTCTTTTTCTTAACCACATTTATGACTGGTATACATGTTCGAAAATTTCTCAGTATTTGCCTTAATGCTATTTCTTTGAGCTATCTGTTTTTGAGCTGCAAGAGGACCTGTTTTCATACACCAAATAAGATAGTTATGATGGCGAGGAGGAGTTTTTCATGGTTTGTGAATAATGTGAGGTGAAAATTACTTGCTCGAATACATTTTAAAAGGAATCTAAGGACATTTGGTGCATCCTGACAGAGTAAAATATTGAAATTGAAAGGCTACATACATTCCTAGAGTATACTTTCTATTCCTATGGCCTAGATGGCACCCCATCTTTAAGTCTATACTATGAATTATCCGAGTAAAAGCAACAGACACTGCATAGTGCAAGGACCTGATGCACTAAGTTTTGAATGAACTGCTTAAAAACAGGAGTATTAGACAAAACAATCTCATGGCATGAACGCTGAAATCCAGGCTCAGAAGCAAAATCACATTGTCATAGCAGATTTGCACAATACCTAGCCAAGTTAGCCAAATTTGACTAAGCTATGCCACTTGGGAACCTAAGCAGCCATTTTTTTTCTATTCAGTACATATTCAAAACACCTTTAAAAAAACATCATCTATATTTTCCCCATTAACAAAATAAACATTCCTGGCTCCTGCCGTCAAGCCTTCTCTTATAAATTCAGTCCCTATTAAACCCAACCAACATCTAAAATGCTGCACTGGCTCCAGTTTGTAAGGGCACTAATGAACAAAGCAGTTACATATTCCGTTCTTACCTGGCAAAGAGTGGTTCATTTTACTTGATGAAACATCTGTGAGGGAGTCTAATGATCCTGTTAGCCTACAAATAAAATCATGTGTTAATATTTCTCTGCCTCTAAAATATGGATTTCTTTTAACAAAAAATATATTGGCTCAGTTCTTCAGCTATGATAAAGCTGACTGGGCACCACAGCACATCCTACTAAAAACCCTCCATTGGAATTAAGAGAAGGGTGATGTTCTTTCACAGCCTGTGTATTTAAACACTGATCCAGATTTGTTGTGATTGAATGCATGATAGAAGAATGAATAGCTGAGGCATCTCTTGTTACAGAGAAATGGAGGAGAATGTTGTACTTCTATCCAGAATATTAATAATAATAATAAACTGGTTGTGCAATTTTTAAAACCTGGACTGGTGTCTTCCATCAGCACCCCCCCCCCCCAATATACACACAGTGCTATATGATGGACAAAGAACTCATGTGTCCTGAAACAATTCTAGTGTGTAAAGACTGAAGGGACACACCACAAAGCAGGCAAGAGATCAGTCGGCTCACTGGACTCCAACAATAGTATTTTCCCCTTGCTTTTCCTGTATATTTTTACAGATCAAAGAAGATTGGCAGGTCTGCTCTCTCAGTATGTGCAAAATGGCCTAATTGGGGACACTCTTCCCCAACAGTGATGCAAGTGCCGTTGATAGGTAGAAGTAAAAAAATTTAAATGCCCTAACTCTCCCAATATGTCTAGTGACAATATTATTTAGGCATTCCATTCTCCTTGAAGCATTTAGAATGCATGGCGTGATCTTTTTTTTTTTTTTTTTTTGTCATTCTGCCCATCTAAATGTCAGCTTTCAGCTTATGGTCTTTCCATGACTTCCCATCCCAATTTCCTATTGTTTTATTCCCCTTCTAACTTCCTCTAGACCACATATTTCCATCTGCTACCATCCCCTTTGTTCTCAGGTCTTCTATTTCATTTTCTACTTCTGCCTTTCTCTTTCTACATTTGCTCCCATGAAGTGACATACACTGTCCATCTCTGAAAACAGAGATGACAACTCAAGGAACATCAGATAGAAACAATGTTGTTCTTTGCAGAAGTCTATGAACATCACACATAAGGGTCTGTGTTTGAGCAAAGCTGCCCTTAGATCATTATGAGAACTTTTGGCAGTGGTCACAAGCTATGGCTCATTTTTGTCTCTAGTGGGCAAGAGTACAGCAACTTGATAGTTCTCAAGAACAACAATAAAATGAATGTGATACACATATCAACTTTTCATGCTACTCCCTAGCTAACATAGCTATAGCTATGCTGCCTGAGAATATTTGAGGAGTTGTAGTCCAAAAGGGATAGTCATTTCAACCTGTTTTCATTCCAAACACCATTAGCCAGAACTGTGCCATATCATAAATGTTTTTTTTAATATCTTGTCCAAAGGAAGCTAAGGATTGTTACTGGAGGTGGTCAGTTTGGTTTGCCCCTTTCTAAAAGTACAGGGAGTTGTCTTAAAAAACGAATTGGACTATTGGTCAATTTATGTCGATGCTGACTAAACTGACTTGCAGAAGTTCTCCAGGAGTTTTAATGGGAGTCTTTCCTAGAGTTACCTAGATACGTTGGGAATTATACAGAAGACACTATACACACAAAGCATATGTATGATCCACCACTGAGCTACAGCTCTTTCTTTATGCTTCTGAGAATGAAATAAAGACTTCAAACACTTTTCCCATGATATCTAAACTTCTTCTAATCATAATGAACTTCAAGGAATTCACTGATACTAAGGAAAGAATTTTAAAAGTTATTTTTAAAAAACCTCTAACTCCAACCTACACACTTTCACTTTTTCGTATAGCAATGATGCAAAAAATACACCTCAACTATTAATTGCTCCCACATTAGCTGTAAGACAGAGTACTTCCTTTTATCAAAGGGGCCTCAGAAAAGGAATGATCTAAATCTAGGCAACAGCAACTGTGTGGCACTCCTCTAAGCTGCCTTCCAATCCAAAGTAGATTTGAAACCTATTTATTTATTTCTATTAAGATTTCAGCATGAAAATTAAAATGAGTTCTACAAAATGAGAGCAAGACAATAAAAAATAAACCACAAAACCCAGCAATAAACATTATAAAAATGTTCTAGGCAATTTGAATTTGCAATCAACACAGCAAATAAGAATTTGCTAAACTATCAAGATGAAGAAGCCTTCAGATAGGGAATCCCTTACTTACCTCTGTACTCTGGATGGTGGTGCAAAGACGCCATATCTGGGGGGACAGCTGAAATACTGTACTCCTGCAACTGAGCCATCATTCTTGCCGTGAGGCTTGTCCAATTCTATTCCACACCAAAGGCCTACCACAATCAAAGCAGATATTTGAAGAATTGCAAGGAAAGGGTATTATCTGTGTCATTGTCATTATTATTATTATGTTTATGTTTGTTTATTATTATGTTTGCTACTATTACGTTTATTTATGCCCCATTTTTTCTCTCCACAAAGGAAACTTAAATATCAGATACAGGGAAAAAGTCTGTTGTTGTTTTTGTACAATGATACTCTTGGCAAATGAACTGCAATTACTGTAGCAAGTAAGATAGAGGAATGAATGGGTAATTTTTAAATAAGTGGATGCTTCTTTAAAAATTCAGCTTGAATGAACAAATTATCACAGTATGCTCTTTTCAAATTTTATTTCACTTTCTAAAGTAATTCCCTTAATTCCATTTCTGTGTGCAGGAACAGTGACTTTTAGTCAAAAAGCTTATAAAAATGTCATAATTCCACATAGGATCAATGAAGCATTAAAATAAGATTGCCACACATTTACAAAGATAATCAAGGCTGGTGTCTTACTTTCATTCACCTGACATGTACAAACATCTGAAGAACCACATCAAAGGCCTTAGTCTTTTGACAAATAGAACAATCACACACAGAGAGCCCATAAGCTGGAAATTACTCCAATAGAATCCTGCCATCTGTGTTCCTTTACAAAATGAAGTACAATGGCATATTTCCTTTTGGTATAGGGGAGAATATGTTGGCCTCATCTATGTGATACCATTCTCCCAGAATTTATCCCGGCTCTTTTTAAAACAGGTTTAAAAATAGTTCCTTATCTCTTTTGACTAACCTCTGGAATTGTGCATCCAATTGGGCATATCTCCCCCTATCACTGTTTCCTTTTGCTTTCCTTCATTCTTGGGCTACTTTCAGTGTCTCAGCAGACAACCATCTCGCCTTCTTGGTTTTAAAACTATCAAGTTTATTTATTTACCACATTTATATCCCGCCCTTCTCACACCGAAAGGGACTCAGGGCAGCTCACAACAAAGGCACAATTCTATGCCTTAGGTACATATAAAAATAAAACAACATGAACTTTAAAATCACATAATTAAAAGGCATAACTTAAAACTATTACTTAAAACAAATTGACAGTGATCACTCCATCCTGTGGCGGTTCCAACTACCCACTCCTAGAAGAGCTCTCTGCAATTTGCTTTTGTTGTAACCAATTAAATGCCATCAATGAGTTTGGCCACCATACTGCTCATTCCTAACTCTAGGTCATTTATAAACAAGAGAATAAGCAGTGCCTCTAATACAAACTGATAAAGGACCCCACTGCTCCTATTTCTATATTAGAAAAAACCACATTTTCCCTTATTCTCTGGAATCTAATAACAACAACCTAACAACAACAACAACAACAACAACAACAACAACTTTATTTTTATACCCCGCCACCATCTCCGAGAAGGGACTCGGGGAGGTTTACAGAGGGACAAGCCCAAGGATTACAAATAAAACAAGACACAGTAAAAACAATAAATAAGAACAAATAATAAAAATATTAAAATCAATTAACATCATAAAAACAATACCCTGGCTGGCCAATTTGAAACTGGGTTTGGACTCACAGTAAGTGCAATGATTCCTTGGGAGAGCTGAGGGAAAGTACAATAGTCAGAGGGCTGGGTTGCCAGGGTAATGGCCATTAAAGTGTCACCTTCCAGCCCATAAGAGAACCTCTTTATTTCTCCTAGAGCTGTTAGGTTTTCTCAGACTCTTTGGTGAAAGGTTCTGCCAAATTCAAAGTTATAGGAGATTTTTTTAATGAAAAAGCACTAAATAATTTGTTTTCCTTCAGATCATTAAGATAATAATTGGAGAGTGGCATATTTCAAACGGGGGTAAACCTGGTAATTCTGAAGGAAGAAGAAATGTTTCATTTGACTATTTCTCATATGATTCAATTCCATTAAGACTTTAATACAAATTCAAATCATTTGGAGATCTGGCTGCAGTTTTAAAGGCAATGCCAATTCTGAAGCAGCCAGAATTCACATCTTGCTCAAAATAGTTTGACTGGGGAAGAGTGATTTTCTTTCCTCCTTTAAAAGCAATAGTTCCAGATTCCCAACCAAGTTTATCAGTAGTGTTTATGCAGTCACATACATATTCACCTACTTCAGCTCAATTGAGACATTACAGTGGAAATATTTTTTGCAAAAGAGCAAGTTTTCCCTTAGGTCAGAAATACATTGACCATATGTGTGCTTTTCAGAATACATTTCCTCTAGATGTCTGTTAGTTTTACAGCAAAAGTGTCATGCTTCCAGTAGAGGTACTAGCTCATCCATGAAAAAAGAAACTGTCTATGCAATTCACACAATAACCCAGGGCTGTCCCTATAATTTGGCAGACTATGGCTACCACTTGAGGCCACAGAGGAGCAACAGCAACCCCATGACTGTTCCACCTGAGCTCACAGCCCTTTCTATCTCTTGGAAGATAGAGCCATGCATGTCATGTGGCATGATGTGAAAAATTTCAGCTAGCCTGCTAGATTCTGATGTGGTGGATCCCACTAACAGTGGCTTCTGTGCATTGAATCATGGGGGCAGTATTTTGTCCTCTGTTTTGAGCTAACCCTGTGAGAACCGTAACAAAAATATCCAGTATTAAATAATGATTAAACAATGATGCTCGCTGCTTTTCTGTTCCACAGGATTTAACTCTACATTAGCTATGCAGCCACTCCCTGAATCAGGGAAAGCTTAAAGCCATCTTGGGAGGGAAAAGAAAGAAAAACTATCAAGCAGAATCCGTAGATGGATGCCAAACGTAAACAGCTTACCTGGTGCAAACTTAGTTGTTCCATGGAATCTAACTATTCCAGTTCTCTGTCCAACCACAAGCACTCTGTCTCCAATCTGAATTTCCCCCTCATCAAAAGGATTTCTCCTTGCAGATGGGAGAGTGTAATTTTCCCCTGTTCAATTAAATTCACAAAAATGAAGGGACATATTTGAGCCACATCAAAGGAGAAAAAGATTATTACTAATTATTCACAGATAACACCATCACAATGGAGGTTACTTTAATGAAACTAAGCAGCATCTCAGCAGAAAATTTAGATACTAAGTAAATATGCCTGTGTGCTCTTTTGAAATTTAGCACACTGTATATCTATAATTTATATGCAGTTAAGATTGGCACAATTAGAGGGAATTAGAATCCTGAAATTTAGCAGCTGTCTTCAAAGTGCAGCTCCCTAAAGAAATCTGACATGTGCTACCATTTTTGATAGGCCAGTCTTTTTTGCTTGATTTATCTATGGATCTGATTCATGAAACCACACAAAGCCTCCTACAGCTTGGAAACAGGCAAGCACTAAACTCAGTTTGATGTGATACAAAAGAGAACTGAACAGGAATGAAAAAGGTTCCTTGGAGCATTTAAGATTTGTAGCTCTGTCTTACTTTTCTTCAAAAATGTTCGGATAAATAAAATGGGGTAATTACAATTGAAGCATTCACAAAATGCACCCTGAGAATTCAGTTCTCTTGTGCATGCACAGTGACATACAAGGAACAATCTGGTCTGCTCCCCTTTCTAATATGTTAATTTAAATCTGGGGCTTAACATGCCACATCTGTTGATGGATGGCCATCATCCTCATGAAGTTTAAAAGAAGTCAAACCAGCAAGGTTTGGTGACCTCATATAGTTATTGCACTCAGCATAATGACTGAATTTTGCAAACCCTAATAACCCTACTGACTTTCACGATAACAAACTCATCCCAAAAATCTGTAGCCAGAACCTCTAATTGTTACATTAAAAGAAGTCTACCTTTACCTTAGCACAACACAAGGCCCGTTTCTACTATTGTATTTCATAAAGTAGCATTTCTAAAGGAACAACTGAATAGAAACCATACCAGCAACATTTTTGGATGCAACAGAATGGGATGTTGAACCTTCTTTCTTATTATTGCTTGAGGAGTTCCACTTCTTGGGAGAATTTCTCTTGCTGTCTAACGAAGTAGTGGAAGATGAATTGCTGCTAGATCCCAGGGAAGTTGCTAAAAATTAATAAACCAAAGAGCCACTCAAAGAAAAGAAAGAGGCATCCAAGGCAGACTTTTGCAAAGGTTTCCATTCCCCCATCTAACAGAACAAGAGAAAAGGCTGGCTGCTACTGATGGACACCATTCCATCTTCCAAGCCTATTTTAATAGCATATAGCACTTGTAAACATGGAGCATGATTGTAAAAATAATGTAGCCTCAAGTAATAAACGACATCATCCCTTTGCTTTTGATAGCCAGTCTATTAAATCTTTGATGAGAAACAGGGGGAATGACATTTTGTGGGTGAATTATGAAGTGCGTGGATTAGTGCCTACTGCATGCCATTACACACCATATTAATATTAAAATCCAGTCTATAAAATAAGATTGTGAGGTAAATCATTTTCATTTCAATTTATGAAATCTTGATGCACATGCTGCCTACAAAGATTTATCTCTAACTTTCCCTTTTCTTTATAGCTTCCTCTTCTGGTAAGTTCTAACCAATAATGAAGAGTATGCAACAAGATATAGATCTGAGCCGATTTATCCATAAATCTGTGGATAATACTGATTTATATGTCTGTTACAAATGATAACAGTTTCATAGAAGTCTGATGTGTTAAACCAGGACTAGACAACTGTGTGGGACTAGTGGGGGGTGCAAGAACTCAGGGAAAACTCATCACTGCATCACTGGCAAACTAGAAGTAATGATATGTCATTTTTGCTTCCTATTTAGATTTGGTAGTTTCAGGAGTTCGGGGAACTCAGGGTCAAAAAAACTAAACTGCCACATTTCCAGGGAGGGTTTATGGTGTTTTGAGCCATTTCCAGGCCAAAAACATCTCTCCCTATGAACCATCTAGGCGCTTAAGATAGTCTGGTGAGGCCCTGCTCTCAGTTCTGCCCCCTTCGCAGATGCAACTGGCGGGAACAAGAAACGGGGCCTTCTTGGCTATAGAACACCCTCCCTAGGGATGTTACATCGGCCCCCTCCCTCCTAACATTTCAAAAGAGAGTCGAAACCTGGCTGTTTGAGCAGGCATTTGCAGACACAGTGTAACAGACTAGTTGAGATCCACGGAACGATTGGATGATGCAATGGAAAAATGATTTTAGTGATGAGACGCTGAGGACTTGTGTTTTATGGTTTTATTGTTCTATTGCTTTTACATGGTTTATATTATATGTAATATTTTTAACTGTATTTATGTTGTTTGGGGGCATTGACTGCCGACTGTAAACCAACTTGAGTCGCCCCCGGGTTGAGAGGGGCGGTATATAAATATGGTAAATAAATAAAACCAAGGAGTTGAAAAGGATCCTATGGAACATCAAGTCCAACCCCTACTCAAAGGTGAATCTCCAGGAGTAGATCCCACCACCTTTTTAGGCAATTAGTTCTATTACCAAACCACTCTCACTGCCAAGGAGTTCCTTTTAATGTCAAATCACAATCTACCCTTCTGTAACTTAAAATCATTAGGCCTACTTCTATCCCCTGAGGCAGCTGCAGCCTCCTCTTTGTTGCAGCCCTCCAGGTATTTAAAAAGTGCAATCATGTCAGCCCTCAATCTTCTGTTCACCAAGCTGAAATGCTCAACACCTTCAACTTCTACCTTTTGTTCTCCTTACATCTTATCATTTCCACTGCTCTTCTTCTTCTTAAAATGCTTCTTAAAATGAGGAACCCAGAACTGAACTACTCCAGATGAGGCCTGACTAGCACAAAATATAGTGGGATTACTACATCCTTCATCTTGGAAACCATACTTCTGTTAATGTTTGTCTTATTTGGTGAAACATCACATTGTTGAATCACCGATGAGTATGGTTTTCCAATCAATTATGGATCCATTGATGCATTTCCATCTATTCTTTATTTATTCAATTGGCTAATCAAAATATAATGGGGCGTCTTATCAAATGTTTTGCTGAAATCCAGATAAATGGCATCCACAGTATTTCAACCATCTACTAAGCTACTGACCTGATTAAAACCAGATATAATATTGGTTTGGCAGGATTTGGTTTTAACAAACTCATGTTGGCACCTACTAATCACTAGACTGTCTCCTGCAGACTCACTCCTGCTTAATCCATTCAAATATTTCCTGGTATTGAAAGCAGGATGACTTGGTTTGTATTCCTTGGACATACAGTTCTCCCTCAAGAGCAGTTAAGGAAGGTAGAGTCCAACACTGCTTTTCCTGCTCTCTCCCTCTGACTTTTGGCTGGGTCAGCGGAAGAGGACCTCTCAGAGCCCATTCCCTCAGGCTTGTTCTTGACCCACCAAGTGCTAAGAGGAGCCTGGGTTCTGTTTGGGAGGAGGGGAGGAGACTGCCAGAGTCAAAGGGAGGGGCAGCTGCATGGGCCAGGAAGGCAGGATGTAGGAAGTGACTGTTTAGTTTGAGCAGCTTCAAATAATGTGTGCATGGTTTACTTCTGAGTGTGACTGTCCTCAGGGTGTTTCCTCCATGTTACAGCCCTCTTCATTTACACTGGCAGTTTCTTCCTGTGTTGGTTCTCAGGATCTCCTTTTCTGTTCCATCCAGAAAGTCCTGATGTTCTCTGATGTGTTGAAGAATCTCAGCATGTAGCTATAATGCACCAACCTTCTCTTACAAGACTGGGACCAGTTTGCACTAGCTGAAAGTGTAGTCAGTGAGATTTTCTGGCAAGAAGACAAACACAGTGCAGCAAACAGCAGATCCTTCTGCTACCCTTCCTTACAGTTACTTTTCTTTCATCCTTTTCCGACGGTTATAATTTTTACTGAAATGGTAGCGCATGCTACAAGAGGGATGTCAGTGGCCCTCAGAGATGCCACTCCAGAAACCAGCAGTTATAGAGTGTTTGTGACTAGGTTCACCCTCAAGCAAGCCAATGACTCATCAGAAGTCCCTATTCCCATTGAACCATGTGCTCAGGGAAAGAACACAAACCAAAGTCCCCACATAAGCTTTCAAAAATGTAAGAAAAGTAAAGAGAACACAGCTCAGCTACTGCTCTATCCTGCCTGCCTGCAAAATAATAAAGAGAGTCTGTCAGTTTAATCTCTCTAGGAGGTTTGGTTTCAATCCAAAAGTTAACTATGCTCTTCATTTGGGCGCTATTAAATAACTCACCAAATTTGATGACTTTGTAGTCAAACATGTGGGTGTATGTAACTTAACAGACAGGGAGAAACATTTAAATTATAATATATATAGTCTGTACTATGTTTTGGAATAGTTTTATGTATTCCCGTTCATCTGATATGCATAGAGCCGCTTTGGGCACCATCTTGTGGAAAAACAGTATACATATGAATGATCCCAGAGCTTCAGTTAGCAGATAATATATGCATTGCCATCTGATCAAAAAGGGAATAGCCTACAGCTAAAATTGAGGGTGAATGTTTCAGTTTTAAGTGCATTATTTAAGCACCCGAGGCTTAAGTATCTGAACCAAAGAACACTTATATGGAAATAAACTCCATTAAAATCAATGGGATGTCCAAGCATCTGGAAATAAGATTTCAAATGGGTGTGAACATGTACAATTTGTTATAGAATTGCTCAACATCACCATATAAACATGTTAATCAGAAAGAGGGTAAATTTATAGTTTACGACTGTGGAAACATTTTTAAACATGTTTAAAACTGTGTTAGTCTCAGTCACACTGTGTGAAATGGTGACCTTACTAACCATTAAAGTAAGTACAACATCACTCCATCTGCACTTTGGTGTCCAGCATTAACTGCCCAAGAGATTGTGAAACATAGCCCAAGAATAAATATTTAAGCAACAATAAACACTTTTTGGCCATTTTTTAACAATTAAAACAAGAACAACTTCACTCCAATCTACCTTAATTCCTTAACTCTTTCACCTTTTTTCCAGTTTCACCTTTTTGCCAGTGAATGACTAAAAACAAACACATGTTTTTCTGAAATAAATGGAATATTACTGTTTTATATGGCATTTTCTATGCCTATTCTAAGTATAACAGACAAAAAACATCTAAGGAACAAATTACCTTCTTTACTGGGTAGAGTTTTAATTCCTCTTTCATTGCCCAAAAATGCAGAATCAGAAGTACTCTCCTTTTTCAGTGCAGACAAGCCTGTGAGCCAAATCAATAAAGCCATCACAACATAACAATAGTCCACATTGTACACCAAAGAACAATCATGACAACAAATTAATTACTTCAAGTTCCTATAGATAATTTTTTGATCATATATGACAGAATGTCCCCTTACTCTTTTTCAGATATAGGCAATCCCCAAGTTATGAGGAAGATAGGTTCTGTAGATACACATTTGAGCTAGGAAAACCTCCAAAGCAAGGCAAAATAATCACACACATGGCTTTTTTACAAACTTATAAGTAAAAAAAATTAAAACCACGAAACCAAAACACCCCAAGTCATGTGGATTCTGTAAATTATACTATAGGAGACTGTAATCACACATTTCTAATATAAAGTTTAACTTCCACCCCAAAATTTGCCAGCACTAACATCAAAAAAGTTCTGAATTATCCCAAAGGGGCTTTTAATATAAAATTTCTGATACACAGAAAAAAAATTCTAAAAACAGAATCAACTGTTTGCATAACAAAATTGCCTATGCCAAAATAGCACCAACCCTCAATAAAATATGCACTAGAAATAGTAATGAAGTTAGGTACTATTCAGTGGAATCTCTATTCCATATTAATAATAGACAACCTGCCACGATTAGCAAAGAATGTTAGTTGGCAGCTGATCTTGTTGGCAACTATCACAAAGGACAGAACTTTTATTTCTCATCAGCTAAATCACACCAACTGGCTTAATCCAGCTGTTCAGTTATTTTTTTCTACTAACTTATGAATGTGGTCTATTCTTAGACATTTATCAGACCAGTCTCAAAGACTATCAGGAACTCAAATTTTTGCAGATTAGTTTTCCAGAAATGGATTCATGCAGTGGGAGAATGCAATCCCACTGCCTGCGTGTTTTCTATTTTAATAAATAAGCAAACCATTTATTTAAATAAAATGTTTGAGAGAAAAAGCAGCATTTGAAAAGGCAAGCCGAACACCTTTTTTTTAGTCCCTGCATTTTTTAAAAAAGAATCTGTTCCAATGGGTCCTACCATGTTGGGGGAGGGGTGGATTTCCACAATAAGCAGAATGAAAACCAAGGCCTTGGCGAGCTTTTTTAATGCCATCTACCCATTTAGGACACAATGATGGAGGACTCCAGGGATCCTTCACCACCAGGACCAAAGTGATGAACATGGAGATTTTCTTTTTTAAATCAAGATATCTTTGGCTTGAAGGAAGACATGCTCTTGCCTCTACTTCAGCTCATCCCATCATGGTCCTTACTGCTGATAGGTACAGCATTCACAGTAGAGTTTTACACCACCACAAGATTTCTAATGGCTGACTTTCTCCTCTACTAGTAGTGTTGAGTGACAGACAGCTAGATCACCATCACTCAACAACTCCTCTGCCAGCCTCTTTTGAGAAATTACAATTACAGCCAGTCTTTTAGGTAAAATCCTATAAAAAGTTTTAAAATGCAAGGGTATTGTTTAATGGGAGGTTAAGGAATTAACTGAAGATATTTTTTTTAAAAAAATGACAAAGCTGTACATGCACCTATTGAAAAGAATTTCAATAGAATGGGCCCTAACTGAACACATACAGCCCAAGATTTACATTTAGAGGGTGTCTTGAGCATCCTTGGCATCTCCAGGCAGACCTGAGAAAGCCTAAAACTTAGGAAGTTAAAGTACTGACAACACTGAGCTAGATGGACAAGTAGTGTGATGTAGTATAACTAGTATTTTTAAAGAGTTTTTCTCAAATTAAAACAAATGGAAAAGAATAAATACACTCTAAACAACAATAGGTGGAAACGAGTTTTTTAAAATCAATGTAAGTTGATACTACGTTTATTTCTGCTCTATCTAGTATTACAATAGTTTTGCTGGTTTTGTACCTGTGCTCAAAGTAGCAATAATTGTATTAGGCTCAGGAATTCAAAGCTATAAGTGGTTGGGAGCCCCAGGGATTCACAGAGCTGAAACTGATCCCAGATACATCTCAGAATATATCTGACCATTTTAATGAAGAAAACCTTGCAAAAAGTCTTTTTAAACATAAAGGGAACATATATTAGTCTGGAATGGCAAAATGTTGAATACATAGCAGATGCGTCATCACAGACCCAAGGCTAAGAGCCCCCACGTTCTGGATACTGCTCATCCCTGTCCTAATGTCCCCTGGCAGAAAATAAAAATAAAAGACTATAATACCTACCAGAATTCACTTTGGAAGAAACACGGGTTACATCAATTTTCTTGGACTTTGCTACAGGCAAAGGACGTGAGGAGGAAATTCTTGTGCTCTTTTTCCGTTCTGAAGTTTTACTTATTTTAGAGAGCGGTGCAAAGATTCCTGTCAGGAAAATACACATGGGAGGTAACAGCTATTAATTGCAGACCTCAGCTATTCCTCAACAGCCCTATTCAAATATTTATGCCTGTTCAACTATTTAGAGGACTGCAGAGCATTCAACAGCTTTGTATTCAGCCTTTAATCATTCCTATCCTTACAATGCTCCTTCAAGTGCTACTGTTTCTCCTTTATGGACGGGGGTGGAGCACATTATAAACCTGGAACAATTAAGCATTCACAAGTACAAGCCTATGATTAAGAAGAATGCCAGCCTCATGTGTCTTCCTTGTGCCCTAACCATCTTCCCATCACTTTCATACTTTCCGAGTATAGTTTTTGTTATTCTAACGTAACAGAAACACACACAGTTTCAGGAATGTCACAATACAGGCACAGAGCATACTATTCCCATTACTACAGCCAGCACCAATATGAAATGTCAACCAAACTACAAGGCAATCTATTTAACATACAAAGATGAAGCAACTGATAACTGTAAACATTTAGTTGATATCTACTTATGAGCATCGTTCACAGGATCCATAATAAATTTATAATAACTTTATTCTTATATCTTGCCACCATCTCCTTGAAGGGACTCGAGGCGGCTTACATGGGGAGCAGGCCCAGCATAAACAAGGGTTACAAAGTAACACACGTAAAACATATAACAATAAAATATAATTAAACCAATAAAATCAAAACAATTTTTAAAAAATCTTCAAAAGACTTCAACTGACATCATTATTAGATGCCTGGAAAAGTGGGCATGTTCAGGATTGACAGGACAGGGCAAGGGCTTTGCAAACGCAAAACTGTAGGGCCAGGCCGGATGTAAAGTGCTGGGAAATCAAAACCATAGGTTAGGGTTGGGGAGTTCTAATCAGGCACTAAACCGTTATTCAAAGGCACATACCAGTAGCCAGGAAAAGTGGGCACGTTCAAATTTCATAGGGCAGGGCAAGGGTTTGTTCAAACACAAAAACTGTAGGGCCGGACTGGAAAGTAAAGTGCTGGGAAATCAAAACGATAAGTTAGGAAATTGGACAGCCCTAATCAGGTGCTAAACCGCTATTCAAAGGCACACTGGAACATCCAAGTTTTCAAATCTCAGAGCCCATGCCAGTTCATTGAGGGAGCTATCATGAAAATAAGCAAGACCTGAACTGTTTAGGGCTTTGCAGGTAATAACCTGCACTTTGAATTGGTCTATGAATGCTGCACCACCAGCCTAACTTCAACTCAGGAAAGGTGAAAAAAATGGTTGACAATTATTCTGATCACATTAAAAGATTATATGAAACAGACTATAAGATAATGTAACAAGGGAAAAAAAACCTTTACCATGTTTTGGTGCACACTTGAAATACTGCACTTTTGCAACAGTTCCATTGTTTTTCCCTTCAGGTTCATCCAATTCTATGCCAGCCCACTGTCCACTAGCAAACTCAGTTGTGCCACAAAATCGTAGTGTGCCAACCTGAACAAAAGTGAAGGAAAAACATGCTGTACTTATCAACATTTAGTTACTGTTTAATAAAATCTCTATGTGATTTATGCACAAAAAATCCTAAATCCAATTTTTAGTTCAACTGGATTTAACCCAATGAACAAATGAAATTTATGAAACTGTTGAGCTACAATTGAGCAAATGATGTAAATAATTAAGTAAATCTAACCTCCATATTTCTAGATTTGACCTTTGTGGATTTGATTAAAACGTTCTCTCTAGGAACCTCCAGAGTCATGCTGGAGGACTATAACATTAATGTAGTCTGGCACCATTTTAACTGCCATGGTTCAATTTTATAAAATCATGGAAGCTGTAGTTTTAGACAGTCTTTAACCTTCTTCTCTGCCAAAAAGTGCTAGTGCCTCACCAAGCTAAAAATCCCAGAATCCCATAGCATTGAGCTATGGTAATCAAGGTAGTGCCAAACTGCATTGATTCAACAGTGTAGATATACCCCTAGAGATTCCAGGAGATAATACCTCGACATATCTAGGTCCTGTAGTGCAATTCTATGGTCAACTTCCAGCAGAAGCTGACCACAGAATTTACAATATACAGAGTATATACAAGATAGCCTATGCAAATAACTGTTTCTGCCCAATCCTAAAACCAAGACAGGCAGATCCAGAAGTCAAGATCCAGTATGAACACTGCATGTGTGTGTGTGTATCTCACATATGTATATATATAGGGTAAATGCTGAACCAAGATGAACCAAGTAATAATTTTAATTCATAGTATATGTTATTGTTTGATTGTATGTCTTGGTTTTTCACATGTATGTTTGGCATTGAATTTTGCCATGTTTATGTTGGAAACCACTTTGACTACCTCCCGGGGTGAGAAAAGAGGTATATAAGTGCAGTAAATAAATAAATTAAATAAATAAATTTTCAAGTCCATATGGCAAACAGCAATATCAGCTTTGACCTTACTCATTCAGTGTAGTGTACAAAGAGAATGCTGTGGTAGAAACAGACATCCTATTAAGCTTGCCATCCTCTGAATTGTGTCCAGTAAACTAAATTCAACGTTTCATGAACAAGCTTCACTTGTTCACAGGATGATTCCCTTTCCATCCTTCCCCTCCTCAAACTGCTCTGAAATGCAAACAACAATAATGCTAGTAAGTGTTCTTAAATTACTAGGTTGTGTTTTAAATGTCCATACAAATGTTTTATTTTGCAAGTACACAAAATAATTGCTATATTAATAATTTGGGATTCTGTAGATATTACTAGTTTTTAATAATTTCTGGAAACAGTAACTTGAAAACTTACTGTCCTTATTGTTGTTGTGTTCTTTATTATATTCTTTCTAACCAATGGTAAACCTAAGGCAACCCTATCATGGGTTTTTATGACAACATTTAACCAGAGGTCACTTGCTTTTGATATAATCTGAGAGTGTGACTTGCCTAAGATTTCCACACCAAGCAGTGATTTAAGTCCTGGTTTCCAGAATCGTAGTCCAATGCTCAAACCACTACATAACACTGACACTCATAATAGTACTTATGGGACACATAATTCTTAAAACAGTGTAAACCTTTGGCAAGACCATTGAGTTCATATAATGATACTCTTACTGGCATAGATTTCGGGATCTGAGTCACATGAAAGACTAACCATTCTGAAACACTATCAATTAATCACAATTGAAAATTCATACATCATACATCTAATTATAAGCTGTAGAATGTAATTTCAGGAACTTTGAAGAATGAAACATTTAGCGTTACTTTGAAAACTGCATTTTGAAACACAACTTCATGGATGCAAAAAATGTCACAAAGACAAAGTTTGGGCAGTCACAGTTAATTAATTAATTAATTAATTTACTGTATTTATATACTGTCTCTCTCAGCCCGCAGGCAACTCGGGGAGGTTTACAGTCGGTACCAACACCATAAAATACAATTTAAAACATTAAGATAATATAAAACCATAACAAAGTCAATAAAAGCATATATTATTAGGGTCTCCTTGTTAAAAACCTTGTCCAATCACACCATCCAGTCTTTACATTTTCCTATGTCTGTTACACTGTATTTGCAAATGCCTGCTCAAAAAGCCAAGCCTTGATACCAAGTTAATCTGATACCATGTTTTGTTGATCAATTACAGAACAGAGAACAGCTGCATATTCCTTGTATGGGCAAGGCCTATGTGACATTTATATATGGGTTTGACTCCCTGACCTATTCAAGGGATACAGAATTACAGATAGTTCTCAAAAACAATCTCCCACTGGTTCATTGCAGTAAATGGCTGAGAAACAGTTCAGAATCAAATGCAGACTTTATGGACCAATAATATGCTTTTCCCTGATACTCTTATGTGGAAAGTGAAAACATACAGCTTTGCAAAAGGTTTTATTTCATACTTGCTTGGGTAACTGTGGAGATGGCTTTATACTTTATTACATTTCAGAGCTAAAGTAGGGTTCATTATTACCTAAAAATCCCATTTGCACAGAATTACAGTGAATCTTAATGCCATCAGATACAATAACAGTCAAAAACATGACTAAATTCTCAGACAACCAACCGTGAAGAGCAATCACTGCTGGCCAAGATCAGAAAGATACACCAACAAACTGAATAAGTTCCTTAAGTTAAAATTTAATTTAAAACTTTAAATGTAATGGAGCTTCCTCCTAAAGATGTGTATAATATTGTACTGTTAACTATGCCCTTACTCATGCCCTTACTTCTAGGGCTCAAAACAAAAAGAAGTATTGGGAAACAGAATGGATCACAATTAGGGAAGTAGGATTTATTTTATATTTCTGGAACCAGAGGATTCCTGACATCGAATCAAAGAGTTGAAAAAGATGACACGGCCATCCAGGGAAAGCACAATCAAATAATGGAGCAGAGCTTGCACCCCTTTGCTTCTGTTAAAAAATTACAAACTAGAAATCCCTTGATGATATCTACAATATCATCTAGAGATTTCCTAGGAGACAGAAATCTACTTTCTGCCCATTCACTTCTTGAGACTGAGACAGGCGATGGGAACCCAGTGCCTCCGCATTTTGAGCCCTGAAGTCTTCTCAATCCTGTTTTGCAGTTTGTTTATTTCACATACCTTCTGTCCTGCAATGATAACTCGATCTCCGAGCTTTAAACCAAGTGATCCTAGAACATCTTTGCCAGTGACATTATCAAAATTAGGAAGCATGGCCTTGGAAATGTCACAAGATAGAGGCACTGCATCTAAGAGTATCTGCTTGATCTCTTTAGCACTTGCTGCTGCATCTGCCATCTCCAATGGCATGTCTACTGGGTCGGGAACCACATCTGCTGGTGTCTGTCCTTTATCATTCTGTAACAACACCCCCAAATCAAAAAAGAAAGAAAACCAGAGGCACCATTAACAGAGTTCAGAACAGTGATAAGCAATGACTGCTGAAGTAAGCACTGAATGAAAACATTCTTTAAAACAAACCTCAAAACAACTTTAGCTTTTGTTCAGGCAGGTGGGACATTTTATCTCCACTTTGTTGCAAAATTCACACACAACTGGATAATGTTGTCACTTCACACCTTGTAAATAACCTACATTTCAGCCATCTGCTGTGTAGTTTTTTTTTTTGGGGGGGGGGTTGTTTCTTTTTGTTTGTTTGTTTACTTTTGTGTTTTTGCCTTTTACAAACAAAATTGTGGGAATAGAAATTGACTCAACTCATATTTACCCCCCAAAAAGGATGATAGCCACTCAGAAGAAAGGTTCCACCTCACATTATCATCTCTTATGGCCCTGAGGGTTTGTATATTATGGAAAACCATTGAATTTGCACCCGCTATGTTCCAGTAGTTTCCTAACTACTGTAAATACTTAAAACAAGAATATATTTTTTAAAAAAATCAGAGGCAAATGCACAGCCTAACACAGATATAAAACACAAAACATGCTAAGAATTATTTTTCCAAAACTTTCATTTTTTTAATCTCTATCTTTCAGAAAGACGTTTTGACAAACACAGTAAGAAAAGTTGACAGTCAAATGTAGCAGAAAGAATGTTTTTTAAAAACTTCCAAATCAAAACCTCACCCGAAAGGCAGGGTTGGCTCCATGTTCCAACAAACATTTTACTGTTCCTGTGCACAAATTGAAGGCAGCAATATGCAAGGCTGTTCCAAAATCAAAGTCACTGCATGTGGCATCCACATCTAGAATTAAGTAACAGATTCATGTGAGATTGGATTTTTTTTTAACAAGCTGGCCTGATATTGTGCAGTGTTATTATATTATCAATAGCCTTAGTACAATTTTAATTTTAATCCTGATTATAATCTAAGCATATACATTCATATCCAATGTTGTTTCAATCAAAGCAGAATGGCTATTTATTTATTATTTCATTTATATACCGCTTTTCTCACTCCTGGGGGATTCAAAGTGGTTCACAACATATTAAATGGCAAATATTCAATGCTTCACATCAATATAAAGAAAAAAACTTTCAAACCTAAAAGCAATCACATATTACAATAAATTAACATCATTCAAAACTATACAAACCATAAGATGTAATAATAAAATATTAAAACATTCAGACATTTGCACATTGCATCAATCCTGCAGTTTCCTTTAGCTGCTTGCGTATTGCTATCATTTGTTGAATGCTTCCTTGCACAGCCAAATTTTGAGCTGTTTCCTGAACGCCAGGAGGGAGGGGACCGATCTAATCTCACTTGGGAGGGAGTTCCACAGCCGAGGGGCCACCACCGAGAAAGCCCTTTCTCTCGTCCCCATCAATCATACCTGCAAAGGCAGCGAAGACCGAGAGCAGGATCTCCTCGGCCAATCTTAATGCTCTAACTGGTTCATAAAGGGAGAAGCATTCAGACAGATAAGCTGGACTGGAACCATATAGGGCATTATAAGCTAAAGCCAACACTTTGAATTGTGCTCGGTAGCAGACTGGCGACCAGTGGAGATGATGCAACAAGGGAGGTTGTATGCTCCTTCTACGCCATTCCAGTAAGGAACCTGCCTGCTTCCCATTGACTATTTGAAGCTTCCAAACAGTCTTCAAATGCAACCCCACATAGAGCTTGCTGCAGTAGTCTATTCGAGATGTAACGAGAGTGTGGACTACTGTGGCCAAGTCTGACTTCCCAAGATAGGGGCTCAGATAGCACACAAGTTTTAATTGTGCGAATGATGCAGTTTCCAGCCTGTGCACTGACCAGATCTATGATTCAGAAGAGTCTAAGACCAGCAAAACAAAAATGAGGTTATTTACGTACATTTATCATGTTTTAATACATAATGGCAACTGTGGAGAACTCTAAGAAGCACAAAGATGAGGAAGAGTTTACCCCCCCTACTTCTCCATCAGGTTCTAACTACGGGGGGGAACCTTAAAGCAGCTAGGGAGAGTTCAACAGAACAACAGCTGGAGAGGAAGCACTCATGCTTTTCAAACTCCCCTCTGGCTGTTAGTTCCCATGTTAAAAGCCATGCAACTTAACATAATTTAAATAATTAGAGTTATGTCTAATGTGACCCTAACTTTTGCAAAGCTGCTCTACTATGTGCCTTCATCCCATTCCCTAAAGCATAGTATCGATTTATTACCTACTTCATACTGTCACCGGTACCAGGAAGTGGCTGTATAACAAGGCAAGTGATGCTAAATCTTAGGTTCACTAGACTGAAATTCAAACAGCATTATTTGTTTTCTTTTTTTTTAAGTGTTAACTCTTTCCAGCCTTCTTATTCATGATGTGAGTTTGGTTAACTCTAAAATGATATGAGAAAAATAATATAAAATTGGGTATTTGGGATAAATTTGAAAGCAGGGAAAATAATGTAGAAATAGTGCTTTAAAACATACTTGTGTCCTAATGTTCATGCACACACGTGTGTACGTGCACGCATGCATACCTACAAGTCACCTGTCAACTTTGGGAACACTATGAATTTCATAGAGATTTCTTAGACAAGGAATACTCAGGTGGTTTTGCCAAGTCTTTTCTCTGAGTGACCAGTTATTTTTGCTTCCACCACTGGCTAGTATCCAGATGCCTCTACACAGTAAAAATTTAACCTGTACTAAAGCAATACACTTTCAGCAGATGGTGAAGCAACCCAGCGATCAAAACTTTCATGCCCAAGTGACAATTTCTGCATCTCAAACTAACATTCCAGATTTCATGCAATTACAAAGGCAACACAGTGGGGAAGAAATCCAGGTATCTGAACAGTCACAGCCTCACACAGATTTAATCAGGCATGCTGATTCAATATGACTGACATTCACAAAGCCTGGACTGTAAGCATCTTAACTTTCAAGACAAAATCAAAGTAAATTTTGACAACTTCACTCTAGTGGATTAATTAGCACAGAGAGGTAGTTCTCCAAATTTAACTACATTCTGTTTATAGATTCAACCTCTGGAACTATTTAAACGAATGCCATGAACTGAATCAAATAGGGTTTTGCAACTTCTTCCAGATCTCACTTCCCTTAGTTGAGGGCTTCAGTCTTTTGGGAGTCAATCAAGCATATTTTTCTTTTAGTGTTGTGCAAACCCTTCCATTTCCTGAAGCAAACATACAAAAGGAGTGATGCAAAATATCTAGCATCACAGACGACACAACATGCCTCTGGAGATCTTGATGGCAGGGAATTATACGTAACACCACCACAATTTCTGACTGCCAAACTGACCATAAATTATTTGTATATGCTTTTGATTACAGACAAGGTTCCTTGGCTCTCAGTACTCTCATTTAACTCAGCTTGAAAAAAGTTTATTTTTAAGGCTGCAAGAACTAGAATCCTATAAACCCTTTTGGCAGGTATAGTCCTTCAGTAACCTTTTCATGTTATAATGATCAGTCATAATAAAAAGCATACAATAGTGCTACAAAGAACACAGCTAACAAATCATGGGGAGAACTCCAGAACTGTGCAACTGCCATAACATGACAAAGTCACAGTGCCAGTCATTTACAGTTCAGTTCATATCTTTCATTTCAGCTGCTGGACATCTTCAAAGACAGAAGGCAGAGAATGTCTAGAAGAGGGATGCAAAATTTCTGCCCATGAACTAGATGTGTCCATGGCTGTTCCTCATCCAGCCCTTAAGTTTCTTCTATTCTCTTTGAAAAAGCCAAATCCTAAGGAACTCATGCTTGTACCAATCCAGAGGGAAAATGAAGCAGAGAAGTGCTAAAAGATTTAATGCATTAGCCAAATATTGTTACAGCCAAACTTTTCCTATCAGAGAGATCTCAAAGTCAGATGATAATTTACAATTAACAACAAAAATCATGATGTAAACCAAAACATTTTGAAGGGGATGTTGAAATGAGATTAAAATGAAACCTATGCATTTTATGTGAACTGGTTAAATCAGAAATATTTCTTCTCATATTACTTTGCACATATTTATCACAAGATGTGTGTCTCTGCAAGACTCAAAACTGTGGATCATGAATGTATTCAGATGAATGTATGTGGACATTGTTGTTGTTGTTCATTCGTTCAGTCGTCTCCGACTCTTCGTGACCTCATTACTAATGGCAAAATTAAACATGATGAGACTGCAATTTTCTTGGCTCCAATCACTAAGTGGCAGCCAATGATACAGAACATGAATGTGGAAAATATACATAACTATAACAAGATGTGACTGAGATGGTCAGAGATGTAACTCAATACACTACCCCTCCTTCATGTAATCACAATATCTACTTATACCACAGGACATAGACCTTTCTACACTGTTTCTGCTCCTTTTGTCCATGTATAAAACAGGAAGCAGAACTTTCCAATACGAGGAGACTGGCAAAGAAATATAACACCTACTGATGTTAAAATTTGCAATATTTACCTTTTGGCTTTGCATTTTTCAGAATAACTGAAATGAGTTCTGGAACATCAAAGTATGCAGCATAATGCAAAGCATTCATGTTTGTCCAACGGCTCCTCAAATTTATATCTGCACCCAATTCAATGAGTTGGGAGGCAAATTTGGCAGCAGTATCTACATCTCCTAAAAAAAGGTGTTTTAAAAATAATTTTATTTGGTTCAGCAGGCATTTAAAAAGCTATTGCAACACATCAGATTATCAGATACTATGACCAAAGAAAGTTGGCAGATTTCCAGCAACAATTATGAGACCAAGGTATTTTTAACAAGATATTTCTTCACAGAACAGTTCTGAGTTTTATTTACCATAAGTGGTAGACACTTTGAATAGGAAAACCTTGAGTGAAATTACATTTTACTGTGGTACTTTCTACATGTACTTGCTTTTAAAAATTGGTGTGCAGATTTTACAAACAAATAGATGTCCTCCCTCTAGGAATTTTTATAACATGTCAGGCAGCACTGTATGGTTTGATTTAGGTTTAATTAAGCATTGTTTGACACTCTATTGCAGGCATGGACAAACTTCATCCCTCCAGAAGTTTTGGACTTCAACTGCCAGAAATCCCAACCAGTTTACCAGCTGTTAGGAATTGTGAGAGTTGTAGTCCGAAACACCCAGAGGGCCAAAGTTTGCCCATGCCTGCTCTACTGTAATAAAATAGGAGACAGAAAAGACACAGCTCTGTTACTCTTACAACACAAAAGGTTTGGAATTAATTTATTCACAATTATGGATATAAAACCTAACATTCCCATTTCCATTAAATTGACATACCACTGACCTTGTTCTATCTCAGTACCAAATAGGGCTGTAAGTCTTATTTTTCTTCTCACACAGGAATCAGTGTACTCTCTTGTATTCATCTTTCTAACATATACATTTCTGTACACTTTTTTCCATCAACTTAAATATCTGTGTGTGTTTTCCCACATAGATTAATTTTTCCAACTATATGCATATAAGCCCTATAAGGCTCAGGTCCAGGCTATCTTGCTGATTGCATCTCCTTGTATGAACCTGCCCGGGTCCTGAGATCCTAAGGAGAGATCCTAAGGAGAGACCTTTCTCCATCACAATCTCAGTTGATGGGAACGAGAGGCAGGATCTTCTCAGTGGCTGCCTTCAACTCTGCAACATCATACCCAAGGAAGCCAGAATGGTCAACACCCTGGCAGCAGGTTAAACCCTTTTTCTTCAGACAGGCTTTTAAAGGAGATTTTTAATATCAAGTCACGAGGTGCTATGGCTTTAGCCATGAATAGGTTTCGATCAGTCTTAACTATTTATTTTTAATACTGTTAATATTTATTCTATTTTAATGTTTGTACATTTTGGGTTTAATATTGTATTGCATTGGTTTCACTGTAAGCTGCTTTGAGTGTCTTTTTAGAGAAAAAAGCAGGGCATAAATAACAACAACAACAACAATAATAATAATAATTCACAAAACACATTGCAAGCCTTACAAATGTACCGGTTACCCAGGCAGGATGTTTTACTACCAGTTGTAGTAGTGCCATTTTGGAATAGCCATCAGAATGCAACAGATTTATTTTCTATCACAACCCAAAATGAACACCTTCTCCTCCCTTACACAGATGTTAAAACATTAACCATGGTTTATATGGTGAATATCACTGTTCTAACACCTGAAGGCAAAGAAGAAAAACAAAACCAACACTTGGTACCATGGGTCACAAAAACAAATTGTCCAGTGTCATATATATCTGGCCAGACTTTTTATGTTAACATAAATACACCTACTGACTATTGACAAAAAGAGCTCAAAAGCAAAAGCTCAAAGTCAAGTGAATAAAAGAAATCTGTTTTCTATATACAACAGCACACAAATGCTAGAATTAAAAGCACTCACTTTTCAGTGTAAAATGAGTTTACAAAGCATCTATCAAATGCTTCCGAAATAATTTACTGTAATTTTAAAATGACAGAATGTCAAATTCCCATTCAGTTGACATAATTTGCAATGTGTTCCTACCTGATAATTTGAAACTGCTGCTAGAGAAAAACATTTATCACTAAATGCAGAGTATCAGAAAACTGAGAGCTGAAAAATCGGAAGGGGGAAATCTTATAGCAATTCTCTTTAGAAGATCAGGTGTGAAAAACGAGTAAAGAACATACAACTGAATTCTGTGACATATGACTATAGCGAACTGAGCATACACAAGTACCATAGTTCCAGCTTTAAGAAGGGGATAGTCTTGCAGATGACAAAAAATATACAGACATGAACTGAATAAGAGAAATTAGACATACTGCTCAATTAGTGAAAACATGCTATCTCTCTTATTTTTGAAGTCTTAAAAAATATTCCATCCAGTCAGACCTGGTTCAAATGTAAGTATCTTTTAGACTTTCTCTTCTTTCATGATTTCTATGCTGTTCAAAGGAGTTGTTTCTTTTACTGTATGTTTCACAAAAAAGAACATCTGAAGCATGTCTTTATATATAGAAATAGCTGTATTCACAAATCTAAACAAGGACAGCACAACTAAGAAGAAGTACAGAAGGGCATACGCCTTGCTTGCCAGGAAGAACAACAACCATTAAAAATATCCCATGTCTTCTCTTACCAATGCCATGAGCTCCTGACTTGCATGTGTAATGCAAGATTGTCATATCAGTCAAGCCATCTCTGTCATTCACATTGCAGCCTCTCTTGATGATCTAAGATGATAAAAGACCATTATCACTCTGATTCAGTGACATAATGCATCTTGACTTCAACCAAGTAAAAAGTTCCACATGATGTTTGGTACACATTTCATCTTCATAAGTCATCCAACCACTGGTATCACAGTTCCCAGCCATAAAAGCATAGAAAACACCACATTGTTTTGAATGCAGAATAGGTATAATTATATATCAACCCAAGTCCAATTCTTTTTTTTAAAAAAAATGACGTATACTAAGAAAATCTTCATAAAGAAATCTTACCTCCTTTCCAATGACATCAATATTCTGTTGAACTTGAGGGACCCATTGTCTTAATATGGCAAATAGCTCTGAGACAGATGTTTTAGGATTGAAAAGAATGTCCTGGCATGCTGGATCATTAGGGTCAAAAAAGGAAAATTCTGTGGGAACACAAAGGATAGAGGCACAGTTTTGAAAAAAAATATTCCAATGGAATGTGGAGAGAAAGAAAACAAACATTTGTGAACTCCAAATTCACATTCTATATAAACAGTCAGGAAGACTCTAACATGGTAGGAAATTCTTCTTGCTACAAGTTGCCTCATTCACAAAATTATTTAGAAGGTTGAAAGGACAGTCTACCATATGGAGCCCTCTGATGCTTTCCCACAGCATCCTCTATATCATTTTTCATACCAGAAAAAAACATTGAAAAGTGAAATGTAATGACTGCCAAATGTTTCTTGACTGGTAATTAAGACCCAATGGCCAGTAACAGACATGTGTAGCTTATATTGATGTTCAGTGGAAATTTGAAATGTGAATATTTGCTGATGGAAGCAGAAGAAGCAGATGTTACATGTCACACACACACACACACACACACACACACACATATACACTCCTCGGAACAAATCTTGACAAGAAACCCCCATAATAGGTTCTCCTTAGGTTCTAACTAAGTCTGAAACAACTTGAAGGTATGCAACAATAAAAAAGGATTTAACACCAGTAATTTAGCCTGCTTTTAGTGGGCTGCTTCATGGAATTACATGGAATATGCAGCTTAGTACACACAGAGATCTGGGTGCCAAACCTGTAAAGGTTATATTCCATTAAGTCAAAGTTTAGGTAAACAAGACTATAGCAGACATATTGGAGGAAGAAACTAATACACTAGCACACACAAAAATCACCATATGTAACACAGAGTCATTAACATCAGAAATTGTCTCTCCCCAGAAATCTGAGTTTTCCTAATTACCATAAGCTGTCTTACAAACAAGTTGCACATTTTGCAAGCTATTCAGAATCTACAAAGTTTTACACAAGAAATAAACAGCAGCAATTCCCAACATCTTAGCTGTGTATGTTGTCAACTAGGGACATGTAATGATATAGTTTGAATAAAACCCTATTGATGTATACAACTGTCAGATTGGATAAACAGATCAATTTATTGGCACTAAGAGAATTATACAGTTAGAGGTACTTTTATTTATAGTATAATTAAATATGCTTAGTGACTGCACAGTTAGGTCAGGCATCAGAATGACTATTAACAAATGAAGTTTGAAAGCTAACCATCCTCATCCCTGGTCATGCAAGGAAGATTTTTCTAATTAAGTGGATTAGTTCTGACAATTGTTTTCTTCCCAGCTTGAAGCACAATGTCACAAGCACCTAAGTCACCAAAGAAAGAAAAAGAAAGTATGCATGTTCAGAAAAGTGTAAATAAGATAGTTTTCCAACTGAACGTCTAAGGAAGCTATCCAGAAAATCAGTAAAGAATCATCCACAATTTACTGAAAATGATAACAAGGGAGACATAGGTAGTTCCAGAGATAGCAATACACAGTCGTTGCTAATTCATATTAAATTTTGTTTGTAAACAAAAAAGGGAGCCAAATTAAACAGTGAGAACAATACCAAAAATAAGCACATTCTAATAGCAAAATTTTGTATTAAATAGATTTCAGCTATTTGTTTTAATTAGTAGTTCTACATTAGAGGAGAGGTTGAATATAAATTAAATCAATAAAATAGGAGCATCTATTTCATAACGATGTAGACCAAGTTGGTAGTTCTAACTTACTGTGAACTTCACTATACAGAACTCTAGAACTGCAGCATCCTGCAATACATATTAGCCGGCAAACGAAACTGTGCAGTGAGCAAAGCAATTTCTATAAAGATGTTTTCAGGCACAATTAAATCCTGTGAAATTACTCCATGTGGGTGTAGGGTGCATTACTTGTATCGCAGGGCTGTCTCAGATGCTGTTAAATTTCAACAGCACTGCAGCAGCAGCAGCAACAGAACAAAAAAGATCTAGTTTCCAAAGAAGTATGGGTCACCCAATTAGCACTCATCCATCAACAAAATGGTTCTCTTCTTTTCCTAACAACACCTAAGGGCAATTGTGGAGTAGCAAGTATGACACAATAAATTTAATGTCCAAAACACACAGAGGCTAACACATACAAAGAGAAAAGAAATTACTACTCAAATTAAGAAGAAAGGTAAACAAAGAATTAGAGAGACTACTTAGGAAAAATGTTAAGACATTAAAAAAGAAAGTTTAGAGGGCACTCTACAACCAACCCAAACCTTCACAACAATCTACTATTAGCAGCTAAATTAGGCAAATACATGAACAGATGCAGGAAATAACTGACTATATTAACTTCACTCACCCCTCTCTAAAAGCACTATGATTGTAGATTTGTGGCAGATTGAAAATGAGTAAAGCCTAGTTTCACTCCACAACATACCACTTGGTATCTTCCCCATACATATATGTTGAAAACACATTTTCTTGCTTTCTTCCACTTGTTTTGATACCTGAATATCCAGAGCAGTACAAAATACCTTAGAATGTATCACTCTGGTCCATCTGAAACAAACCAATGTAATTCAGTCTGGAACTGAAACAAATTGTTTTAATAGGATTGACTGACTTCTGAATTTAGTCAAATACCCCAGCCATAGATTTATAGAGTAGTGGGTAGTCAAGCTCCACGGCACCAAATATTGGAGTAGGTGATTTGAAGAATTGCTGCAATGTTCATAATAATCTATTTTTTTACAGCTGAAAGAATGCACATCATCTGGAAAAGCACAGCCATTTATCGTACATCATCTTGGTTACTGCACTTTAAAGGACAGACTGTTTACAGAGCTGTCTCAAGCTGCATTTCACCTTCAAAAATCCTTTCTTCTTTGAGGGCTTAAAGAGGAAGAGAACAGCTAGTTATTTTTTTTAAAAAAATATATCAACCTTGTGACAGTCAGTGATTATCAGCAAAACATAAGTTATGTGTTGGAGAAAAGGTAAGATTGGGGAGAAGTTAAAAGATAATCATTCAAGCAATCTGTACTCAACTGAGATAAAGTTTGCTATTTAAAGCTCTTCTACAATGCCATATAAAATCCGGATTATTTGCCTTGAACTAGATTATATGGCAGTGTAGACTCATATAATCCAATTCAAATCAGATAATGTAAATTATCTGCTTTGAAAATCTGGATTATATAGCAGTGTAGAAGGAGTCTAAGATTATGGTTCCAGGGAACTTTGCTCACATCTATTAGGCTAAAGCAGGGAGACACAGTCTGAAGACTATGGCTTAAAGTGGGGATGTCCCTGATCCAAATGATGGATATATGGAGGGCAAACCTGCTTCTACTGCATCACACAGGAAGATACATGTTTCTGAATCAACCAGCACATCCTTGTACTACAATCCTTTTATTATTCATACATCTTTTGCTGTAACACAATGTGATGCATGAATACTACATGGATTTTGGTTCTATTTGCACTGTTCCTTTGATGTGAAAATGCAAGGACAGGAAAAAGTGGAGGGAAACAGATGTGACCAAGATTGTCACACAGAAGACATCAGTGGCTGGTGCCTATGAAGACTGTATCCTTACAAACTTTGAAAACCTAGGAAATGAAAGGGCTGGGTTGGAGAGGACAGAAATCAAGACAGCTAAAGCTATTTTTAGAAGGAATGAAAACTAAACGCTTCACTTAATCAAGGGATAGAAGTTGAAGGTCAGGTGTCTATTTTCGCCAAAGCTATCATCAAGCTGTATTTTGTGAAAGGATGAAAAAGACGATCAACAGAACCAGACTGCAGCAATTTTATTCACGTCCATTCATACATATGTGAATAGACACAAACATACCAAGTATCCAATACTTCCCCATCACTGACAGAAGGCACCTTGATCCAATAGATCAAAACGTTTTCCATCAGAGGAGGGAATCAACTAGATGTAGCCAAGAAACCTGAAAACAAAACTATGCACAATGGTGTTGCGGCAAGGAAGTTGTATGCTTCCTGTAGCCAGCCCAATTAGCAATCTGCAGCTCTTTGAACCCATTGACATTCTCAAACATGTACAGCATGTTACTGTTATCTAACTGGGATGGAATTAAGGCATGGATCACCATGGGCAGATCTGACTTCTCAAAGAATGGGTACAGCTGGTGCACAAGCTTCAACTGTGTAAATACTAGGGATGTGTGATCCATTAAAAAACTGGCTTTTCAGTTCCAAAGTTTTTCTAAAGTATAGTTAGTGAAAAAATTGTTACTATAACAAGGGTAACGAAATTTAATTATTATTTCGTTATAATAATTGCACATTACTATAATTGGGGAAACTTCAAAGCTCCTTTCTCCCTCATTTTTACAGATATTGGGGTGGAACTAGCTACAAAGGTAGAACACATTTACCATGATTAGCCCACCAAATTTCAGAATGCTTCACTTATCCACAGAGTTTTGGGGAATTTTCAAAGTTTTTATAAACAGCATTTTTTAAATAATGAAGAAAATCTACTCCGGGAACTTTGTGTTTGCGCCAAAAACTTTACTAATTGGGTAGATAGTATACTGCAGCAAAATGTGTTATAACATGATGTCTGTAGCGCAAAGACATAGTTTTTGTAGTTTAATAAATTGTCATGTTTTTATTATAGAATCAATTAGGAAATGACATTTATGACCCAGGAACAAAAATCATAGTGTAGAATATTACATTTATTGGAACTCTGGCTGGCTACAGAGGGGAAATCTCTCTGATGCTGAGCAGTGTACTGCATTCTGGGAAATGTAGTTTAGACAGGGCCTTTTGAATTCTGTAGCATAGGGCTCCTCCCTTCCTAAACTATATTTCCCAGAGTTCTGTTCCCAGCAAACACTGCTCCCTCTTTTCCCCGCTCCTTAAGGCGAGATCCCATTAATTTACAGAGGAAATGCAAGGCACTAAGGCAGTCTTTTTGGCTTCGCTTTCAGCTTTGCTTTCTTGCACTAAATATGAAACTGATTTTGAGAACTAAAACAAAAAACTATGTGGTAAATTTTTATTCTTAAATTTTTGGCGTGGACCATGCCCACGTATCGGATATCGCCTCATAAGTATGAATTTTACAAATCTGATATGACTTACGAAGGCTAGCAAACAAATGCACACCTCTAGTAAATACACTTCTAGCTACTGCCAAAAACTAATCTTACAACCTCAGAGTTGAATTCAGGAGCAAACGCAAGTTATAAACTGTGGAGATGTAACCCCCACCCAGAATAGGCTGAATCTCTATTTCATCATTTGCCTTTTAACTGGTCAGGAGCACCTCTATCTTTTCTCAGAGTTTCAATTTGTTTTCGATCTTCCAGATCTTTACTGAGGGCAAGGACCAGTTTGGCACCAAAACAGCTTCCTTGACTTATAGCTGAGAATAGCAATAGTGTTTGTGCCAAATGGCCACAACCACTAAACAATTCAGTTTAAACCACTGCAACTTTACATCACAAATGAAGCTTCTCATTTCCAAATATTTCCAAACTCCAACCATTATCCTGATTTTTTCATTATCTTTGCTTGGCAATTCAGTAGTCCTGTTTTTGTTTGTGAAAACTCATTTAAGGCATGAATGTATCACCTCTCAATCCAGGGTCCCCAAAGTGAAGTACATTAGGTACAAATATTTGAAAACATTAAATACATCACTGAAAACAATAAACTGAAATTCTTCTTTAAAAATCATTTTAACTCCACAATTTACAAACTAAAAAAAGTCAGAGCTGCCACATCTAGTTTGAAAAACCAAAGGCTATGTGAAAATAACACAGCATTTTACACTCTGCTACCAACCTAGAAGGGTTGGAGGCAGACTGGCCTCCCTTGCAAAGGAATTCCAAAGCTGAGGTGCTGCAAATCCCCCAGACTAGCTACACTTGAGATTTTGGAACAATTGTTTGAAGATTTTTTTAAGGTATTTTATGAACATGGATATGAATTCTGGATCCTTTCCTGAGACTTTAGCTCCTTCTCTAGAAGTTAAGGATATAGCATCACTCAACAGGAATGGGCCCAGCTAATGCAACTAGCATTTTTCATGGTCATGTAGATAATGTTCATTTTCAGTAAGTATGAAAACAATATAAACTAAAATAAACTCTACACACTCATCCATTGCTATCTATTTTGCTTTCACACACCTTTTACAAGGTCCTACAAAACATAATAGATTGATTGCCAGGGGAACAATCTCACTTATCACGTCAAAATATTGCTCTTTTAGTGCTGAAAAAATGAAGCTTATATACACCAGTCTGTTACAACATCTGAATCATGCAAGCTTTATTTGCATAAAGCAATTGACTGAGAAAGGCTCTTAAGCTACTTATGTTTTACAGCTCTTATTATACAATTATTTGACATATTTTAGGGAAGAGAGACAGGTGTGGTACTTCAGTTGATTTCACCCTCCTTTCCAGATCCATGCATCTTCATTGACTCAACATCTTCAAAACAGTACTGCAAATTCTCTGTTTACAGCTATACTTACCACATTCAGAAGGCATTGGTGCTGCAGACACGGAATAGGTAACTGGATCTTCAGAGCCAGGAATAAAATACTGGTATCGTGTAGTCAATAACTCTCCTTCTATGGGAGGGTCAGGAAGATCCTCTATGGTCATCGCCTACAAAGCCACCTTTAAGAAATAAATCAAATAAAAAATCTCAAAAAGTGTAGACAGTATAATATATTTTAGTGGACTTTACATAAACTTCTCTTTTCACATGCACAAACACACAAGACTTTAGCCTCTGAAGATTTTCTAGCAAAATAATACTGCTATTACTTTATAATACACTGGGAATTAAGAGACTCAACTGATTTGGAAATCCCTCTAACCTCAGAAGTTATTTTGCTACTTTATGATGTTACAATTGTGACAGAGCATTTGGGATGAAATTCAAAACGAGACCAAAAAACGGAATCAAAAAATCAAAGTTCTCCTAGCACAAACAAGTTCAAAGCAGGAGTACCTACTAAAGGAATCAAATCCTGTAACAAGAATGTGGTTGATTTTAACAGGACTTGGATGTTCAGCAGAACTTCTCTTTGTTACTGTCTTTTTGTCTGCTTGGTTTGCAGATATGTCCATCACTGCACAATGGTGGGAGCATGGAAGTCCTCTACCTCTTTACTGGAGTCAACTCCTCCTTATCCAACATTCAAATGTGAAGTCAAATTAATCCATGTAGTGCCAAAACATTTTTTTAAACTTAATCATGCTCAGTGTTGCAGTACATTGGTCCCATAGTTCCTGAATATTCAATGTTTAAATGTCAATTCAACATGAACACACACACACAATAGGGTACTTTCTGAAAAGTGCCACTTTCCTCCATTGCATCAAGGACACTCTACTATAACAAAGAAGCCTGAAATTACAACTGGATGGAAAACCACCTGAAAACCCATCATAAGAGTTTTGCAAGAGGACAGCTGGACTCGAGGGTTTTTTCAAGATATCGTAACAGAAAAGAATAAAATTCTATATATGAACATTCTTTACATAATTCAGTTAAAAATAGTATTTTTCCTAAGCACATTTGCAGGTTTTTACAATTTTTTTCTTAAATATGGTTGGTAATTTTTGCAATTTTATATATTCACCTAGGATGAACCTTGCGGGAGAAGGGTGGGGTAGAAATGAAGGAAATAATAAATAAATATATATTGTAAGATTCATAAGATAATCTGATTTTCTGTGTAAGTGAAATGGCAGAGGGTCTGTTTCTACATGTTGATAACTTCAAACTTCAAGTTCATAACTTCAAAAATCTGGAAAGATTCTTTTTAACATGATACAGTACTTCTAGCCAATTCAGTTCCCCATAGTACTCTGAAACATTTGCATAATATATTTGGGTCAGGGCTCCCATGTAGTGTGTTGAAGGACTTAACTTTTTACTTAAAAATGTGTGCATATGATAATTAGCTATATATTAATACAGTATGAGTATCCTGCATCCAAAATGCTTGGGATCAGATATTGTTTTTGAGGGTTTTTTTTTAAATTTTGGAATACCTTTATTTGTATATATGTAAATATACCTTGGAGGCAGAACACGAGTCTAAACACAAAATTAATTTATGTTCCATGTACATAGCCTAAAGATAATGCTATATATAATATTTTTAATAATTTTGTACATTAACTATAAAAAGCAAAGCTGTCAGACATTCTTGTGGGCAACTTTGGATTTTGGGGTATTTAAAATTCCAGATAGGGGGATGCTCAACATGTACATAGGTTTATATCACATTTATGAAAGTTTAAAACATAATTTCATGTATAGCTATGTATAATTTCAGCACATATTTCTGAATGTATACTGGAGAATAAATTTGACAACGATTTTTTGTGTCGTAGAATTGACTAAGATTTTCTTTCACCTAGAATTACCTATATCTTCATGATACATGTGCTCTTTTTCTTCCATATATTTTCAGACTATCCTACTTTCACTCCAGCCAAATTAAAAATAATGAAAAAACCAAAAGGATCTGCCTCTTAATCAGAATTACAGCTTGAGTGTATTCCCTAATACAAAAATGAGTAATACTAATAATAAGTTTTAATCTTTACTATTTGACAGTAGCCCTATACTAACAGAACATCTTTCAAATCAGAGTGCAACTTTAGGGATTTTCAAAATTCACAATATAATACAGTAATGTTTACTGGGGAGACTTTTACTAGTAAGAGCAAAGAAATGAAAATAATGAGATTAATTTGTACTATTTTCCTGAAAGATTGTTTACTAGCTTCTTCTATAGATTTTTGGGGGCTCTGATTTGCTGTTTTAAATTGTTTATATTACCATAAACCATCCTGATCTCTTAAACTAATTATAACTACAGTAAATCTGCTCTGTTTATCTGTAACATCAGACACACTTGAAAACAATTCATTGGAGACAGATATGATCCCAAAATATAGATAGTGCAAACTTAGTTTTGCTGATTTTATTAATCCACACAGAAGGTACAACAAATGTGTCACCGTTATAAAGAGGAAAAAGGACACTTTATATGTACAGCAGCTGCTAAAAATCATTTCTGCTTCACAGATTAGGACAATGCCTAAGGAAACAACCTCAGTTACCTTGTAAATAAGAAAGGCACTCAGCATCCTGAAAAATGTTATGTAAGTTATAAGTCTATAGTTAGTAACCCCATCTGCAACCCACTTTCATGATCATGAAAGCAAGTTCAACAATAAAAAGAAAGGGGAGGCAATTCTTATAATCTAGGTTTTTAAAATTTTCTATCTCAACTACTTGCTCAAAGGAACACAAACCAGCACATGTATAGCAGCGTCTCCTAACAAGCTACATCACAGATATATTGGACTGCAAACTCCAACACTCTGCCAAGAATCATGCTGGTTGGAGATGATAGGAGTTATAGTACAACACATATGAAGGCTAGCAGAACAGTACATCATTTTTATTATTACTGCTATATTTATTTATATCCTGCCTTTCTCCCCATGGGGATTAGCATGTCATTAAAAAAAATCAGAAAAGCATGCAGGAAAACAGCTATTTGTAAACATGTTAACTTACAACAAAAAATGAGGAAGTTAATAGAAGTGAAAATGTTTGAAGAAAATTAGGCCAGTGGTATTTCATCCATAGCTGTGGAAGGCCAATGAAGGGCAACCTAATTTATTATCTATAAAAACTGGGGCGCTAAGGTACATCTCTTGAGGAAAAAACTGCTTTGCATTCAATTTCTGTTATTCCATCTAGAAGACATGTAGAACAATGTTAAGTAATTGCTAAAATGAAAGCTTTGTTTTCTCCTTAGCACCTTTAACCTTGATGTATTAACATCTAGGGCAGGACTGCCAAACACCAAGAGCAGTGATTGCCAAATTCTAGTCTTCCGAGTCTTTTGAACTTCAACCCCCAGAAGCCTCAGCAATTATAGCAAAGGTCCAAAACACTGAAAAATACTGATCTAGAAAGCCATACTATTTGTTGATGAGCTGACTGGAATGAACAAGAGAAAGTGATTAGCAAATGTATACCTGAAATGCATAAATTGCATTAAAAAGGGACAGGGCAGTTCCTCAAGTTCTCCTTTTGATGTTTACCATAACAAGGCAGAGTGAAAATGTTACAGACCAGAAAAGCACTAAAAAAATTGGTGGATGGGGAAACCGGCTTCACTGTTTTATTGTGATAATAATAACAATAAAATTTTATTTATATTCTGCTCTATCTCCCTGTAGGGACTCGGGGCAAAAACTTTCTGGGAAAAATATAAATAAATTATGCAATGTTTTCTTTTAGAATATTGAAAACAAATTAATACAAGGTATTCATATATGTATTCCCCCACCCCATCCCCACACAGTTTTAAATAAAATATTTACAGTACCTCACATTATCAAAACGTCTGGTCATGATTTCCTAGTCTACTTTTTTGGGAATTAGCATTTCATGTTCTTTTGGCACTATGGAGAGCTAGGAAAGACATTTTCTTACAAATGTTAATGGTTTCTGTTGTATTTATTTAATTACTAGCTTGGGGATCCGGCGCTGCCCGGGTTATTTGAGAAAGGAATTGTGTATCAAGGTTGGTCTTTATCAGTTATTTATATGGCTCGCAATGGTCTCAGGAAGTTAGTGAAGGTACTGTGAGTCCCATCATCTATGGTCCATCCTCCTGTAAACTGCTCCAGGATGGAGAGTTGGTCATGGGAGCTCTACGTGCCAAGTTTGGTCTTGATTGCTCATTAGATGAGTGGTGCAGAAGTCTTGGGAAGTGAGTGGAGTTACTTGAAGTCCCATCATCCATACTCTGTTCTCCCCCAAACCTCACCAGAATATTGAGTTGGCCATGGGGACTTTCTGTGCCAAGTTTGGTCTTTATTGGTATTTGGATGAGTGTCACTGTGGTTTCAGGAAGTGTGTGAAGGTACTGCAAGTCCCATCATCCATCGTCTGTCCTCCTCCAAACAGCATTGGGATGTAGAGTGGGTCATGAGGGCTCTGTGTGCCAAGTTTCGTCCTTTCGGTTATGAGATGAGGGTTGCAGCCATCTTGGGAAGGGAGTGGAGGTCCTTGAAGTCCCATCATCCACGGTCTGTCCTCCTCAAAAGTGCACCAGGATGTAGAGTGGGTCATGGGGGCTCTGTGTGCCAAGTTTGGTCTGTATTGGTAATTTTCTGACTCAGCCCCTGGCCTTTTCCTTTCCTCTCTTTGTCATCTCGGAATCTTGGAATTGAGGCTGGCCAATCAGAGACCATATACAAATTTCCTTCTCTCATGTCTCCGTTTCTGTCATGAACCCTTTTCTCCACCAGGGGCTCCTGTAAAGCTGGCCAATCAGAGACCATATGCAAATAGCACCACAGCGGCAGCCAATCAGAATCTTGGAACTTTCAGGCTGGCCAATCAGAATGCTGGCACATACACTGCCACACCGCCACACTTTTGACCACCACATACAACCTTTGACTTTTATTATATGTATAGATAGATAGATAGATAGATTTGCTTACTTCTCACAAACAGGCGAAACTAACAGGGCTTCTTATTGTTTAGTTGTCACTTATAGTACAGGATCTTAGTAGCTCCATTCATTTAAAATAGGTAAAAAGTAAATTCAACTTGTAATTCTCTTCTGAATAAATTATATTTTGCGTATGTCCGACATAATACTTTTATGCTAAACCATGTCATAATGTGACTTTCAACCTGGAAAAAGTGCTAATACTGCATTTTTAAAAATTTCCCCCCAAATGTCTGTGTTGTTGGGGATTTTGGGGGGGGGGGGGAGTGCCTACAAGTTTCCAAAACATAACATTTTCCTATTATAAATCTACTACTCAAAATCTCAAATCTTCCAACCATCCCTCAACTGTTTGGCAAGGAAGGCTAGGAGCAGGAAATCTAATTTCTGACTAAAATTTGAATGAAAAATTTGATGACCGATATGATAATAATACTTGCAAAGAAAAATGTGATATATTAACAGTTGGGAGAACTTGCATCAGCATGTTGTTTCCCAAAAAATGATCAGGTTGGAATTTGACCTTTTTGGCCTGTCACATTTTTAAAGGGACTGCATCACTTTGGACCTGTGGGAAAGGCTATATATACTCTTGCTTCTGACAGATTAAAATGATGTTTCCATTCTTTCCCCTTCTCCTACCCTTTGGTGAGGCACAAGTAATATTTGGCAGAGAAAGCTAAAGATCTTGCAAAACTACAACTCCCACAATTTCATAGTACTGATCCATGAAAGTTGATGTCCTGCCAAACTGTATTCATTCTACAGTGTAGATGCAACCTACATGGATCTTCTCAACCTAGCTGGATTTGATCCCCATCATTTGTAGATTACAAACAAGGCCAGCCCAAGACATTTAAGCTAACTAAGGCTTGAGAAGATGGCAGCTTCACCACATTCATCTGTGTACTTCGTCTTACCTACTAACCTCAGGGCAGCAGGCTAGTTTGGGTAATTCTAGACAGACTGTCACACATGTAACTGGCTCCTCACAGCAACAGTTTGAAGCCTCTGTGCTCACCTCAAGGACCCAAACAAGAGCAGAGAGGAAAGTGTAGGGGGTGAGGAGTTAGGAGGGAGCCCTCCTCCTTTTCCCCCTCCATCTCTCCCTCCCCCTTCCTGGAGGAACCCTTAGGTGTGCGCCCCTCCAGAGGCTGTAACTTTCCAGTTCCTCTTTTTCTCCTCTCACTCTTCAATACAATTTCTCATCAGTGCAAGTTGTAAAAGGCACTACCATTTGTCCCCATATGTCCCGGAGAGGAACCAGAAGGGAATTCTGAAGCTTTCCAACAGACCGCACAACCTCTGAGGATGCCTACCATAGATGCAGGCGAAACGTCATGAGAGAATGCTTCTGCAACATGGCCATACCACACGAAAAACTCACAGCAACCCAATTCAAAACACTTTATCAGTAAATGCACCCCCGCCATTGCTGGAAAAGGAATCTGAGGGGAAATATTACAATATAATGGTATAGTATAATATAGTAATATCTAATACTCATACTGTACTATGCCAATAATATGAGATATATATATATATATACACACACACACACACACACACACACACATATATATATGTGTGTGTCTCGATAAAATCTCGATAAAATAGTAAAGAGTAGAGACATCAGAATGGCAACAAAGATCCGCCTAGTCAAAGCCATGGTATTCCCTGTAGTAACCTACGGATGTGAGAGCTGGACCTTAGGGAAGGCTGAGCGAAGGAAGATCGATGCTTTTGAGCTGTGGTGTTGGAGGAAAGTTCTGAGAGTGCCTTGGACTGCGAGAAGATCCAACCAGTCCATCCTCCAGGAAATAAAGCCCGACTGCTCACTGGAGGGAAAGATACTAGAGACAAAGTTGAAGTACTTTGGCCACATCATGAGGAGACAGGAAAGCCTAGAGAAGACAATTATGCTGGGGAAAGTGGAAGGCAAAAGGAAGAGGGGCCGACCAAGGGCAAGATGGATGGATGGCATCCTTGAAGTGACTGGACTGACCTTGAGGGAGCTGGGGGTGGTAACGGCCGACAGGGAGCTCTGGCGTGGGCTGGTCCATGAGGTCACGAAGAGTCGGAGACGACTGAACGAATGAACAACAACAACATATATATATATATATGGTAAGCCGCTTTGAGTCCCCTTCGGGGTGCCATAAATAAATAAACAGTGTTTTCTGCAGAATAGTAATCCAAGTCTGTTTTAATAGTTATGAGGAAAAAAGCCAAACTATTAAGATTGTATCAACATGCTACTGAATGCAATACAAGCTACACCAGCCAGAAAGCCAACTTCCCAGTGCAAAAGTTTCAGCCTCCTAATATTTCAAGAGTCCAATGAATGTATCACATCTGAATCACTTTGAGTATTAAATGGCACTTATATTTACCCCCTGCTTACAGTCCTTCAGGTAAACATGAGATGATAACTGCATGCAAACTAGAGAAGGCTGTGTGTGGCATAGACTAATATAATGTTTAAAATTTGTTACAGGAAGCATTAATAAACTTCCCAGTGATCACATAGGAAAAGCTCCCCCTTCCAGTCATGAATGTGCAATATTTCTGGATATCAGAAATCACATCAGATTCAAACTATGCAACTGTTATCTTACTGGGTTGCTGTGGGTTTTCCTGGCTGTATGGCCATTTCCAGAAGCATTATCTCCTGACATATCATCCACATCTATGGCAGGCATCCTCAGAGCTTGTGAGATCTGTTGAGAACTGGGCAAGTGAGGTTTATACATCTATGGAATGTCCATTGTAGGAGAATGTCCTGGAGATTCTACACATATATAAACCTCACACCTAGTTTCCAACAGAAGAAACTCTGAGGATGCCTGCGATAGATGTGGGCAAGATGTCAGGAGAGAATGCTTCTGGAACATGGCCATACAACCCAGAAAACTCAGCACCCAGTGATTCCGGCCATAAAAGCCTTCAACAACAGTAGTCTTACTGTTTCTGATAGATAAGTAAACTTTGAAGAATTACAAGCATAAAGTATGGGGTAAAAGGGATCAGCCACTCATGATGTCTGTATAAGGGACACTACCTGATTATTCCATGAAAAAGGAGAATAATTGATGGCAAACAGTATGCAAGCAATATCTCAACTTCAACTCATATATACCTTGCTCATATTAAAAGCTATTATTGCATCTTTGCTGGGAGTTTTTAAATAAATGGCAACATTTCAATCAAATCAGTACAGAAGGGGGGGGGCTTTATGATCTGCAGTCTGTGTCGAGGCCTTGTCAATGAGCAGACATGTTTTCACAAAAACAAAACTAAAAGAGAGATGTGGCTACAAATTGGCTGATGCTAAGCATCTGAAACTCACAAGGCTTCAAAAGGTGAACACTCACACAACTGCAAATGTGACAAAAACACAATGACGAGCAATGACCTCCTTCAGAGCACAGTAGGACACTCTCTCCCTAATGCTGCATGCTCAATTGGGGCAAGGAAAAAAACTCAAATACAGTTGGTCCTCCATATCCACAGATCATGCACCAAGAATACAACAATCCACAGCTTCAAGATACCCCTTTCCCGCCCACCAAAAATATCCCCAAAACTTGATTTTGCCATTATATTGGGTGGGCCAACAGTCTTAAAGAGGTTTCAATATTTATTTATTTATGACATTTATATGCTGCCCTTTTCACCCCAATGGGGACTCAAAGCAGCTTACAAGTAATATGTAAATACAATATATTGTATTATAACCATAGAACAATATTAGTATTATATATTACTATACTGTAGTATAATAATAATAATAATAATAATAATAATAAACTTTATTTGGACCCGGCCACCATCTCCCCAATGGGGACTCAGAGCGGCTTACATGGGGCCAATTACAATAAAGAATACCGAAACACAATCCAAAATGCAACAATAAACAACATCATGATTACATAAAACATATGAATACGTAACAGTATAAGAATTACAATAGACACAGGCACAGAAACAATGGGCGGGCTGCATGTAATGATTAAAAAACAAATTAATTAAAAACTCAGATAAAAGAGAGAAGCAGATAATATGCGGAGTAGTACCATTATACTCTAATATTGTTAATAATATTACATGTAATATGAAATATGTAATCATAATATGGTATTATTATTATTGGTAGTAGTAGTATATTGTATTATATTATCAATACTTATAACTCTGTGAGAAATTAAATCTGCAAATCAAGCCTGGGCAAACTTGGGCCTTCCAGGTGTTTTGGACTGCAACTCCCACCATTCCTAACAGCCTCAGGCCCTTTCCTTATGCGTCTGAGGGGGAAAAGAAAAGGGCCTGAGGCTGTTAGGAATGGTGGGAGTTGAAGTCCAAAACACCTGGAAGGCCCAAGTTTGCCCAGGCCTGTTGTAAAGGGTGCCCAAAAGGCCCTTCCTTCCCTAAGCCAGCCCGGCTCCACGTGCTCCTGCCACCTCCCAAGCCCCGCCCCCTGACGTCACAAAGGGGGCTCACGCGGCCCCCTCCCCCTCTTAATTAAACGGCCCCCTTCCCGCCTTGGCTTCCCTCAGATATCTTTCCTCGCCGCCAAAGCGAAAGCTGAGGAGGACGAGAAGGCAGCGGCCCTTTTATCCCTTGCCAGTGACCCCACTCTGCCTTTACCTGCCCTCTCCGCCCGCGGAGGATCTCTAACTGAGGGAGAACGGGCACCGCTCCTTCCTTCCCTCCCTCCTTCCTTCCAGGTGCCTCGCCGGCTCTCCCACTCGCCTCTTAGCCCCGCCCCCAACCGCCTCCGTCCATCAAAGGGCCCGCTCTCCAATCCAAGGACGGCAAGCCACGTTAAGCCCCGCCCTTTCTTTCTTTTAGCCAATCCTGGCCGAGCATAGCCCCGCCCCTTATGCAAAGCGACTGAGGGTCCTCTGCCCCCGCACCGAGTGGGCCCTTCTTGCCTCTGGGGAGACGTTATTTCAGTTGATCGTCGCCTAGGAAACGGCGGGGTTGGAGCGCCTGGTGACGTCACTGGGGGAAAACCAGGATTGGCCTCCCTGAAGCAATCTCAGAGCAGTTTGGTACTGCTTCAACTGCCATGGCTATATTATACTACGAAACCTCGGGATTTGTAGTTTATTAGGGCGCCAGAGCTTTCTAACAGGGAAAGATTAGTAATGTAAAAATGAAGTTCAACAGTGACAAATTCAAGATACTCCACTTAGGTAGAAAAAATGAAATGCAAAGATACAGAATGGGAGAAGTGTGAAAAAGATCTTGAGGTCCTAGTGGACAACAAGTTAGGCGTGAGCCAATGGGATTTTGGCCTGCATCAATAGGAGCATAGTGTCTAGATCCAAGGAAGTCATGCTACCCCTCTATTCTGACTTGGTCAGACCACACCTGGAATATTGTGTCCAATTCTGGGCACCACAATTGAAGGGAGATGTTGACAAGCTGAAATGTCAAAGGGTCTGGAGAACAACGTCCTATGTGAGGAGTGGCTAAAGAGCTGGGCATGTTTAGCCTGAAGAACAGAAGGCTGAGAGGAGATATGATAGCCATGTATAAATATGTGAGAGGAAGCCACAGGGAGGAGGGAGCAAGCTTGTTTTCTGCTTCCGTGGAGACTAGGACGCGGAACAATGGCTTCAAACTACAAGAGAGGAGATTCCATCTGAACATTAGGAAGAACTTCCTGACTGTGAGAGCCGTTCAGCAGTGGAACTCTCTGCCCCGGAGTGTGGTGGAGGCTCCTTCTTTGGAAGCTTTCAAACAGAGGCTGGATGGCCATGTGTCGGGGTGCTTTGAATGCAATTTTCCTGCTTCTTGGCAGGGGGTTGGACTGGATGGCCCATGAGGTATCTTCCAACTCTTTGATTCTATGATTCTATAAGAGGCCTGAGACTGTTGGGAATTGTGGGAGTTGGAGTCCATAACACCTGGACGGACCAAGTTTGCCCATGCCTGATCTAGCCTCATCTATGGAAATGAATCTTTTACTCCAAGAAATGTGTTTTTTACTTATCTTGCCAAGCAGCTTTTGTTTAATCAAATGCCAGAGATTACATGAAAGACATGATCAGACTGGTTACTTGAATAGCTCGTTAGAGGAGAAACAACTTTTAGTGTCTGAGCTTGCACAGTTTTGTAAGAACAGCCAGGGTTGGGCCCAGCTACGTACAATCCACGGCCAGTTTTGGAACTACATGTCATCAGAGGCTTCTAAGGCAAGACCGGGCCCATCCATTGAAATTATTTAGGACTGGGTGTGTTTTGTGGAGTGAAGCCAGGAAGCAGGTTTTCTGCCTTCCTAACACATTGGGCCAGTTTAGATGAAAAGATAAACTCAAGATTTGGAGGACCTGGCTATTGGTTAAGGGCAACATGCTAGTGTACTCTGCCCAATAATATCTGCTTGCAGCACAAGTTAAAAATAAATACATGCATTTTTATTATTTTTTGTCTCCCGCATCATCCAAATATGAACCCCTTTTTCCTCTGGTTAGTTTTTTCTTCTCCTAAATAAGCATCCAAAAAAAGCATGCAGTGTGTCTTTCAATTTGTATCTCTTATTTGTCGAGAGCCCCCGGTGGTGCAGTGGGTTAAACCTCTGTGCCGGCAGGACTGAAAACCGACAGGCCGCAGGTTCAAATCTGGGGAGAGGCGGATGAGCTCCCTCTATCAGCTCCAGCTCCTCATGCGGGGACATGAGGGAAGCCTCCCACAAGGATGATAAAACATCAAATCATCCGGGCATCCCCATGGCAACGTCCTTGCAGACGGCCAATCCTCTCACACCAGAAGCAACTTGCAGTTTCTCAGGTCGCTCCTGACACGACAAAAAAAATAATTGTTGGGATTTAGAAGAGGAATCACGTGTATTGTAGTGCACCAGCACAATTCTACTGACTTCAAAGTGCAAAAGGAGAAAAAGATGACCATTTTGAATCCTTTTTCCAGCCCCCTGCCAACTTTCTTGCCCATTACTGACAGTGTGTTTTCTGTCAGAGCAAGGGGTTCCCTTTCAGGTTTTCCCCTACTAGTTTAGGTAAAGGTAAAGATTTCCCCGTGTCTGACTTTGCGGGGTGGCACTCATCTCCATTTCTAAGCCGAAGAGACAGTTTTGTCCATAGACGCCTCCAAGGTATGTGGCCGGTATGACTGCATGAATTGCCATTACCCTCCTGCCGATGCGGTACCTATTGATCTACTCACATTTGCATGTTTTTGAACTGATAGATTGAAACTCAGCGCTTTAACCTGCTGTGCCACTGGTGGCTCCCTACTAGCTTAGCTGAATTAAATAGGGATGGCTCTATGCTGTGATGGGAAGCTTATGTTCCCCACTCCAGAAGCTAAATGCAAATGGGGTCAAATAAAGTGGAAATATTACTCAAAGTTAACATCGTCTCTGGAACTCTCTTCCTAGGGAGATCAGACAGACCCCACTCTCTTCATTTTCTGCAAGGAATTAAAAACTTGGTTGTTCCGTTGTGCCTTTGACTAGGCGGTTCACTTGAGAATTATCCTGGCCTTATCTAAGTTCCGGCACTTTAGTTGGCCCCTTTCCTGTACTTATGGCACTTTAATGTCCAAGGGCACTACCCTGGCAACCCAGCCCTCTGACTATTGCACTTTCCCTCGGCTCTCCCAAGGAATCATTGCACTTACTCTGAGCCCAAAACCAGTTTCAAATTGGCCAGCAAGGGTATTGTTTTTATGATGTTAATTGATTTTAATGTTTTTATTATTTGTTATTGTTTTTTCTGTGTCTGTTTTATTTGTAATCCTTCGGCTTGTCCCTCTGTAAGCCGCCCTGAGTCCCTTCAGGGAAATGGAGGCGGGGTATAAAAATAAAATTATTATTATTATTATTATTATTATTATTATTATATTGTATGTATATTTCTCTTCCATTGCCAGTGAGCAAAATACCAAAGTGTTTAAAAAAAGAACGTACTTGTAACATTAATTGCATTGCTACATTCTTTTTGCCACAGAGGCTTTGTGCCATAGTGAGTCAAATAATGAAGGTCCGCACACATGAGATGCAGAAAAAAATACTGCTGTCTTCCTTTTCCCCAAAAAATCTACATTACTATTGATTTTCTGTTTTACTTTTGACTCATGTACGTGAGCTTGCAGCTGATATGTTATTATTGGCTCTGCTCTCTGCAGCCCTAATGAATGGGAGTTGCTAAATTAATTAACGGAATATTCTGAATCAATGTCTGAATGTGTTCTTGTATATATTGAGAAACTGTTTCTCAGTGGAGTATCTCAGCATTCCTTATTTGATTCTGTCGGGTTTAATGAGCAGTATTGCTGACCATTACTGACCCACATGAAGAGAACATGGAAGTCCCCACTGTTCTCAGCACACTTTACAACCATGATAAAATGGAATCGCATTCTAATGCCCTTCCTCCCAGGATTTCTCACAGAGAATCTATAACACTTAAAACCAATTTCAGTTCCTGCCGAAGACAAACTTTGTAAATTTAGACAGAAAAAAATCTCTGGCTCCCTCTCATGCTTTTATTGTCTTAGGGGGTAGAGAGCGGACAGATAAATAGAAAGGAGTTATCAGTATGATTCTATCAAGGGAGAAATCCCAAACATTTAGCTCCCATATCATCGATTATCCAGAACAAAATCTGGAAGGACATAACTTGTCCATATTGTACTTGAGTCTCCTGCATAGGGGATCGGTCATTTGTATCAACACAATTTGGACAAGAAGGGCAAAGTCAGGAATTTCTTTGTTGCATCACAAAAATCCATGCAGACAGAATTTGTAGGAGCTACTTTACATCTTCTGCAATATAGACAGGCGCTGATCGTTTATTTAATTTCCCTACAGTGTTTTTTAATCCTTTTTAGAACTCTTTTATCTCCCTTGTCATCCAACAGTCAAACTACCTCTCCAACCAGCTTCTTGATCTATTTAAATATTATTTTATTGCTTTCATATTATTAGGTATATGTTTCTCAAAATTCTCTCCCCCCCCCTCCCCTTTTCTCAAGTTTTGGCAGTTGTTCAGTTTTCTGGAGTACCTCCAGAGGCTGTGGTGGTGCAACGGGTAAAATTGTTGAGCTGCTGAACTTGCTGATTGGAAGTTTAGCAGTTCGAATCCGCGAGACAGAGTGAGCTCCTGCTGTTAGCCTCAGCTTCTGCCAACCTAGCAGTTTGAAAACATGCAAATGTGAGTAGATTAATAGGGACCACCTCAGCAGGAAGGTAACAGCACTCCATGCAGTCATGCCAGCCACATTACCTAGTAGGTGTCAACAGACAACGCAGACTCTTCGGCTTAGAAATGGATATGAGCACCACCCGCCAGAGATAGAGGTGAATACTACCCCTCAGAGCCAGAAGAGGAAGCCTTTACCTGTGTCATATTGTTTCTTGGCATTGAATGTTTACCTTTGTGTTTGTGTATGCTGGAATCCTCCCTGAGTCCCCTCGGGGAAATAGGGTGGAATACAAATAAACTATTATTATGTTATTATTGCCTTGCTTGACATGGGCAGATTTAGATCAAAAGTCATGTTTGAATTGTCATTCCAATACCAAATGAAAACAACCAAATTCCTGAAAGCTTGGTCCTCTGTATTTGAATGATCTCCTCTCTATATACATACCTGCCTGAGAATTGAGGGGTGCCTGTTAGTACGAGCAATAGATTGGGAATTGTAACTAGTGCAAAACAGAGCAGTTACATTGCTGACCAAAATAAGTCCTACTTGCTCACTTGTAAATAAACCATCCCTTCCTTTGCTTTGAGCAAGCATTGTAGTATGCATAATTACAAAGCATCCATCCCAGCACTGGGCATGTCAACAAAAATAGCCACCTAGTAAGCTGTCCTGCCCCAGACTCCTGAAAGCAGCTCACTTTACGCTGTACACATGTAGTAAAACATAACAACAGACTGGGTTTTCTTAGACTCTGCAGAGCAAGAAACAAGTATTGGCAAATAGCATCAAAGCCTAAAAGCAGTGCTTTCACTGCTCAAGGGGCCACACTGCACATGTCAGGATCAAAACAGCTACAATGTGAGTATGTTTTAATTTTTTGTTGATGTAAACAGAACCTAGATCATCCTAGTGCAAGGAAAGCTATAACTGACAGACTGGCCAAAACTGACACCAAGTAATTTGGCCCATGCTGTTTACCTTGATCTCTGCTGATAGATGAATCTAGGAATATTCCCTATCTAGACACTTGCTTTTTAAGGCCGGGTGCATCCAGGACATGTAACTTGCTGTATTCCTGAATATAGGAACTGTCAAACCACCTTTCTTTCTTGACAGGATTCACCTTCAATTTATTGGACTCCATTAAGGCTATTGCAACATCCAAGACTCTAAAAAGCATCTGTACAGCTCTTGCTGAATCCAACAAGATGTTTGGATAATTGTAATCATACTATTGTAGTGAATCCTTAATAACCTCATTCAACATTTAATGCTATCTCTTATAGATTTGTGGGTTAGATTCAAGCTGCGCTTTTATTAATCTGGTTTTAGGTACCTCCTGGTATTCATGGAAGATCTAATCCAGTGGTTCTCAACCTGTGGGTCCCTAGGTGTTTTGGCCTACAACTCCCAGAAATCTCAGCCAATTTACCAGTTGTTAGGATTTCTAGGCGTTGAAGATCAAAACATCTAAGGATCCACAGGTTGACAATCTCTGATCTAATCACATTGACTTCCTGCTTCAACTCTTTCTGAAATTTTCTCGTTTGAAGTACAATGTGACTTGTTTGGCTTGGAAATTTTTCCAATTTCCACTTCCATATATGTTACATTTGAATGCATCGTAATCATTTTTTCCTCTTGTTTCACACTCAAACTTCAGTCATGGTCTTCAACAGGACTTTGGGTTAAATCTCCACCATGAGCTTGATGACCAACATTTGGAATTGAGTGAGAAACCTATCAAAACATAATTGCTCAAATTTAATCCTGAGCACAAACTATGATTGTGATATTGGCACTTCTCTGAACTTTACCATATAATTTGGAAATAAAATTGTGTGCACACATCCATTCATATGAGAGTGAACAGCACCCAAAAATGCATACATTAAAAGAAAATGCACAGAACTTCCTCCCCACTATATTGGAAAAAAGTGCTTGCAAAAATGTAAGTGTAGACAAAAAGTGTAGACAAAAGTGCATATGTTGATGGAAATATGCAGCAACAAACATTTTTATGAGGACTTTTAAAATGTAAACTGAAAGTGAAAGACAATAAAAAGTTGAAAAGCTGAGAAATTGAAACTGCATCCTGGTGTAGCCAAAATTCACAAAACAGTGACACTTTTATCAGGCCTACCAAAAATACACAAACTGCATTATACAAGCTTTACTGACTTCTTCTTCAAGCAAAGGTGTTACAAATTGTACAAGAGAAGTAGACTCAGATCCGACATCCATCCATCCTAGGGAATGGGACAGTTATATGGAGAATATAAGGGATGAGATTTGTTAAGTAATTAATCTGTATATTGAAAAGACTATTTGATGGATTCAGTATGTAAAGAATAAGTCTGCCATTCTCTCTGTTGTTATGGAAAATGGTGAGCCTGAAGAGGTTCCTTTTTACATTGAGGTTATCCACGTGAGCAGGAATCTTAATGCCCCAGCATATACGCTCACATGGAAAGCCTCCACGTGAGCAAGAACCTGTCTTCCCCACTCACTGCCTTGAATGAGATAAATGATACTAAAAGAGGGTGGGGCTAATGCTCCCATATTTGCATGTTAAATACAATTGGGTAAATAATTCCTGAATAGGGCTTCAATCTAGTGTGGCTGTGAACATTGTCAAGAGTGTTCATCGCCTGGTCTATATGTAAACAGATTGCATTCCTTTTTGTACTTGGTGTAAAGTTGTTTGGAACTAATCCAAAATAACCTAAATGATATTTTAATTAGTTTAATCAAATGCACCTGTTTCTGTTCATCCAACCTTTTAGCACAGAGGAGATTACCAAACACAATCGTAATGCTGAAAACCATAAGCATGATGAGTAATTTGTACATCACCTGACCACCCGGAACTACATCAGGTAGTCTTTTTCTTTATAAGTAGATACCTGAAGAAGTAAATGTAGAAACAAAATACAAGAAGTCTTAAGACTTACAAGTGATTGTCATATATGCTAGTCAAAGAACCACTGGATAAAATCTGCAAGAAAATAAATGTATATCACAAGGATGAACAAAATGTGATGACATTGTAGGTCAATGAAGACTGAGAAACCCGAAACAGGACGACTTAATAGGCTTTTCCATTTCTCACCTTGTTTGACTCTACACATTGTGTTTCCTTCCTGAGCTGAATTATCCATCCAAGGTCATGGTTGTCCTTCCACAGATTCCTGCACTGGTATCTTGCCATTTTCAAAAGAGTAACTTAACAGTTGCCTCATACTTTGGATTTTTAGAGCACTGAATATGGTTGAGAAAATGAGGTGCAGTGGGAAAATGTATTGCAATGCATAAAAAGCTAATTTGTAAAATCCAGAGTGTGATAAGAAAGTCCTGTTACAAAGGCAACAAGCTAGCTGAAGGCTACTTAGCCTAATAAGCTTAGCATCTTATTTGGGGTTGGCATCTGTTACGGCAGAAGCAAGATACACAAGTGCACTTAATCCACTAGTTCATTTGAAACGCAACAGAGCTTTTGCATTACTGGTTTGTGTCTAAAGGGGAGATTGTTGAAGAGAAGATTATGCTGCATGCCTTTGTTAAGGAATATACTAAGAAAATTGGAATTGTATAACAGCCAATAAGTCAACTCTTCAATTTTGGGGCTCTTCATGATGAGAACTTCCACCGAAATGACAACACCTAACATCAGCTGAACCTGTAAGTTCCATTTCATTTCCCCAATTAAACTTGACATTTTTCAGTAGTGCAGGAAGCTAGGAAGTGGGAGCAAAATGGGCTGTACTCCTTCACGTAGCGATATTGCTAGCCATCATGCCAAACATGGTATCCTGCCAATTGATTCAGGAAGTGAAAACTTCTCACTTCCTTCGCTGATCAAAAACTCCTCTTCCTATGACTTAGAAGATGTATGTGAGAGAAAGGCTAGAGTTAAAGATCACATTTTGGAAAATTCATCAGATGAGGACAGAAATACTAATTTCCAGTCATCATTTGAGGATCCTTCACTACCAGACCTTGACCAAGAAGAGAAGGAAACTGAAATGATAGTTTCAGAGACTGAGGTAGCCATATCTGAACTGATAGATTCTGACAAACATATGGCAGAGGATATTAAGGTCAAAAGACAAAACTCGTGTGCTTCTGGGGAAAAGGACTTTACCCTGGAAGACAAAAATGAAAGTGGTGAAAAACCAAATGCAAAGAAAGTGAAAAAGCAAAAGAGCAACAGGCAAGGAAAACAAAGCCGTAATGGCAAAACTAAAGAAAAATCTTGTTTACCTGTAAGTGAGGCTGAGAAAAAGGTGGATTTCCCAGATCTTCTTGTTAAGGCTCATCAGAATGCTTATGGCTATCTGAACCCAAACCTTTCCAAATATGAGGTCATTTTGTGCATGGCCAACCAGGCCACTGAAACACAATTAATTGTGCAACAAATGGTAAGCTTCTTACTTTTTCGTTTTGATGAAATCAACCATCTCTTGGAAGAAATTGCCCAAGATGGAGAAAGTTTATTGAAAGAAGTGGGAGGGAATCTAGCTTGGCCAGCGAGTAAAGGGGATCCGAAAGAGCAACCAGATCTCTTGCAGCAGTTGTTACAGTACACGGTAAACAAAATGCAACTGTTAAATGGAACTGTGGCCTCCTTAACCTCTGATGCCCTAGAAGAGTCTTGTAGCTTTTTCTTTAATGCTGGCTGCAATTTAGAAGAAAAACTGAAAGCCAAACATGGTTTTGATGAACGCTTGCTCAGGATGATAAAACTCCTTGAAGCATCTGCACTTGGACCCTCTCATCCTCACCCTGATGACATGACTCTTTATTCTGAAGACAGTGGAATAGGTATTGATAGTGAATCAGTCAAGGACTTGCACTTTGTTGATAAGCAGGGAATGCAAACAAATTATGACTCTTGTTCACATGTTCATCTGTCTGCAAGTCAGACTAAGAAAACAGGAGAAAACCAGTGGTCATCCAATTCCGTGTTTGCCACTACCAGGTCCCATGACTGTGCACTGGAAAGACAATTTAAAGATATATTTTACCCACCTGCACTTGCCAAGAATGTAATCCCATCTTCAGGCATAATGCCAGAAAATATAGTTAACCACGTCCAAATTCAAAACATCATCAAACCTCCTTTTAGCTCTGTACACTGTGGCTTTCCTAATAAGGGTGACTGTTTTAAAGTGTGTGAATCACCCAATGCATCTTCCACAAACAGTGATGATAATACCTTGTCTGAGGAAGAAGGTGACAATATAGGTCTGTCTAAGCAGGACCAGAATGCTTTCCCTAAAAGACGAGTGTCTCTACCTGCAACAACAGATAGCAAACAAAGGCTTTCTACCAAACGACTAGATAGCCCTGAGAATGAAGAAATTATACTCAAGATGAAAGATGCCATAAGTGAAAAGATCAAATTTGTCCCTGGCAAATCTGGGAAGAAGGAATGGATGGAAGATGAAAATGGAAAAGGACCACTGAGACCAAGAACATCAGCTGGGAGTCAGAAGTCTCACATTAAACAAAAAAGATCAAGGTCTGAAGAGTCTCTCAAAAGTCATACTGAGGACCCAACTCTTCTGGAACTTCAAAGGACTCAAAAAGGACTCAACAAAAGACTGGAGATGTTTTACACACTTAATGGAAACAAAGAAGTACACAAGAAGTTGATATACCTGAACTTAAAAGAACCATCTGACTTGCAAGATTCTGAGCATGTTACTCATAGATCATCTACTAATAAATTGAAGGCATCACTTGCCAAAAACTTCAATATATTGCCAAATCAAGATAAGGTGCCTGTGTTTAGGCAAGATCAAAATGCCATTATTCCTTCACTTGATGAATGGAAATGTAAGCGAGATCAGATGTCTAGGAAAGAGAATGAGGCTCCTGGGACACAGAAGTTAAATAGTGTTGGTTGTGCTCCACCTCGTAAATCTGTTAAAACATTAATCGAAACCTTCTGTCCTTCTGATAACCTTGTGAAACCTGCAAATTTAAGAACTTTGGGCCCAATAAAATGTATCAGAAGGTTTGGACTTCCAAGCATTACTCCCAATCTCCCTCTTCCTAGAGGGCTTGTGCCTTTAAATCACAAACACAGAGTTTCACCATTAGGAGATATAAATTGTCAAAACAGCAGTCCAACAAACTCTATTTTTGATACAACTGGTTCACCTGAACTTGCAAATGGAAGCGACACAAATGAAAATACTGATGATGACGATAATGATGACGCCAGTGATGTGGAAAATTTGCCCCCACCTCCTCCTGAAATGTTAGTGGACATCTCATCTCATTCAACAGGATCTTCAGAAGATGGAGGAATAGTAAAAAAGTCTTCAAATGTTGCCAAGAAGACAGCCCAAAAAAATGAACATTACAGCACAAAGAAAAGAACTCACATTTCTCCACGGATGAAAGCTTCTTTATGTCCCATTAACTTGTTACCAAGTAAGAATCTCAACAATCCTAATCTCATTATCAGCAAAGCACCCAAAAGTGCTGGAGTGGATTCCGTTCCTAGAAAACATTCTGTGGAGTTGGATTCTACATCTTGTTGCTATCAAGAGACCCTATTAGCATCTGAAAAGGACAATGAAATGAAAGAAACTGCAGAACTGTATAACCAATCGTGTAAAATAATACCTCTCCAAAACCCCGAAGAAATGTCAGAACAGAATGGAAGTGATGCATCTTCTGCTTTGGCTCAAAGGCGAACCTCTCCTGATTCACTCAGAAAAGGTGAGAAAACAACAGGTTTTGTCAGGCGAGTGTCACCAGCAAGAACATCACCTTCCTCACCCACTGGTGAGAAAAGGCTCCCGAGCCCACCACTACATCACAGACTCAATAGTCAGGCTTCTTCACCTACTATTTCACGGCAGCCTAGTCCTCCAGCAAACCACAGGGTTTCAAGCCCCCCAGTCCAAAGGAAACTGCCTTCACCACCAACCCAACAAAACCTTTCTAGCCCTCCTGTGCCACGTAAACAGCAGAGCCCTCCAACCCGACGGAAAGGGTCCAGTTCTCCAGCCCATCGCAGAGAGACAAGCTCACCTCCTTTCTCAACTACACCTTCCCCACCTGCTTCTCCCTCTCGGTTGCAGAAAGGATTACAAAACAATACTGACTCTGGTGATGAGCAGCAACTCGCTTCCCCAAAGATTGTCAGCAATGCACACTCAATATTTTGTCCAGCCTCATCCTCTTTATTTGAAGCCAAGCCAGTGTTGTCACCACAGGGCTTCACATCAGAAGCTGTTACAAACAACCCTAAAGTATCTGCATTTCCACGGAGAAACAGTGCACAACTCAGGCAGTATGGGGACCTGCAGAGAAAATCAGCATTTGGTGCTGCCATTCCCCAGCCTTTTGTTAAAAGGAGCTTCTCTGACCGGCGACCGGGATTCCCAGTTCCAATACCATCTTTTGCTGCACCTGGTGGTGAGCCTGTGCTTAGCCAAATAAGGTAAGAAATGTGCTTTTCAAAAGTTTTTGTATTTAGTTGCATCACCTGGTTTTAAGATAGAGGCTGTTAACTACCTTGCCTGTTACACTGATACCTGCATCACAAGAACATCTTGATCACAAGATTATAAAAGAAGCACCAGCCCTCTCTACTCTCTCCACCATGGCACTACTTCTGGCCTTCTTTAATGCCTGGGCAGGGAAGTGGCAGTGGCGGCTAGAGGCAGCTAGTCCTTTCCCCACATAATAGCTTCAACGTATATATGTGTCATATCAAAATCCATAATTTTGGCCACAAAACATCCCTTTGACATATTCATGGGTGACATATACATGAGTATATATGGTATATGCTACTACTCTGATTTGTTCCGTCCCCCCGAAGTAGCATTCTATATAACATCACTGATTAAGAAGTCCAACACCAAGGCTTGATAAGTTGGCAAGAATGCTCTTAGTGCCTTACACTGAATTAATGCTGTGTTAAACTGTAAGGCAGATTGAGGAGCAATGCATAGTGGCAACAGAGGAATCAAAAAGTCATCTCCATTGCCAAAGAAAGCTGTCCTACAGGCTGAGGAGCTGGAAGGATAGTTTTCTCTCATCAAAGAAAAGTCTCCCTGTCATTACAGCACTCACCATTAGTTTATCCTTCCTCTAATGAGACAGACAGACAGCTACACCATCATGCTTATACAAATATAAATATAGTGGCTAGTGGTTTCCCAGCTCCTGTCTATTTGGACCAGCTTGCTTTCTTCCACATGGTATTAAAGGTGAGTCAGCCATTACGTGTGGGTGTGAGAAATCCGGGATTCCTAATCCCTCCTCACCTACGAAGCTGCCTAGGTGGCCTCATTTAGCAAGTATCCTGTTTGACAAAATAATTCTGGGGCTAGAACCCTATCTGAACTTCTTGAAGGAATAGTATGAAATACATATAATGATTTCATGATCAAAGATGAAAGAGGGGTATAGCTATGAGTAGACAAAATGAAAATTCTGCCTCACTTCAAATAATTATTTTCTTCAATCCCCAATTTGCTGGCAGAGCAGTAATTTAAAATTTCAGTCAAGCATTTAGAACTACATAAGACATACCCATATTAAGTCTGGATCAATATGCAAAAGGATACTGTAGCACCTTTGAGACTAATTGAAAGAAAGAAGTTTGTAGCATAAGCTTTCATAGATGGAGTCAACTTCATCAGATGCATGGAATGAAGTTGATAGAGACAGCCATTTATACCCATGAATGAGCAGGCATGTGTGTGAATAGTAATAGAAAGGCAAAACTTGTAGATATGGTGATGAAGTGACAAGTTCAGTTATAATTGATTGCTTTTGGGGAAGAGAGTTGGAGAAAATATATTGCCTATCACCAAAATGAGTAAGCAACCAAGTGAATGGTGGAGGGATTCTATGCAATGTAGTCTGACACTGGCTGAGAACCAGAAAAGAGTTTTGATAAAAGACAGAAGAGAGCCCCCAAGAGGCTGAGATGTTAACTAGTGTTATAATATGTGTAGTGTGCCAGGAAACTAATGTCAATGCCAATGGAGTTTGTATAAATCTGCTTATTCTTCTTCCAATTTCCTTATGAGGCATGGGTTTTGTTTTGTTTTTGGCTCAAGGACAGCTGCTCTGGGGACCTATAATATGGAATATCCCTCAATAACCATTGTTGAAACCAAACTTATCACATTATTACTCACAAGTTTTGCATTTCTATTATTATTTACACATACATATTTGTTCATTCATGGGTATAAACGTCTATCCAAAACCACTTCATGCATCTGATAATATAGGCCCAATCGACAAACCTTTTCCTCACAGTCTCAAATGTACTATAAGATCCCTTTGCATTTAAGAATACAGTTTAAGTATCCAATGAAAACAGAGAATCAAAGTTACCAAGGGTATACAGACTAGCAAATGTAATTAATCTAATTATTTTTAATGGTTCACTATTTGCAATGCTAGAAATTTGAAGATTGTACAAAAACTTCATGTGGGGATTTTATTTTGGAGGAGAGAGTGCCTTCATTTTGACCCTTTTGCTACTTTTGATGGAAGTTTTGTTCATTTCTCCAACAGATAAAAACTTTTTGGCCCAGACAAATTCATCTTAGTTAGCTTTATTTCTACATTGTATTTTTTATTAACCAACCATACATTGTTCAACAAACTGCTAGGATGCACAGCACCCTAGAATTTTGAAAATAAATAAAAATGTTTCCAGTTGACCTCTAAAATGGTTTGGAAGAAGTTGCCCCCTTGGGGTTCCCCACCCCAATTTTAACTGAGGAAGCACCACAATTGAAATTTAGTTTCATAACAAATGAATATATGGTAATAAGATGCTAAAGCCATCCATTCCAGAGAAGCCTGTTCTGGAAATCAACAGTGACATCCTACTATTACTTTCTTATGAACGGCTTCAACCTATGTGCTTTCTGCTTAAATCCAATTTTCTAAGCTCAGCATTTACCCTCTCACATTTTGGGTACAAAATATGTGTGCAATATCAATCGCTTCCATGAGTTACTGGAATGATGAATGTTAAAAAGAGTTCCACAAAGGCATGTGAAGGGTGAGAATGATGGAGCGACTCTTCCATTTCTAGATATTCTCTTAAGCCTTAAGGCATTCATGTCAGCATGTGGCAGTGTGGAAAGTGGCTGTTAGACTGAGCGCCTCTTCACAAACAGCACTCAGAGATGTTTTGTTCAAGTCAATATGAGATTATTATCTAAAAAATAATCTTAGAGATAATAGTCAAGATTCTCCAACAAGGAGATGGAATGTGATCTTGCACTCAAGTTTTGAGACAGTTGTGCTTTAGTTAATCATAACATTGTGTAATAGAATGTTCAAATGATGTAAACACTAATTCACATTGGCAGCATGTGTTCATCTGTGCCTCTGCATACTTGAACTGGTCAAAAAAGTACCACCAGGTGAGAACGCAAACTGCATGCCAAATCATGCAGTAGATCCAGCCTCTGAGGCATATAGTATTTGCCCTGTATCTCTCAGTACTTTACAGCATTTTTGCATCTCGTCCTTCTCTTCCACCAATAATGCTGAATAATACTATAACATCTATGGGGTGGTATCACTGCACTGGGATTTTCCTTTCTTTGAAAATGGCAGCCAATGAAGTCAGTTTAGGACATGGCATCGCAACATGCATTATTTTGTAAGGTTGATGGAGAAGAAACAAGACTATATTGGCAGCCATACAGCAGGCCTTTGATGTCCACTGAGGTTTGGTTCTAGGACTCCAAGTGTATAAAAATGTGGATGCCCAGGTTTCGTTATATACATTGACATAGAGAAAAAATGTCCCCGGTTTGAAATGGCAAATTAAGCTTTACTTTTTGGATTTTTTTAAAAAAATTCAAGCCATGGGTGATTAAATTTGTGGATGCAGAATCTATTACTACAGGGGGACAACTGTACTTGTAATATCCAGTTATATTCTGAGCTAGTTTGGTTGTAAGAGAGAAGAGAGAGAAAGAGAAAGCAGTTCTGTTCTTTATTCATTTATTCTGGGAAGTAAGAGAGGGCATCAAAATCCTCTGATCTTAACCATGCTTTGTTCTATATTTGATTTTAACAAAGCCCTGTGCATATTGGATCCAGCCTTTCAGTATGTTAGCAAATAGGAGACTGAAGTAAAGTGCACGGGGTTGTTATCCCAGAATAACCAGTTATGTAAACAAAGCTGATATCAGTTTTCTGCTAGGCACTTGCTCACTCTTCCTTCTAACTTGCATTCGTAAAAGAGAAATGTGTCACAACCTCAATTAGCATTCCAGTGTCTCTCGTAGTTTCTTAAGTCCCCAAGGGATGGGCTTTTGGTGTTTTAAGCTGTGCGAGTAGCAACCATCTGGTCATGTAATAGGAAGGGGGTGCTACATACTGAGTTATTTTGCTCTCCCAAGCCTGGCCTTTGGCTGGAAATCAACCCTGAGGGGCACTTTTCACAGCATGAATGCTCTCTTTGTACAAATCCCACTAATCTATAATAGGATTTGTGCATATGTAATAGGGAAAAAAGTTAATTTTAGTCCATTGATGAATATCAGATTAAAGAATTTCCCATTGGGTAACAGCTGGGATAGAAGCTTAGAGGAAATATTCTTCAAATATTTCATGCAACTCAAGGCCATGGATTTGATTTAGCGATTTGGACCCAAGCAAAGTTTCATTTCTGAATCCCTCCAAAGTACAGATAGATTTGTATGGAATCAGCAGGGACTCTAATATTGTTTTTAAAGAGGATCAACATTGGCAGGCAAGTTGTTCATAATTTTACTTGCTTGCAGGTACTCACAGGGGGTGGGGGGATTGCTTTCCCCATCCATTCTTCTGCAAATATCCTTAAACGTGAAGGCTCTTACAAGCCTAATGTGTACTTAGAAGTGCCCCCCATCCCTTGAAAGTTCAGTGTAGCTTACTCCCAAGTCAGTTCTCATAGAATAGATAGCAGGCTTCCTTTATTAATCTTAGCAGGGCACAATAACAATCGTAGTTTAATATTTTAATACATGCTGGTTCATTTAGTAAATTTCCGAGGCTCGCAGTCTTGGTGATCCAATTCTACCTGATCATTACGTCTTTCACCTACCCAATTTTAGAGGTACTCAAATCTACCTGATCTTTTTTCTGGAGTCCATGGGATCATGACCTCATTGGGATTTTCCCATATAGTGTCATGATTATTCCACATATGCAGGACAGCAATCTTGAACCTACTTAACTGGGAGCTTGATTCTGCATACACATGTAGAAGCTCACCTTGCTATATGATACAATGATCAAGGAGGGGATAACGGTCTTCTAGATGTTGTTGGGCTACATCTGCCCAACATTTCTCACTATTAACTGTTCTGATAAATTGTTCTGGTAGTTGTATTCCAGCAATTTCTTGAGGCTTGCATGATGTCCAGCCCTGTGCTAAATGTTTTCTAATTGTTTAAAAATTAATATTGCTTTTATACAATTGACTCCCTAGGCCCATTTGTACAAAATTAAGTTAAAAGCATTCAAAACTATTTAGTATTATTGTTCTACTGTTAACCACCATGTCAAAATTCTATGGGATACTGGAGGAGTTCTTTGGCTAAGAACTATAAATGCCCCTAACTAAACTTCTAATCCTAAGATTCAGTTGGATGGAACCATGGCAGCTAAGTGGAAGCTTGACGCTTTAATTATATAGTGTGAATGGGCCCTAAGCACCACATCTCCGGATCTATATAAAAGTAGAACCTTAAATCTTGACATGTAACCAAAAATAAATACAGCGTTCTCTCACTTATTGTGGGTGTTACGTTCCAGGACCACCATGATAAGTGAAAATCACTGATGTTCTGTCGCCGCTGGACCTGAAATGAAGTGCTTTTAAGAAAGGATGTATGGCTTGAATCCAGCGGGAAGCCAGGGGGCCCAAAAAGGAGCCTTTAAGGAAATTTCCCTCATTAAACAGTCTTTAGGAGGCTTGAGCTTAAATATAACAGTCTTTTATTGATGAACAAACAGGAATTGTAAAGCTTTCTTGGCAAAAAAAAAACCAGTTCTCTCAAACTTGTCCACAGGGAACAGGCACTATCTTCAATAGCTTTGTTCAAAGGAAAATTCCCCTTTCTAGCTCCTCCCAGGCTACTGTGAACGTAAACCTGACTGATTTGAATCCACTACCGGCTGAACTGTGTCTCAGAACCGAGCAGACATACCAGCAGGCCTGTAGTCACTTAGCTGGCGATCTTGACAATTAGAGCTGTTATTCCCTCCGGAATTCCTCAGGGCTGTAAGGCTGTTTCCCCAGAACCTTTGGGAATCTTTAGAGGCTCTTAAGACTGTTCTCCCCCGGGAAGTCTTAAGGGACGAAGCCTTTGTACAGGAGGGTGTCTGTATACATCCTCTGCATTGACTTCCTTTGCTGAGACTAACTGAAAAATGGCCCCTTCCCTCCAAGAAACCCAGAGAAGGGCGGGACCATGGATTCTAACTATTATTGACAGGTGGCTTGCCCTATGAATGCAGCCAAAGGAAGCCACCTGCAACTTAGGACTATGAACAAACACTCAGTGCAAAACACAAAATTGAAGCCCCTGGAACAACCGTTCCAGAACACTCCTGGCCTAGATTTCTCAATGATGAGAAATCTACACTAGAAAATTGACAAATCTGATTTGGCAATAAACAATTGCCCCTTCAATAACAACACAATATCACAAATTGGTCTGTGCAACACAGAAACATTGCAATTTGGCACATTCTTAGCTTTACCTTCCTTACCAATCCATCCGGACTTGGCAAGGTCTCTGAAACTTTGGCCAAAGGCCACTTGAAGCGGGGTAAGGATTTGTCCTTCAGCAAAACAATGTCCCCAACTTTGAGGTTGGGCTTAGAGTCTTTCCACTTTCTGCGACTCTGGAGTTGAGCCAAGTACTCTGCCTTCCAGATTGGCAAGAGTTTGAGTTTTTCCCCAGAGTGCTTTGTAAGACCCTTCGGGGACAGGGTACATAATCTCCTGCCATTCAGAAGTCTTTTGAGTCAAAATGGAAGCAGGAGTGAGAAGCTGTGAAATGTCTGAGTCTGTGGTGATGGGCACCAATGGGTGGCTATTTACAATGGCTGTCACCTCCGCCATTAACATGACCAAAACATCATGGGTCAAATTCTTACACTCTAAAAACATAGCATTTAAAATCTTTCTACACAAACCAATCATATGTTCCCACCCCCCACCCCCCCATGTGAGACGCATGCGGTATATTAAACAACCATGTAACCTTTTCTGCATTCAAAAGGGTAGAAGTATCCATACACTCAATCGCCGGATGAGGAGAAGAGCAAAGGAGAAGGAAATGAAGAGCACCCCTGAGCACTTTCAGTAGGCATCGACAGTGCAGCAGCAGCAACTCCCTCCTCCTCCGCCTCTTTCTCCTCCTCTTCCTCAGAGAAAGAGGCAGAGGAAGAGGGAGTTGCTGCTGCTGTGCTGTCACCGACTGCTGCAAGTGCTTGGGGGCTCTCTTCTTCTTCTTCTTCTTCACTCTTTGCATCTGTCCTGGGCTTCCCAAGGGGCCTCCAAGGAAGAGGGGGGGAAGAGGCAGAGGAAGAGGGAGTTCCTGCTGCTGCGCTGTTGCCACCCGCTGCAAGTGCTTGGGGGAACTCTTCTTCTCCTTTGCTCTTCTTCTAATCTGACCTGGGCTACGGGCTTCCCGTTGAGCAAGTTCTTCCTGGCCCAGTAGCAGCTCAGTTGAGGCCTGTGCTCACCCTCTTCCGCTGCCACCACTGCCTCCTCCTGGCCCGAAGGGAGCAAGGCCCCGCTGCCTCCCGGGGTTCCAGCATCCTCCAGCCCCACTATTTGCCAGTGCCTGGTTCCCCCTCCCCTCCTCCTCTTCCTCCTCCTCGTGGCTCCTGAGGGGGAGGAAAAACCCGCGAAACAGCGAGTCTGCAAAAAGCTAACTGCGAAGTAGCAGGGAACACTGTATCACCAGTATTTTCTCTGAATTGCAAAACACTGGTTGATGGAAAAGGGCACTCACATTTAAGTCTTCATACACTATGATTCTGTACAAGTTAAGAAAGTCATAGATACATGTGGAATTGTAAAGCACCCCCCCCCCCGAAATTCTCATGGTGGTCTGCGAGAAGGCCTTATTGGTACAGTATTTAAACTGTTATGTTATTCATATCATGATCTGATCACCATGCTCAATGTATCCCATATGCATGGAGGTATTGGGGTAACGATACAAAAGGTTTGCTAGGGTAGACCCTCTTTCACTCAGACTCAGCCCTCCACCCCCGAATCAAACTCAGCTCCCCCCGAAACAAAATTCTGGCTATGGGCCTGCCTGAGGAGTTCATTATTTTTTTAAAAAAAAATCATCTAGATATGCAGAGACTTTTCAATACAGCCTAATCTATGCACATTTGCTTGTAGATTGGGATATACTGGTTGATTTATAGACCTATCCTTATTCATAGATTCTACATCCATAGATTCAAAGAACTATGGCTCAAATATGTTCAAAAATATATAATTCCAAAAGATAAACCTTGATTTTGACATTTTATACTAGATTGGAATATACTAGTTGATTTATAAGCCCTCTCTGTTAATAGATTCTACATCCATGGATTCAAAGAACTATGACTCAAATATTTTCCAGGACTTGAGCAGCTACAGATTTCTATATCCATGGGGGAGTCCTGATATGAAGAACCCACTGTATGTCTAACAACCTCATTACATTGAACATGGATCCAGACAAAACAGATGCTTGCCATCAGAGGTTGTAATCTGGGGGTGGAGGTGTGTCAACCAGTTCTGGATGGGGTTACACTTCCCTTGAAAGACTGTGTTCACAGATTGGGAGTGTACCTGGATCCATCTCTCCAAATGTCATCCCAGGTAGACGCAACAGTCAGGAATACTTACTACCAGCTTCAGCTGATATGCCAACTGCGCCCCTTCTTAGATTTGAAGGACCTAAAGATGGTAGTGCACATGCTGGTAACCTCAAGGGTTGGACTTCTGCACTGCACTTTACATTGGGCTACCTTTGTACCAAGTTCAGAAATTCCAGTTTGTTCAAAATATGGCAGCCAAATTGGTTACAGGAACATCCAGTGGTGAGCATATTACACGCATACTAAAGTCACTCTACTGGCTGCAAATTAGTTTTTGGGCAAAGCACAAAGTGTTGATTTGACCTTTAAAGCCCTACATGGACCTGTAGGGTCCAGGTTACGTACAGGATTGTCTTCTCCCATACAATCAACACTTAGCTCCTCTGGGGAGGAGCTACTCCAGCCTGTCAGAACTCGACTGGCAACTGTTACCCAGAGGATCTTTTCATTGGTCACCTGAAGACTATGGAATGACCTGCCAGAAGAGAGCTGACAACTAAATGAGCTATCAGAACCATCTAAAGACTTATCTCTTCTGGCAGGCCTGCCCAGTCAGTTTTAATCATGAATTTTAACCTTGAGTCTTATGTTTTAATCTTGCATTAGTTTAACAATAACTTATTCTTTTATTTTAAAAAAACCTGTCATGAGGGGTCTACTATTAATTGTTTGCCTCTTAGTTGCAGTTGTACTTCACTTTTAAAATATGAGTATTAAGTGGTTGCCTTTAACCAGCTCATTTTCTAACTGTGTATTATTTTGAATCAATGATTTGTGGAAACTCATATGTGGATTTGTATATAAAGTATATCCCTTACGGGGTGAAGCTCATTTGCAACTAGCTCTGATTTGGGGAGTTTTGCTTTCCAGTGAACACTTCCCTCAGGGCTGAAGTCTCCCCACCCTTGTTTCACACCTGGTACTAAAGTCTTCTTTTTGTGGCACAAAATTTAGCTGATTTTTTTCAGGCTTGTGATAATAATTCTTGGCCCCTTTAGGGTTTCTTTTAATGGGCTTTGAAGTGGTGTGAAAAAAAGGAAATTAAAAGCTGCATAGTTTCTTCTTTGCACAGTAATAAACAATTTAGGTTGTCCAAAGTGTGCTGCTACTAATCTTTAATGGATTATCATGTTGCAATTATAATTTCATTGTTGGAAAAGTTACACTTCATCTGCGTTTTTCTCTCTACAGCCTGGAAGATAGCTCTCAAAGAGGCGGGGAAGGTCTAAATACATGTTTCCCAGATGGCAAATCATTTCCTCATTCTCAACTCTACATTGTGGGCCAAGGACTCCATAAAGACTGAATGGAGATGGTAAGCTTGAGAGGTGGAGTCTACAACTCAGGATTGACAATCTTTGCATACAGCCATTCTTATATAGAGGCCATGCCTCATAATCAATATTGTTAGGAGCATTACTCTCTCCTTTTTAGACTGAATTCTGATCATTGGAAAGTTCTGAAATTCAGTTTGGGCAATTCTCTACTCAAACAAACAAGACTATGTATGAACCAGGACCCAAATGACAATTCAGAATGTGGTGAGCTGCAGGGAACTTGTGAACCACAAGAAAGTGTCTCCAGAGTGAAATATTGGATTTTCTTGAGCGATCCACTCAACTGATACACTCAATCATCCACTCAATTTTAACTGCCAGAAAAAAACTGCTGCAGGAAAAGCTGCTGACCAGAGGGTTAGCAGTTTGAAGCCGTGAGTTGGGATAAGCTCCTGACTGTCAGCCCTAACTTCTGCCAACCTAGCAGTTCAAAAGCGTGTAATGTAAGTAGATCAATAAGTACCACCTTGTTGGGAAGGTAAAAGGGCGCCCCACGCAGACAGGCCACCAAAAGGATCTGAGATGTCTATGAACAGCAGGCACCTCGGCATGGACAATGGAACAAGAGCACTTCCGCATGGCTGGAGTTAAGCATCTCCTCCAGAGGCTGGAAATAAAAAGGAAAGGCCTTTACCTTATCTGTTTATTGTATGTTGTTGTTTGTTGTATAAAAGGCATTGAATGTTTGCCTTATATGTGTACTGTAGTTTGCTCTGTGTCCCTCTGAGGAGATAAACCAGAATATAAATAAAGTGTATTATTATTGTTATTAAGCAAAAGAGGCAAAGACAAGAAAAATAAAACAATATTCGAAGACAATATTGTCATTGGTTGCACCAGTGTGTATGTGTTAAAGCAGAATTGGGGCCCTTATCATTCTCCTAATGTGTGGACTCTGTTCATGACCTCAGGAATGTCTTCTATTTGCAAATGAAAGTGAGTAAAGCAGACATTTGTAGTATAGGAAGATATCACACATTGAAGCAGTACACCCAGAACAGATCTTGTGCCCAATACAATTAGGTTTGTAAATATTTGCTTATTTTATTCCTGTATGTTAGAACAAATAATTAGAAAAAACTTTTTCCTACTGGCTACTCTTTTGTTGCACATTTTGCAACTATTTCCCACATCGTGAGTTTTTTTTAAAAAAATGTGCAAAAAGAATTTTCTCTGCAGAAAAGCCCATTAGGATTTGTGATTTTTTTTTCCAGTGAAACACATTTCTGCACAGAAAAATTACAATGCTCTATCTTTGTCTTTTGGATACAAATGATGAAATTCAAGCAATAGCTAAGTATATTATAACTGAGTATTCCGCTTATTTGCACAGAGCTTTCAGTGGTCTCAGTAACATCAATGGGAATGAGAAATAAATAGCCAATGACAAATCATGTTAATTAAGTGGTGGATACTAATTAATTATAATGACTATTAAATCTGGCTCTTTTTGCAAATTTTGTTTTTCTTTCTCCCAGTGGATGAAATAAGTACCATATAAATTAATTGTTTTCATACTTCTGTATCTGCATATAAAATTTCATTCAAATTAAAGCAAAAGTGTCACATAAAGTAGGATCTTTTGGAAGCACTAAAAAGTTTTTAGAGTGGATTCAGAATACAATAAAAAACACATCTGTTATCCTATTCTTCTCTTCCATAATTAATTGTATTAATATTGAGATGATTAAGAATGATATGTTGAAGAAAGAACAAAGTGTTTTCATTAAAATATATGACTTGTATGTATATGATTTGTTTATGATATATGGCTTACATGCATCATACTAGCTGGATACATACTCAGTGGTGATAATGACTATGGCAAGCTAATATACTTGGAGGGCCATTGCAGAAGATTGATTTTACAAGTAATGAAAAATTGTAATGTGTAGGCGGTGTAGTTTATTACTTGCTTGTTTTCAGAGAATAGTAATCAAAATACATATGTTTTCCCCTTTTTGTACCAATCTGTTTTATATGTTTGGAGCTTTTAAAATTGTAATATTTAAAAGGTTGTTTTACACAGCTCTTTATACATATATATTGTGAACACTGCTTCAATTTATTCTATTTTGGTATATTTTTGAATCCAAATCACTTTCTTTGTTTTTGGAATTGCATTCATTTACTGTTTTTAATGCACTCTGAGAAATTTTGTGATTCAATAAATATGATTTTTTTTATAAGCTCACACTTTTAGACTGCATTTGTATTTGTTTACTTTTGAACCATGAGAGCTACAGCAAATATGGTATTGATGTTAAAGATCTAAAATACATAGGCTGGAATTCACTATTTCAGTTACAGATGTGTAACATAGAATTATGCATTCATATATTCACAGTTCTTACATATTCACAATTGTAGAACTATTGTCAGGAATATAAAAGTCCCACAATCTTTCTTTATCAAACGGCAGCTGCCGTGAACAGCAGAGCTCTATTCTTATATCAACCAGAGTGAAGCTACCTAACAGTTACACATACACACAAACACACCAGTGATCTCTAATACAAGGAGAAATGGTGAGAATCCAGTTTTAATTGCTGCACAAGAGAATGTTAGAGAAGGAGAGTACAAATGCTCTGTCCCAATCAACAGGAAAACAAACTATTGTTGCTTTCAGCAGTAGCCGAACCATAAACCAGAATTGAGAAGATCAGTCTGGTAAGTACACTTAATAAATCTATTGTTAAGTACTGTATATACTTGAGTATACACCAGGTTTTTCAGCCCCCTTTTTAGGCTGAAAAAGCCCCCCTCGGTTTATACTCGGGTCAAGGTTATTTTTCATTTGATTTTGTTATTATTATTACTATTTTATTACATTTATTATTTTGCTCTATTATTTATTTATTTATTTATTTATTTATTTAAAGCATTTTTATTCTGCCCTTCTCACCCAGATTGAGACTTTGGGCAGAATGCAACATACAAACGGCAAACATTCAATGCCTGGACAAATAAATTATGCACATACATCAACATTAAAATCATTGATTTCAACATTAAGACCACTGTTTAAAACTCTCTTGGTCATCCACATCAAAACTAGTTGGCATAGTGAGGTTTCCAATTGCTTTCTTATTTCACTTATTATTACATTTACATTATATTACTCTATTATTATTATTTATATTACATTTATTATTTTACTTGATTATTATTACATTTATTATTTTTCCCTATTATTGTTATTACATTTGTTATTTTACTCTTTTTATTATTATTGGAAAGATATGTAAGCAAGCACATTTACTTTGAAGAAGGTTAGAATAATGGTTTAATCACAGTTGGACAGTCTTACCTTAAATTACAGTTTTATGTAAATATTCAAAAACATTTAATCTGCTGATGCTTCAATTAATATAATTTTATTGCTATCTATTTTTATTTTGAAATCACCAGTAGCTACTGCATTTCCCACCCTCAGCTTATACGTTTTCCCAGTTTTTTACGGTAAAATTAGGTACCTCGGCTTATATTCAGGTCGGCTTAAACTTGAGTATATATGGTAGATAGGAAATTTGTTAACTGTCTGAATGCAAAAGAGGTTTACCAGTGGCTCCTCCTCATCCTGAATAGAACTGACCACTGGGTTCTGTCCTGGGCCCAGTGTTATTCAGCATCTTTATCTCTGTTTGGATGACAGAATAGAAGGCATGCTCATCAAATATGCAGTTGACGCCAAACTGGAGGGATCGCTAATACCCCAGAGGACAGACTCCAAATCCAAAATTACCTTAACAGAATAAAGAACTGGGCCAAGATGAACAAAATGAATTTCGACAGTGAGAAATACAAAGTACTACACTTTGGCAATAAAAATGAAATGCACAGACATAGGATAGATGACATCTGGCTTGAAAACATAACATGTTAATGGGATCTAGGCATCTTAGTAGACCACAAGCTGAACAACAGTGTGACGTGGCAGCTAAAAACACCAATGCAATTCTAGGCTGCATCAATAGGAGTATAGTGTCTAGATTGAAGGAAGTCATAGTCCCATTCTATTCTGCTTTAGTCAGACCTTCTCTTGAATACTGTGTCCAAATCAAGGTATCACAATTCAAGGGCATCAATAAGCTGGAACGTGTTCAGAGAAGGGTAACAAAAATGGTCCATAGGTCTAAAAGCCCTCTGAGGATCGGTTGAGGGAGATGGGTATATTTAGCTTAGAGGGGAAAAAGGCTGAGAATGAAACAAGTTAGCCATGTTTAAATATTGGAAAGGATGACACAGTGAGGCAAGGACAAGCTTGTTTCTGCTGTTCTGGAGACTAGGTCATGGAGCAATGGATTCCAATTGCAGAAAAAAAGATTCCAAGAAAACATTACAAATAATTTCTTGTTGGCTAGAGCTTTTTGGAAGTGGAATAGTCTACCTCAGAGGGTGATGGAGTCTCCTTCTCTAGAGGTTTTAAGTGGAGGTTGGATGGCCATTTGTTGGGAGTGCCAGCCAAGAGTTCCTCTCCCAGTGTCCACCCTCCCACCCAGACAGATAATATAGTGGCAATGGTTGTGCTCATTTTAATTTCTTGCTCTAGAGCAATAAACTATGCCTCGTGTTTATGTGATTCTGCTATCTTTGCTGATCAGTTTTCTAATTACCTATCAATAGGACAGGTGTCTGTTTATGAAATCTGTTTGTGCAGTTAAAGCAACCATCCTCCGCAATATACCTCAAGAGTTTATGTGATCAACAGATAGCTAATTTGGGCAGTTCCTCTTCATTTAATTTTACTGGTAGACACTTCAATTTCCACTTTGCAAAGTTTTTAGGCTAGGCAATGAAATAACTAAAACCTGGGACATCAGTCGGTTTTGAAGTCTCTACAAGATAGTCTATAAAAAATTAATCCAATGCATTCTCAAAAAAAGGGATAAATTTCTTCAGATCGAATTCTTTTTATGACTGTAAGCCCCTTCAAGGGAGATGGGGTGGGGTATAAATTATTATTATTATTATTATTATTATTATTATTATTATTATTTGAATTCATAGCTCCTGAACCAATACATGAACTGAAAAACATGACACAATTATTCACACTTTTTAAAGTTCTAGGTTTTACTTTTCTTTTTTCTAATGTACGTATTGTGGAGGAAGGTATATACAAAAAAAATTGATGGTACGAAAATTATGTATTAAAATGGGCTGCAATAGGCAAACTAGATCCATACATTGACAAAAGTGAGCCCAAAAAGGAAAGGAAATTTTCCATCTGGACTTTTAGAAATAATAATAACAATAATAATATTTATTTATTTATTTATTATTTTGAATATTTGTACCCCGCCCTTCTCAACTCCCTGGGGGGACTCAGGGCAACTTCCAATCAGCAGCAATTTGATGCCTCAATATATACATAATAAAAACAGTCAATAATTACAAATATTAAAAACATTAAAACAATACAATTAAAATCTACTAAGAATTACCACTCTGGTAGCCATTATTAGCCAAAAACTATGGTTGGATGCTCCATCAAACTTACCCATAATCCATTTCCAAGCCATTGTCAACATTGTTATTGTCAGTGTCCGCTTTATTACCCGAAGGCCTGGTACCACAACTTTATTATTATATCCTGCCTCGATCTCCCTGAAGGGATTCAGGGCGGCTTGCACGGGCACCAAGCCCAATATAAACAAGGTTACAAAGTAATATAATTAAAAACATATAACAATCAATTATCTTAAAACAATAAAATCAATAAAATCTAAGGCATCATAAAACATAAACCAAGCAACAAACAACCAATAGCTGAGAAAAGTGGGCATGTGCAGATTTGAGACATAGGGCAGGACAAGGGCTAGTGCAAACACAAAATGTAGGGCCGGGGCTGGGAACAAAGTGCTGGAGATCCTACCAAAAGATGAGGTCTAGACAGAACAGCTGAATCATTATTTGAAGGCACATTGGAACAGTCAAGTCTTCAGGTCTTTCCAGAAAGTGGACAGAGGTGGGGGGCTAATCTAATCTCCCCGTGGAAAGTGTTTCAGAGCCAGGGAGCCACCACTGAGAAGGTCCTCTCTCTCATCCCCACCAACCATGCTTGCGACGGAGATAGGAGCAAGAGAAGGGCCTTCCTAGCAGATCTTAGCACTTGTGCCGGTTCATATAGGGAAATATAGTCCCCCAGAAAAGCAGGAACTGAACTGTTTAGGGCTTTATAGGTAATGACCTGCACTTTGAATTGGGTCCAGAAACTTACCAACAGCCAGTGGAGCTGCTTCAGAAAAGGTGTTGTCCACTCCCTGTTTCCACACATTGCTGTGGAAACAATTACAATTGTACCAATGTAGGTAATATAAATGTTGCAGGATAGGGAGCTATTGCTGGGTAGGAGACAGACCGGTGGTGGCATCTGCACAGTGTCATACAAAGGGGTTGCAATGTCAGTTCCCCTGCCTTGTGCAATAAAGTCAAAGTTTCAGAACTTTTGTTGGACAGCATTTATAACAGAGCTCAAGCATACATTTATAGCCCCCACCCCAATCCATTGATAACATCAGCATTTCAAGCCTAAATGGAATAAAATCTGTTTCAGAGACATATTCCTGCTAACTTTTTTTAAATGGAAAAGCACGTATATATGAGAGGTGCATTTTTAAGGGGTTAACAAATTATTTTCATTATTTTGAACTGGAGCTCTCCCTTGGCTTCTGCTCCATATTAGAGTTTTAAAACCAAACTGAATGAAATTGTAGGCTTTAACCTGCTTACTGAGAACATAATGTCTGTGAAAGTTCACAAAGGTCTGACAAAGACTGTCCATTTTGCAAACTAAGTGAGGAAAGTTCCTTTTAAAATGTGTCTGTACCTGAAGTCACAGGACAGGAAGAGTTCAGAAGGTTAATTTCATCGTTGGGTCTATGATGGATGTATAATTATGGCATTCTGGCTCCAAATGACATAAAATTTGCAGACATTATACCTTTCTCTGATAGAGTTCAGGCCTGTCTAATTTAAGGTAGAGTTGGACAAAGGTTTCTTGTTCTCCAAGGCAATTAAAAAGGAGCGAAAACTTGCCAATTCCCTCCTGTTGCCACTGACACCTTCATCTTCTGCCATCTATAGCCAGTTGCCAGTATTTACCTGCTTATATGTACAGCTAAAGTAGTTAAGGGGATGGGAGAATGATGTAAAACCTACCCTGAACAACCTTATGCACTTGTTA